TCAGACTTGTTTTTTTTGGCCTTCACCGAGTCCACACTCTGGTCCAGGGCATGCACAGTCTCTCCTGATTCAGATGGGGTGTGAGCCTCTAAGCCAGGAAAGTTTCAAGAGTCTTGGCACTGTGTAGGAATCTAGGCCGCCAAATCCTCTGGGACATCTATTGAAACGCCCCATCCTATGTGCCAGTCAACATGGGATACGATCATTATAATGAGCCTTTAGCTACTGTCGCTACCCTTTGTCATGTGCACTGGGGACCCAATTATGTGCACCAAGGGTGGAGAGCTCTTACTCCTCTGCAAGAACTGTGTCAACATCTGTTAAAGCTGGGCGGGCTCTCTGCCACAAGCCTACTTTGAACAGACTGTGTATTATCAGTACATGTGGGAACATAAATGAGCTGTGTGGAAGTCTGTTGCCATGGAAACCTTCCTCTTTGAGACTGCCTTGATCTACTTGATATGACTGGAGCCGACTTACTGGCCTCTACAAGAGGGAATGCGGAGTTCCGGGTTCTGTTGCCAGTTTGACTGTGGACCTTTTTTGGCACCTGTTGGCAAAGCCCCTTTAACATTGTGCTTCCGTACTTGTGGCAGCTTTTTGACTCAGGGTTATGGGCATGTTGGGCTGATTCATTATCCGATAATTAATGAGCCGGCAGTGCTTAGGGTCATTATCTTGCAGGGTCAGAGCATGAACATTTGGCAGCAAGCTCGTTTAAAATGGAGGTGCAGAGAATGCTCTGAGGTGCTAGCCTTCTTAGAGCCACTGCCCTGGGCAATTCAAGAAATCAGCCCTAATTTGGTAGTGATGGAAACTGGAATATTGAGATTACCTTCTTAGAGGCCTATGAATAAATGGAAGGAAGTGTAGAATAGAGCTCCCCCTTGCCCCGGGTTATTACTTTTGCTTTGTGATGTTTAGCTTATTTTTTTAGTTGATGATTTAAGTGTTTTATTAATTGTAATTGTTTTCCTGATGATTTGTTAAATATTCTATGTTGTTTATGGTGTATTTGTGATGTATTATGCTGTATCATGTTATTGTTATTTATTGTTCATAAACCGCTTTGGGATTCATTTGAATGAAAAGCAGCATAGAAATATAATAAATCACATCATATCAGTGCATTGAGCTCTTACAGTGGGCATTTAGACTTACCCATGCAGAGGATAAGACTGCCTTCTGCCATCTTATAGTGCCTTCTGCTAGCTTACCTGACTGGTACACCAACGATGACTATACTTGGACAGAGATAGCCTGGCTTCAGTGATCCTGGTGTGTCTTGGTAACCTAATTCAGTCACTGTGAGGTGTTGTATGTTGGACTGCCTTTGATGATGGTCCAGAAACTACAGATAGTATAGAATACAGCTGCAAGAGTACTATTTGTTATACGGGACTGCCTCTCCTGGGTATGCCTCATGGAGGACCTTAAGGTCCACATATAGCAACACCCTAGAGGTCCCGGGCCCTAAGGAAGTTAGATTAGCTTCAACCAGAGCCAGGGCCTTCTCAACACTGGCTCCGGCCTGGTGGAATGCTCTGTCTCATGAGACCAGGACCCTGCGGGATCTGATTTCTTTCTGCAGGGCCTGTAAGACAGAGTTGTTCCACCTGGCCTTTGGCTTAGAATCAGTTTGATTCCCTCCCCCTCTTTCTTTTTCCTTTCTTTTCCTATGAAGAGACTGCATCCTAATGTTTTAATGTTGTATCTTAATCTTTTAAATTGTAATTTAATCAACCTGTTTTTATTTTTGTTTGTTAGCCGCCCTGAGCCCCGTCTTGGCTGGGTATAAATAAAAAATTATTATTATTATTATTATTATTATTATTTGGGGCTGGGTACTATGAGCCTATTATGCCAACTACACTGGTGCCCAGCGTGTTGCCAGGCCCAAATCAGAGTGCTGATTCTGACCTTCCAAGTCCTTCATAGTTTGGGGTTGCAGTATCTGAAAAACCGCTTTCCCTCCTTATGTACCTATATACTCCGAGATCAACAATGGGGATCCTTCTCCGAGTGCCACCACAGCTGAGATACAACAGGTGGCTATGAAAAAAAACTGGGCTGCTCAGTAGTGGCTTGCCAGAGAGGTTCTCTCTGCTGCCTAGCTAGACAGCTTTTCGTCCCCAGGCAAAACCCTTTCCTATTCTCACAGGTTTTTAAAATCTGTCGCTTTTAATTTCTTTATCTACTCTCTCTCTCTCTCCCCCCCCCCCCACTTTTGTGTGTGTGCTTGTTTTCTTTTCTGGAATTTGTTTTCCTATCTGGAATGTTGCTGCCTCTTTTAATGCTGTTTCTGTACTGCATTTATTTTTTGTGATTTTTTTTCTTGTTTTAATATTTCTTTGCCCATAACACAAAGAATAACTAAAGCAAACAAGCAAGCAAGCAAGCAAGCAAACAAACAAACAAACAAATAAATAAATGGATACCATTTTAAACAGTAGATGGGAAGATATAATAATCCCTGGGTGTAGGAAACTATCTTATCAGGACTAGTCTAGCCTATTGCTTGCTGTGCTGGTTTCTGCTCAGGGAGTTTTTGTTGGACTTCTGGGAGCATTCGGAAATATGGCTCTCTACCTGCTGTCAGAAGTTCACATTTATTTTGCTTCATGTGTAAACCAGACCTTGATCTGTGGCATTGGGAGACCAAACATTCATTTGCAAACAGTTAACAGCAGGCTTTCAGGCTCCCTCCTAGTAATGCCGAGTATTCAAAGCCTTCACACCTGCTCAGGAAATGATGCTGTCCTGCCCATCTTGCCTCCCAAATATCTTTTCCGGTTTCCTCCAATTCAGCTGTTTGTGCTTCCATCTCATCTCTGAGCATGTTTCCAATTTAGCTCCCTGAAACGCTGCCTCATCAGAATAAATCTGTGCCAAGATACTTAATTCAGTTCTTGCCCTGAGAAATCACCAAACAGTTTAAGACACGAGTCCTGACTTTAGTTACAGGGGACACAGAGGATTGTTACTCCTTATATTATTGCCTCCACGAGGAGGCAAAAATAGCAAGTCATATATGCTTGTTTCTCTACTGTTCAGCTCTGCCAGTGTATATCTGGAGCTAGGTCTGGAGACAAGTATATAGAAACTGGGTGACATTTCTGAATTTTAGGAGAATTTTAGGAGAGTGCCCACTCATACATCACCAAGAAAGAGTAAACCCATTACCAAAAAGAGGTAAAAAACCCCCCATACAAACCTGTAGTAAATCTGTACGTGCTAATTCATTCCTTTTTTTAGGATTGAAGTTGTTGAGCATTTTTTACAATTTTACCCCAGAGTTGCTGAGCTTTTTTTAGGATTTTACCCCAGGACATATACTGCCACGGGTGCTGGATTAAATTGACCAGCGGGCTGGATTGGGCCCCTGAAATGGACTTTGGACATGCCTGCCATAGTAGGACACATGGCCACCCTATCTGCCCCATGGAAGCTGGCAAGCATTAGGTTGTGGCAATGAAGATAGAGAAAGTGTTGTGAATCCATGGTTACATGGCAATGCTGAATCTTTACCTTCCTGTGTACATGGTCATGCTGTGTGAGTGCTGAACTGTGAGGCCGGGCTAGCATATTCTTGAGGCGCCATCAGTGGCCACATCATAGCAAGAGCACACATCAGTGAGGGAGAGGTGTCAGTGGTTCCACACACAGCAAGAGGGCTGGAATTCAGGGCAGTGGTGGAGCTGACGTGTCAGCATCTGGTACGTGCCTTCCTTCCTTTCTCACCTGTTAACCAACTGAACATCAGACTGTACACTTAACTAGCCTAGAGCTAAAATAAAGGTCCTGTTTGGTGTGAGAGGGAAATTGCAGTTGCATCATCACTATCACTCTTACAATATGACAGACCAAGGCTGAATCCTGGTAGGAAGCTCCTTTCCTCATTGTGGTCCCATCAAATGTCATGCCAGACTCATGTCCTGTTCTGACTGGCTTGTTAAGCCGCAAAAATATGCTACCAGCAAAGTCTTATTATATAGGATTCTGACTGCAGTTGACCAAGTGGGCCAGGGGAGGCTATCAGAGATCATCATTAGAGCAGGATGTTCCTAGGGACAGTAGAGGCTGACACCAGCATATAATGTATAGAGCAGTGGTGGGAAACTTGGCACCCTCCATATGTTGTTGGACTCTTGCTCCCATCGGCCGCAGCCAGCATGGTCCATGGTGAGGGATAATGGGAGTTGTAGTCCAACTGCATTGGCCGGAGATGGTGGGGAAGCACAGGTTCTCCAGCTCAATATAGGCTTGCCAAGAGTTCTTTTACTGGCGGCTAAAATAAGGAAATGATTTGCAGTAGCCTTGGTGAGAGAATAACTGGTAGCTGCGCAAGTATTGTCAGTTTTGGAGCTCCTCCTTTGCCATCCAGTGTGTTTATTTTCGTTTTCCACCCTACTGCCTGAGGCGGGGGGAGGAGCTAGATATGGGAGTCAGCTTGTCATCAGAGGAGAATAACTTAGGCTTCTGTGGGGAGCAGGTCTGGGTGGATCCTGCCTCCTTGTTGGGAGTTGCTTCTTCCTGCTGAAGCATCTCCCACATTTGGACTCTGCTCTGGCTGGGTGAGTAAATAGGTCAGTAAAAGGGATACAGGAGACGGGGCCCATAGTTAGCTGTAGGGCAGGGGTGGGGACCTTGCAGCCCTCCAGATGTTGTTGGGCATTTATGCCCATCAGCCTCAACCAGCAAGGCCAATGGTCAGGATTGATGGGGGTTGTAGGCCAACAACAGCTTCTGGACTCCCTACCCCTCCCGTAATATCAGTGGCTTCTATTGGTGTGCTTGACTACCAAAGCTTAAGAGAGGACTTGTTTCCTAGCATGGTGTCACTAGGAACTGGTGTGAGGACCTTTTGCTGACAGGAATGGATTGGGATAGATTTTTAGCCTGCTGTCCCCACAGGCTGGTGGGAACAAACATATCAATAACTTGTGTGCCTGTGTGACTTCTTTTGGCAGTGCTGGCATTCCGCTTGTCGTTAAATCTCCATGGCAACAGCACAGGCTTCTCATGTGACCTGTGACCCTGGCAATTGTCTTTTTGATCCTTACTCTCTGGATTCTGAGCCTGACGACGGCAGCATGGGCAGCGTGGGCAGCCTAGTAGAGAAACAGGATTTCTTGCCAACTGCTCCGGGAGGTCTGCGCGGCATGCGTCAGCCAGACGGGCTGCTCCGGAAAGGAATGTCACAGCGTGAAGTTTTTGGCTACTTGCATGGGGGCAAACGGGACACCCGGGCTGAGAAGAAGCACCAGTCATCTGGAGGTGGCTTTAAACGGGACTATGAGAGTGACCGGGAGAACCAGTCCCCCGAGCGGTATTTCCGGGACAATCAACGGGCAGCTGATTTCTCCAAGAGCTCCTTGCCTGAACGTGGACGCTTTGACAAGGTGAGCAAGCTGGGGGTGTGGTTTTAGGAAGGAAGAGAGCGTTTCTTGGCAGAGACTGGAAGGGGAATGGGGTGGGGCTTCTTGGCATAAATCCAATGCATTTTCCCACCAGTAGTCCTACAGTATTTCTGATGTGTTGAAACAGAAAGCCTTTAGCTGTATATAGTGTCCAGCGGTGTGTGATGTGGGGATATTGGATTAATGGGGTGTTCTGGAGGTCAGCAACTTGCTGTTGGACTCTAACTCCCATCAGCCAAAGCCAACGGTCAGGGCTATTGAGGACTGTAATCAAACAATATATGGGGGGGGCAACAGGTTCTCCACCACTGCATTGGAGCATAGGATGAGCTAATGGACCTGGAGGGACCTAGATGATGAAGAAGAGGAGTTTGGATTTGATATCCCGCCTTTCACGCCCTTTAAGGAGTCTCAAAGTGGCTAACATTCTCCTTTCCCTTCCTCCCCCACAACAAACACTCTGTGAGGTGAGTGGGGCTGAGAGACTTCAAAGAAGTGTGACTGGCCCAAGGTCACCCAGCAGCTGCATGTGGAGGAGCGGAGACGCGAACCCGGTTCACCAGATTACTAGAGTACCGCTCTTAACCACTACACCATACTGGCTGTCTAAGATCTAAGGAGATGCCGTTTATAGTGGACAGAACAACTAGATTGGCTACTGTTGCTGTACTGTTGCTATCGGTGGACCCTAGGATACACTTGGCCTCATGGCCACCAAATTCCACATGGTCTCCAGTATGCTGCTGCTGCTGGCCAGGGAGTGCCCAGCCTACGTGGTCAAAGAAGTAGGCTGCCCCTGCCTGAAACTTGTTCTTCTTGAAGGCCTATGCCATTTATCTTCAACATCTGAACGAGGAAGTAGTTGAGGGGCGATCAGTAGGGAAAACCAAACTATATAACGGGGCAGCAACCCTTTTTTAGACCAAGGGCTGCAATCCTTTTGGGGCTACATGCCAGTGTTGGGTGGGGCCAGAAGCAGAAGTGGGCAGAGCAACAACAAATGTGAATTTTACTTTTGTGCAGGTGGCTAGTTTCCAGGTGGCAAGCGACAAGCATTATCAATTTCAATCAAGCACACGCTGCAACCAAGCAAAAACATTCAGGGCAGTATTTCCCACCCCCAATGACCATCAGTTTATTAATGCAGCAGAATGAGTACACCCAAGGCATGTGCAAATGGATCTGCATTGTCTGAGAAAACAGTCCTCTCTGATGAGGGAGTGCACCTCATCATCTGTCGGGTATCTTCTGAGCTCCGAGAGTTGGCAACGCTGATGAACGAACAGGAGACAACATCCCAGGCTCACCACTTTAGCTTCAGCATCAAGTCACACATAATGAAAATCATTCCCAGTAGATTCATGCAGTCTGGTGTGGGGTCTTCCAGGGTAGGGTTGTTCTCTGTGGATAGAGGTTTGTATCTGAGAATGTGATTTGGCCACCGTGGGTTCATTGCGTTGTTACCGGCCATTGTGCACTGCCTATGGCTACTCCGAGCAGCCCCCATCGCAACACCAGCTTCTGCTTCTATTGATACTCAGAGCACTATTAAAAGAAATAATTTCATGAGCAGAACTACTTCCGCTTGCACAGTGAGACTCCCCCTCCCCACCATGTGAGGTGTGCGCCTCCCCAGATTTGCTCCGGAGTGTTGGGGCAACCCCTGAATCAGATTTGGGGGACAGGGTGGAGGGAGAAGAGGGGGAGATTGTTGCACAAGGAGAATTCTGTGTGCTGATGGAATGTTCACCTTAGCACCATATTGATTTCCACTATAGCGCTATATTGAATTCCATCCTTGAGGCAGGTCCAGTAGCGGGTGTGGCTGAGGAAGGGCGTGTGGCTTGAGAAGAGTCCCAATGGCCAGATAAGAGATGTAGAGGACCACAGTTGCCCCCTAGACCTGCTGTTCTGCATCCCTGCTATATAGAACCAACTCTACAAATTGTGGCAAGAACATGTTGACCTCCTTCCATCCCTGCTTTGCTCATGGGCTGATGTACCTGCTAATGGCTCTTGTGTTCCTTCCAGTGTCGGATAAGACCCTCTGCCTTCAAGGTGGTGTCTGGGAAGAGCTTGTTGTCCATGCCGGGGCTGTCATCAGCCAAAGGCCAGAAGCTGTCCAAGAGCAACGGGAGCCTGCACACGCTGCTGACCCAGAGCAGCACCAGCAGCTCCTCGCAACGCGGCCCTCTCCGCAGCCACCTGCTGCACACCATCAGCCTGGACGAGAGCACCAACTCGATCCAAAGCTTCCCCACCTACACTCCCCGTTTCAAACCTGCTCCAACTCAGCTCAGTGCTTCCGTAGGCCACATCAACCACATTGGCGGTTCCTTAGACAGGGCTTCTCGGGGGCCACGGGACCCTTTGGCTGTAGACAAAGCACCTCTGTCTTGCAAGAGCCTCAGTCGCCTGCAGAGCTCTGGGGAACCACCCCCTCCGTATGAACCCACATACTCCTTGGAAGATGTGGTGAAGCAGCTCGAGGACCGGCTGACAGAGAAGGGCATGGAGCTCCGCCAGCTTAAGAGAAATCTGAGTGAGAATGATGATCCCTTCACACAGGTGGGTGGATTTTCACCACAGGATGGGCTTACTTGGTCCTGTGGAAACTACAGTCTGCTCTCCCTTTCCTCATTTTGTCTTCTCTTTTTTGGATCTTGCATCATCTTCCATTCCTAAAGCACCCGATCCTTAATTTGCATCCCACATACATCACTGTCAGCCATGTCACCCTTCTCTAGGCTTGCTAGTAGCTACTTTCCTGGATGCCTGTGGTGAATAAGAATGGCCTCAAGGCAGTGGAGAAGCTTTTCTATGGAGTAAGAAAGCTGGTTGCTCCTACACTGCTTTCAGGCTTTCAAAGTGCCATACAGATTACTAACATGGGTATGTTGGGGCAGGTGGACTAGTAACAGTACTTCATTGCAAGGCTGCTTATTTGCAAGACTCTCAGTGTCTGATTTCCACTCCTATCTGGAACCAATTCCTGCCACCAATCTAGTCCTGAGCTACTTTGAAAGAAAGGGTGGGATATAAATTTAATTAAAGAATTCCTTGCACATTCCTCATTAAGTATATAACAGAAATAGAGGAAAGGAAAAAATAGTTTACATAGGAGATGTGTGTGAAGTACCGTGTGTGCCAGTGGAAGGAAGGAAGGAGTAGAGCATGTAATCGTCGTGGTGAAGCTTTTCCACACAGAAATGGGTTATATTGAAATGCGTGTTGATGAGGGATCTCCTCTGTGAAGCAGACTGTAGAGCTGAGAACTTGAGCTCCAATTTTTCTCCCTGGTCTGATTTTATTTATTTTACTATATGTATATGATCATTGAAAAACATCTTCTCTTACATTGGTCCCAGCACCAGTGTCAAGGGAGCTGGACTCCCCACAGTGAAAGACAATGGCCAAATTGTGTTACAGGCAGGTTTAAAAATAATTGTGCAATTATGTTCATAAAAGTGACTTGCCCAATTGTCCCTATGTGAATGATTTGTGTGGTCTAAAATATTAAACAACTACTTTGGGGGGCAAACTTTTCTGCTTGATTTCCTTGAAGCAATTCTTAGCCTCCCTAGGCTGTCAGGTAAATGTGCTTCATAGCCCCTTTTTGTTTTACTTGGTTTTGTTTTGAAAATTTTCTTTTTTGTTGATGATGTGGAGAGCACAATAGAGTGAAAAAGTGAACTGCCCAGATAATATTGCAGGGTTTTGCTGCCCATCCATATCTTCTGTTTGGAACATGCAGTCTTACTGAGTGTCAAGCTATGCTCTGGGGACAGAATGACTTGGCAGTTCTGCTGTCACTGGACTGTGTTTTGTTCTACCAGCCAAGGAGTTACACATCATGAATATTGAAAAGCTGCTCCTTTTCTGAATCATAACATATGTTAATTAAGTTTATACGGTCATACATATTCAGGTTGATTATAAATGAGCTGACTTATTCTGAAGCAGGCTAGTACTAGCCCTTCTTACCAGTCCTGTCTATAAACAGACTGGCAGCAGAATCTCAGGATGTAGACTCTTCCCAGTTCTGTTATCTGGATCCTTTCAGAGGTAACCAATGTGGTCTCTCTAGATGTTTCCATACTACAACTCCCATCATCCATGACCATTGGCCATGCTGGCTGGGGTTGATGGGGGCTTGGAATCCAATAACATCTGCAGGGTACTGTGTTGGCTACGCCTTTTACCTTGTGATGCTATGGACTTAAACTGAGACATTTAAAGAATGAGTCCTAGAGTAGAATAGATTTGCCTTCCATAGAAAGCCTGAGCTTTCTGGATTGGGATATCTTTTGTACTGAGAAAAGTCATTGATTTGCCAACTGAATCTGGCCAGTCATCTCAAGGGCTGACGTAAGACCCCTCCATGATCTTCTCTCATTTTGACAGATGTATGAGGACAAACAGCGCTTGTGGATGGATGAGCTGGATGAACTGAAGCAGATGTATGTAGCCAAGCTGCAGCAAGTGATGCAACAGGCCCAACGCAGCCAGCGGGCACTTCAGCTGCAGCTCTACAAAGCTCAGCAGGAAAAGAAACGGCTGCAAGAAGAGCTGGACCTTCAGCAGAGGCAGTGCGAGGAGCTGAGGCTGCAGCAGCAACAGGCAGAGCGCTTGAGCCCCAAGTTGGAGGAGACCCAGTGGGAGGTGAGTGGGGAAAACCCATACAGAGCACAGTGCCAATGTCCACTGTGATCCTGGCTCTTCTTTGCTCCTCAGCATGCTCATGGTTCTACTGGTGTCCATGCATCCCCATCTGGGAGTGGAGGCTGCCAGTTCTATTGAACTCTGGTGTTTTTGCAAAGCAGATCAATTCTTACTAGACAGCTGGCAAAGTTTTTGTGGCTACTGCTTCCCTCTTGCCAAGCTGTAGAACTAAGTTTTCACATGCAAAGCCTTACGTTCACAATCCTATCTGAGCAACTCCCAACATCTCCCTTTCTCTCTGGTCTTTGTTGTTGCTTGGTTGACTTTGCTGTGGGCATGACATTGTCCTTTGGAAATATTCCAACCCTTTCCCTCTGCTGTGCTGCAGCACCCAGAATCCAACAGCTCACTGCTTCTCTTTGTCTAGTCTTATCCCCTGTTCTCAGCCTAATGTACTGTTTTGACAGGTCTGTCAGAAGACTGCAGAGATTTCATTGCTCAAGCAGCAGTTCCGAGATGCCCAGGAGGAGATAGCCCAGAAACTGGGTGAAATCTTCAGCTTGAAAACACAGCTGCGGGAGGTCCGAACAGAGCTGCAAGCCAAGGACTCGCAACTGGCACAGTTGGGGAACTCTTTCCAAACCTTGCCAGAGCGCAGCTCCCCTGTTCCTCCACGGGACTCTCCCATGCAAGCATGCCAGGACTTTTTGGGTTGTGAAACAGATGACTCTAAAAGTCAGGGGATGCAGGGGGAGAGCGCAGAGGGCGCTGAGTGGCTATGGGGAGAATTGCTGCGCGAGAGGCGCCAGGCCCAGCTACAAGCTGCAAACTTTGAGCAGGAGCGGAAAACTTGGCAAAAGGAGAAGGAAAAAGTCCTGCGCTATCAGCGGGAGATTCAGGCCAGCTATATGGAGATGTACTACCGGAACCAGACACTGGAGAGGCAGCTAAGTGAGTTCCGGCAGTTCCAAGCTGAGCCCAGAAGTATCAGCTCGGAGCCACCTTGGATTGAAAGAGTTGAGTCCTCAAAGATCTGAACAGTATGCAAGGGGCTCTGTGCTGGAATTACAAAGGGGAGAGGTACCACACAGCAGCATGGACCTTGGGGTTTTGGTAGAAGAAGTGGTTAAACTAAAGGACTGGTTAACCTCGCCCACAGAGGATTTTGAAGACTGCTGCTGTCCATGGAATGGAATCCCAGCATTGCACCTGGCATTTTCTGTCCGTCCAGGTAGGCCTTTGCCTCCCTGTCACTGCTGTCTTGGAGGGCAGAATGCTTTCCTGTTGTGTCCTGCTTTGTGCCCACACTGGCACTGTCTGTCAGGATGGAAGGCTTGTTATTGTGGAATGTGAACGGCCACGATTGGGAGCTATGGCCCTTCTTGAAAATGTCTGAAGAAGAATGTGCAAAAGATGGTGCCACCGAGTAATGAGCCCTTCGTGGAGCTTTGGCTGTGTCTCTTCACAACTTGAGACTTGGCCTGTTGTGCTGAGAAGCAGTGGTGGAGCAAGCTTACAACACAAGGCCCACACAACTGGAGCTTCTAAGAGAGGCACAGCACGAGGACCAGCGGCAGAGCAAACCAATCGGGCACCTGGGATAGCGTTTGTGCCCTGCACCTGCGGGGCAGGGCCAGCCAGGGCAGGATGCTCTGTAGGGCGGCTGAGTGGGAGAAGGCAGGCAGACTCCTTGGAGGCCCCGCGGAGTGTCCTGCTCCGGCTGGTGCTGCCCCTGGGCACAGGGCATGCTCGCTGCCCCAGGCACCCGATTGGCTTGCTCCGCTGCTGGTCCTCATGCTGTGCCTGTCTTAGAAGCTCCAGTTGTGTGTGCCTTGTATTGTAAGTGACAAGATGTTCAGCTCCAGAATGTGTAAGTCTGGTCCAAAAGCTCACTGAAAGCCAAACCAATTGGGCTCATCAATCCAGAGGGCAGGCAGGGTCATCTGGGCTTGGGCCAGTTTCTCCATAGGCAATGGGGAGAATGGGGGTGCGACTGTTCTGTCCCTCTGTTCTGTTGCTGCTTGGTGCCCCAGTTTTTGGATTTGAGGGTTCTGGGCCAGAGTGATGAGTCCTGAAATGGAAGTTCTACCTGGCAATTCCTGGAATAAAAATCTGCCTGACACCTTTGGCTCCACATTTGTTGCTTTCTCTTTCCACTGTAGCATCCCCTAACATTTCTGCTATTGTTGACCATGGCATTTATACTGTAATGAACGTTCAATACACATGCTTACGTTGCTCCACAACCAGTTCTTGCAGTCTTACCTAGGCCAGTTAGAGCAGCGAGAAGAAATGGGGCCATGCATAAGACAGCAATGGAGATGACTCTCTTGCCTCTGTTTCTTCGGTAGGGAGGTGGGTGGGTGGGTAGGTAGGGGGTGGTGATAAGAGGGAATCTTCTTGAAGCGTTTTTCTGAATTCAAGGGTGGAAAGTCAGTATAATCCTTTATCTGGACTGCAATCTGAGATGATGGAGAAAGGATTGATTGTGGTTTCTAGCATCCTGCAGCTTCTCTTCCTGCTTTAGAACAGTGTTTGCTCACCCAACTGGTAAGAAAAGTGTGAGGTGAGCACAGAGAGTTTGGCATGCCCAAGCCATTTGAATTCAGGAAATGTACAGCGTAACTAGCAAGAGCAGAAAACAAAATAATTATCTGCTGGCTGGTAGAGGATTTGACAGATCTGATGACCAAATATTGTACTGGGTGTGGGATATCCAGTCTTATATAAGACAGTTTCCTTCCCTGCAAAAATTTCTCTAAATTATACTGCAACTGAAGCAGCTAAGCAATTTAATTTATTAGCCTGAGAAACTGGCTGAGCTTCACTGTGGCCCCGCCACCTCTAGAAATCTAATGTATTTATTGGATACCTATGATGTGTACTTGGCTCATGTCCAAGCCAAAAGCCAAAGGCCTGGGTTAGTGAATGGTGGAATGGAAATTAATGAAGAAATTGCAAAATAGATTGCATAAGAACACCAGGCTGCATAAAAACACTAGGCCTGGTTGGGAACGTGCTTCCTACAATTCCAGTTGAATTGGACTTCCCTGGTCCCAGGAAACTGCAGAGGCTTGGCTTGTTTTTCTTGTCGGACAGCCGGCTGTTGAAATCCCTTGTTTGTTTCACTGTGCCCACACCAGTCCAGTGCTCTGTTGGCGCCTCATCCAAAATCCCCAAAGCAGGTTTCCACCCATCAATTAGAGCTGTGCAGAGTTGAGGAGCAACCCAGGAGAGGGCGGCACCAAAACTTGGCAGCAAAGCCAGAAACCAAGCTGCTAGCTCAGATGCCACAGGGAAGAGTTGAGGCATCACAGGGAGCAGTAGTGCTTGCCTTCTAGAGCTGCTGGACAAACCAGTTTCCTGAATTCCACAGGACTGATTCATTCCTTGGAAGGAGATGGGGCCCGGGCAGGTGCCACTGATACAAAGAAATCTGTGGTGCTACAGCTCCAATCCAAAAACACTTGGAAAGCTCAGACGTCCTGGCCCCTCCAGCCATCCTGCATTTGGCATGTGTTTCCTCCAAAGGTCTATGACAGCAGTGTTTCCTTCTTGGCCCCCAGCCCAGAAACCTGGTCTCTACAGCTTTTCCTACTGTGAAGACAAGCGTGTCACTCCACTTTACATTTCTGCCCACTACAGCTGGACATAAGACAGCCTCACAAACATGTACTGTTCACTTTGGTGTTTTTCAGTGGTGGGATTGTTCCTCAGTTCTGCTACAGTATTTCATTTCCTGGACCTGTAGGTGAACATTGCTCAACAATCCTTTCCCACTTTTGTGGTTTATATCCAGCAAAGATGTGGACACTACATTTTTGTCACAAGCCAAGGTCAGAGGTTTTCTGGAGACTAGCTCCTGTTTTTCAGCTGCTGTAGCTTCTGTCTATAAAGTGGACTGCCTGTGGATTCGCCTTTGTCAACATTGAGGCACCCAAACAGGTACTGATGCTCCACTGCGAGTCTACTGTACTAGCATTGTGGAAACATAGCACAATTCATCTGCATAAGCAATGGCCAAATTGCTGTGCATGAGCTGGGTGTTTAGCTGTTTTATCAAATTTTAATCAAGGTGTGATTGAAAAAGAAATGCACACATAAGGAAAATAAAATGTCTGGCACATGTTGCTCATTGTTTTCAATGTAATGCCCCAGCTGAAAACCTTAGAAGAGCAATGAGATACCATGTGCATTTCATAAAAGTCTAGTGTTCTCTAGTGTTCTCTAGTCTAGTGTTTTCCAAAAAGTAAGGGACCACTGCTGATTTGCCTCTAGAAGAATAAATATATAGGAAATGAGTTGTTAAGCCTTCATATAAGCCACCAATAAATGAATGTACCGTTGGTAATGGAAAGCAGGGATACTTCTTATTTTCCCTTCTTGCCCCAATGGAAGTAAGTCCTGTTTAACGCAATGGGACTTACTACTGAGTAGATGTTTATAGGGTTGCACAGTAAAGGTAAAAACCAATACACTGAATTTAAGTTGGAGGTGTAACTGGATGCCACCAGAGCTCTCCCAGAATTGGGCTTATATGGCTCTAGATAAACCAACAGGCTACCTGCATTTTGTATTGGGTGAAGTTTCAAGGGCAGCCCCATGCAGAATTCACTACAGCAATCAAGATGAATATTTACGTAGACATGCTCCTTGAGCAAATATTAAAGGTTGGTACCACCTCTGACACCTTGAGCTGAAGAATTAACAGAAATGTTTCAGAAAAGCCATAGTAAAACATGCCAGGGCTGTGTCACCAGTTGGAGCACTAAAACTGCTAGGATTGGTTGTTCTTAATAGGTACCTTTTTAGATAATGAGCTACTTTTCACATACCGACAAGCCTCTGCCTGATCTGTCACTGCAGAAACACTTCGTTGGGCTTTCAAACTAAAAGTGGGTTCTGATTAGCTCTAAAAATGGTTCACTCCAGTCCTGCACTGCACGTCATCCGAGCCAAGAATGGTCCGTTCCACCCAGCTGTTGCCCGTTGATGGTTCATTCCAGGCACACCCTATCCGAAAATGAGGATGGTTTGATCCATCATTAGAGAACTTTAGCAGTTATGCCTATATAGGACCGCACCAGGGAAGGAGGCGGCTTGATACGCAATTATTCTTCTGTTGTTCCGGTCCGGAGAAGATTGACGTCTCATTCCGCGACTCTCAGGTTAGCTGTTCTCTTTCCCCCTTCCCCACCCCGGCTGTCCCTGGAAATGGTGCCGTCCAGTGCTCACACCGACCAGTAAAGGAATGTGCCACTGTAATATAAGGGGTGTGCGTGTGTTCTCCACCCCCACAGTACGGTGGTCTAGTCTCGCCCAGAGAGTGTGTTAGACCTATGGTGTCCCTCACCTTCCCAGTTTGAACGCTCCGGGCCGTGAAATACACACTCCCAGCCCATAAGGGGCTGCCACAGTACCTTTCTCGGCCAGTACCAAGCGGTTAGGGAGGCCGGGGGTGGGTGGGGGGCTTCCTTTCCGTTCCCTCTCTTTCTCCCTGACACCTTCCCCTTTGGCTCGGGTCTTATGGCCGCGCCGGGCCAGTGACTGATTGGGCGCTCTTGTCCCGCCTCCTCCAGGGCGCGCGCGGCAGAGGCAAGGCCGGGGCGATGGAGCGCTGCGCCTGCGTGGAGAGGGAGCTGGACAAAGTGCTGCAGAAGTTCCTGTGCTACGGCCAGCACTGCGAGCGAGGTCTGGAGGAGTTGCTGCGCTACGTCAGCCAACTGAGGGAGGAGCTGGGCGCTGCAGGTACGCGCGGGGGCCTCCGTCTGGCGGTGGCCAGTCGGCTCCTGCCTCTGAGGGAGCGAGGAAGGAAGGGCGGGAGGGTCGAGGGCGGCGTCGGGAGCGGCTACAGCTGGCGGCTTCTCGAGTGTACTCCTCATTAGTTCGAAAATATAAGCCCCACCGAGCACAGAATGACCCACCCACATTATTTATTACATTTATATCCCGTTCTTCCAAGAGAGGGTGGCCTGTTTTGTCCTTCACAACGACAACCCTGTGAGGTAGAGCTTAGGCTGAAGGGGAGTGGCTGGCCCAAGGTCGCCCAGTTTGGGTTTAAGAGTGGCTAGCTTCATGTGGACACTATGGACACAACCCTGTCATGTAAGGTAGGCTAACTTGATATTGTGGCAGGGCTGCTCCTTTTCTTTTTAGATGCATCAAATGTGTGAAGTGTTATCCTCAGCTGGCAGATATATAATGTGGGTGGGTGGGGCAATTTGTAATCCCTGGAGCCCCAAAGGCAATGAAATGTAGCTACAGGGTGCATCATTTGCTTCAGTCATTTTACAAGTGAATTAGTTGTGAGTCCCTGTCCAAGGAACCGGAACAAATCTGGTTGCATTGTAAGCTTGAGTTACCAACAGTGGAGTGTGTGGTGTGCTCCTTGTGGTAGCTGGAAGCTTGTGTGCTTCCTAAAGGAAGTGGTCAGTAGGTTTCTGGGTTAAGATAGGACTTGTACTGTCCATTCTGTAGCTACACAGTCTAACACATTTCTAACTTCTTACCCTGCCATCAGCCTGGACCAGTCGTGGAACAGGTTATAGTGGTACCTCGGTTTACAAACTTAATCCGTTCCTGAAGTCTGTTCTTAAACCAGATACGTTCTTCAACCAAGGCGCACTTTCCCTAATGAGGCCTCTCGCCGCCCGTGCCTTTCCACCGTTTGGCTTCCATTCGTAGACCGAGGTAAAGTTCGCAAACCTACTTCTGGTTTTGTGGAGTTTGTAAACCGTGTAGTTCGTAAACAGGACTGTTCGTAAACCGAGGTATCACTGTACCGTCTTGAAGTCCTCAAACCTTTTGAAACAGAAGCCAAAGAATGGTTGATTGAAGACAGCCATAAATATTGTATACGTTGGCATAATGTAGAGTTGTTTAGGTATCAATGGTAGTGCTATTGACCTGAAGATACAAATTTCCCACAAATCTGAAGTAACTGTGGAGGAGGATGTACTGAAATATCTTCAGGAATGACAGTACTGGTAGATTGTGATCCATCTTGGTAGGGAAGTTGACATTTACAACCTCAACCTCCACCTCTTTGCTGGAACAGTGTCTCTGGGAGACTATCAGTACATTGAAACTTCAAGGAAATCTCTGACAAAAGGGAAATTTTGGCATGAGTTTGCTGAACCAGAATTTATCAGTAAAGTTGTTTGTTTAGGACTCAGAACCAAGGTTTTCTCTAAGACTAATGATGATAAATTGGCACAGCAAAGATTGTGTTAACCAGTGAAAGCTATTTATGTTACTAATAGATTAGTGAAAAGGTTGAATGTCTGTTTTGCTTTTATAGAAGGTTCTCCTGTTTTCTTGAAGCACATTATACCATAATTTATATATCATCTATTTGAAAGCAGCAAGATTCCTAGAATTGGTTTTGAGTGTTCCTGCTCTAGAAGCAGGGGGAAAAGCCAGTGTGGTGTCATGGTTAGAGTGCTGGACTAGGACTTAGGAGACCACTTTATAAATCCCTATGTGACCATGAAAGCTCATTGGATGACCTTGAGCTGGTCACTATCTCTCAGCTTATCCTACCCCATAGGGTTGTTTTGAGGATAAAAAGGAAAGAGGGAGAATTATATATGTCACCTTGAGTTCCTTGGAAGAAAAGTGGGATAGATGTAATAATAAATAGATAAAATTAAGATCCCACCCACCCATAGCCCCATAATCTGTTCATTCTCTTACTGGTGAGCATAAATTTCTCCCAAGACTAAGATCTGGGGGGAAACTGTTGGCTTCTGTTAATTCCTACCTGTTCCAGATCAGATTTGTAAGCAATAAGGAAGTCTTGCTCTATAGATTACAGGTAATTTGCATCTTACATGATGGTTCAGTTCTGGGAGTCCACATGTAAATGCAAAAATGTGCAAAACCGGGAACTGGTCAGCTTTGGGTGTGAGGACTCCAGGATGTTGCCAGAGCCCTAGCACTGCCTTCCCAAAGCCAGGTAAGTCGGTGATCACAGCCTTGTGCGGGTGGGTGGAGAATAAATAAATGGAGAGTGGGTTTCCCTTGCTCTCCATGTATTTAATAATTCTTCTTCCTTGGCGATCACTCGTAGCCGACTAAGATTGTCTTCCATAAACACGGTTTTAACAATGAGTCCATAAGTGACTGTGGAGGCCAATGCTGGCTCCACACGTCCTTCCACAGTGGGGACATTGGGCGGGAGTTGATCTCGGTGTGGATTTGCCAAGCGTGCCTTCCTCTTAGCACATTTCTCCCTTGCATCCAGAGTTTGAGTGTCTTCAAAGCGCATGACGCCTTTGGTAAAGGCTGTTCTCCAATTGGAGCGCTCGCAGGCAAGTGTTTCCCAATTGTTGCTGTTTATACTACTTTTTTAAATACCCCGCTGCACACAGTTGCAATCGTGTAAGTAAAATAAGTGTAAGATTCGAGTTACCTGTATGCTCTTGAACTGGCACCCACACTAAGATATAATTGCTGCTTCTCCTGCAGCCTTGCAACGAACGCCACTGTCTGCTACTCTCTCCCTGGTTATGTCCCAATGCTGTAAGAAGATCAAAGACACAGTGCAGAACCTAGCTTCAGACCACAAAGACATTCACAGCAGTATCTCTCGTGTGGGCAAAGCAATCGATAGGGTGAGTAGGTTTCAGGAGCAAGGTGGGAACCCAAGCATTTAAAACTGAAAACTTGATGAGTTTTGAGAGCAAATGTTTTTCTTGTATGTGCTCCATCGCCCTATATAGAGCTCATTATTGAAACATGGGTCTTTAATGGATTAGTGCAGTGTGCATCTTCTCTTCTATATTGTGCTTTGACTCCATCCACACTGCCTGATTTTATCCAGGCCCACAAATGTCTCCCTGTTTTTCCAACCTGCAGAACCAGTGTCTTTCCTCTGTGTTAACACTGAAATCTAGAATTCTGCATAAAAGAATACAGTCATACCTCGGGTTGCGAACACTGCGGGTTGCGCATTTTTGGGTTACGGACGCGCCGAACCCGGAAGTACCGGAACGGGTTACTTCCAGGTTTCGGCACTTGTGCATGCACAGAAGCGCCAAATCGCGTCACGCGTGTGCACAGACACGGTGCTGTGGGTTGCGAACGCTCCGGGTTGTGAACGTGCCTCCCGCACGGATCACATTTGCAACCCAAGGTTCCACTGTATTAGATTGTCCAGAGTTCAGTATTTCTAGTAAACACATGTGTGCTTTGTATTGGCTAAATAAGGGTGGCTCCTGTTTTTTCTTTTTCTTCACAGACATAGTTCAAATGGGATTAGTTTTGGTTTTGCAGGGCTAGGAGTGAAAGCACGGGGGGCATTAAGCAGAAGAATCAGAGTTGAATCTTGTGAGAATTTCCTTGACTATTGCCAAGGAGAGGGATATTATTTAAGCCTTGATAGTGAACACGACTAGAAACCATTGCAAACTCTGTTCATGCCATGTTAATGTGATCTCTCTGCAGTTGCCAAGATGGCAACCCACCTTGCTTTCCAACATGCATAAGTTCCATCAAATGACTATACCCCCTTTTTAAACTCAGAGCTGGAGAACTAGTGGCAAGCACTGTGGGAAGCCCAGATCATGAATAAGTTTTTGGAGTTGAAACCAGTAATTCAGCTGTTGTCATTTAAGAAATTGAAGGAAGTTCTCCTGCCTCAACTGAGGATTGGGCCTAGGGTCCCTCCCCATCAGTATCTATGGAGAGGAAGACTTAATCCATGTGCTTTCCTTTTGCTGTTAAATCAAGAGCATCCACATTTCTCCAGCACACAACAAGCCTTTCTACCTATCCAATTCCTTGCTCTGAGGTTCCTTAGCTCTGTTGCTTGCCTGTCATCTTTTCTCCCAGACTGTTTAAATTACTGGAAACAAGTTACTGACAAGAATGCCCCTGAATTTGAAAAAAGACTTGCATGTGGTGCAATATGGCTGCCACTACTATGTCCAAAACTTCAGTATACTTCTCTAGCTGTCTGTAGATACTGCCAAATTCATAGTGATATGGGATGACAGCTAGTACTCAGTGCCGATGGAAAGCCACTTATTTCTACTACTTGTTCTGGGGCTTTCTTTAGTGCTTGTGAATGACTGACGCCTTGTTCTGTTCCAGCATTTTGATGCTGATTTGTGTGGCATTGTTCCTGCTATGGTCTGGGAGTCTCAAGAGAAGCAGATCCTGGTGTTGGCCATCATAGAGCACCTCTACCAACAAGGGATGCTAGGAGTGGCGGAGGAACTGTGTCAGGTACAGGGGTTTGAGGAGATGGAAGTGTAAATGTTATTTGCATGGTGTATGGGAACCGATAGTTGCATCTCTACATTGTGCCACGGCGCTGCTTGGTATTGACCATTGAGATGTGCCAGGAAAGGTCTCTGTTTCCTGCTTGCATATGCAGGAGGATCAGAAGCTTGAACCTGCCAGCCAGTTCCACTGCAAAGTACAACAAGCTGCCTATTCCGCTGCCTCTTCTATCCAACCTGCAGAGGATGGATATGTACTTGACAGCCTCCCTCTGGGAATATTTACCTTGCCTTGAGCCTTGTTCTAATTTGGCTTGCCCTTCCACAGGAATCCACTGTGAATGTGGATGTAGACTTTAAAAAGCCATTCCTGGAACTTAACAGTATATTGGAAGCTCTGCACAAACAGGATCTGGAGCCTGCTCTGAGGTAAGAATGATGAGCTATATTCTGTTTCCCCTCTTAGGAATAATAAGTACAGTGGGAGAGGAAACAGAGTCCTAACAGAATGATTTTGAAGTAGGGCCTATGGCAAGGGCCATTGGGGGAACCACACTCTTCATTATCAGTGAGCCTATCCACTCTGTGGGTCTGCCATCTTTTCTCTTCCAACAAGCACCAAGAAGTTCTGCTTGTTTTGTTTTCACTCATTATCTTCTACACAAGGCCAGGGTATTCCTGTAATAAGATACCTGAATTTGTGAGCTCACAGCATGCTGAGAAAATGCTGCTTCAACCTGCCTCAGACCAGGTCGCCCACAAATATTAGCTTGGATTGGAGTAGCACCCATTCTAAGGGCAGCTTTATATGTAGATGATGGCATTGAGCGGTGTTGTCTCTTGCTCAGTTGGGCAGTCTTCCACCGACAGCAGCTGGCAGAAATGAACAGCAATCTGGAGTTCCGGCTGCATCGACTCTACTTCATCAGGCTCCTTGCTGGCGGTTCAGGCAAGGAGCTAGAGGCCTTGAGCTACGCACGCCATTTCCAGCCCTTTGCTCACCTGCATCAGCAAGGTGAGGCTGTTTCCAGAAGCCTACTCTGCTACTTGCTCCTTGGGAGGAGCTTTCTTGCCTTTAGGCTGTTTCTCTGGGCCTTGCCGCACCCAATAGAATGGGCTCATATTTTGTTGCTTCAAAGTGTTTGGAGTTTCCCTTTTTAGTAGGGGAAGTCTTGGGAGTTGTTGACTCAGCCTGGTCATTGTCATAGGTATCACCATTTCCCAATAACTGGTTCCATAACAGGCCAGCCCCGTTAGCAAAAGTATGTTTACCTGAGTGCTGCTTCCTGCATTTGTCATCTGCAGAGATCCAGGTGATGATGGGCAGCCTGGTGTACCTGCGTTTGGGCCTTAAGAATTCTCCATATAGGCATCTTCTGGATGAGAGTCAGTGGACTGAAATTTGTGAGATATTCACTCGTGATGCCTGTGCCCTGTTAGGTCTCTCAGTGGAGTCACCTCTGAGTGTCAGGTAAAGCTTGTTGTGGGTGGGACTGGCGGTGGATTGAGCAGTGCTGAGCTATCTCCTCCCTCCTTCTCTCTCGGCAGCTTTGCTGCAGGATGTGTAGCACTGCCGGTGCTGATGAACATCAAGGCTGTGATTGAGCAGAGACAGTGCACGGGTGTCTGGAGCCACAAAGATGAGCTGCCTGTGAGTGCCTGGCCCATTCAGGGGTAGGGTGCTATGAGACAGCTGCAGGGTGGGGATATTTTTGTGAAATAAAGTTAACTATAACAACCAGGTTATGGGCCTAATTATTTTCTGCTTGTTTTATCAGATTGAAATTGAGCTTGGGATGAAATGCTGGTACCACTCGGTCTTTGCGTGTCCCATTTTGCGACAGCAGACAACTGATTCTAACCCACCCATCAAGCTCATCTGTGGGCATGTTATTTCTCGAGATGCCCTTAACAAGCTGATCAATGGAGGGAAGTGAGTGGTTTTTACAAACTAACTTTCCTCAATTCTGGGAGGCTGTGGATGACGAACTCTTGCCTGAAAACTTGAAGTATCCAGGCTCTCCTACCTGTGAAATGCTGTGGTCACCCCGACAGGAGTAGATTCCCCACACAACTCATTTCCATGTACCGTAGGTCCAGGAAGTCTCTTTCATCTTGAAGCAGTTTATCACTATCATTTTATTTTTTGGGGACTACATGATAGTTTCACTGTGTCTGCTGCCCTCTGCTGGGTAACTAGGTCATACTGCAGTTGCTATAGTAAGGGGGAGCTTAGTACTGCTCCTTGTAGTTTCTTAGTAACTGGCAAGCCCAAGGCCAAATCAGACTTGTTAACAGGGCAGAGAGGAGAGTGAGGTAGTGGACCAAACACCAGGACTTGCTAGTGGTCTACTGGAAGTATGGGTCTGGGTCAGCTTCCTGCTTATCTGCTTTAGTGGTCTGGTAGGACTACTTGCCAATGAGAATTCTAAGGCCTTGTTTTGATTCTGATCTTTCTTTGTGCAGGCTGAAGTGTCCATATTGTCCCATGGAGCAGAGCCCTGCTGATGGAAAACGCCTAATCTTTTGATAATGGCATGCCTTGGAGATGTTCTGGTGAAAATAGGCTGTTGGGATAATGCTTGATGGAAGGTGGCATATGCTGGCAGGAATGGTCTTCTGCTGTGAACAGTATTAGCTGCTACATGCTGGGAACTGACTGTAGCTCACTGGGCCAGAGGAGAGCAATCTTATGTCTACTGTAAGCCAAGCCACATTATTCTGTACTCGTCGCAACATACAACTTCCTAGGATTATTCCTGGGAGCTTTAACTGGCAGTGATCCTTCCTAGCAAGATGGTTTACACTCTCCCCATGCATAGCTCTACTTGTTGAGATACAGCTTGTATCACAAATAGTACACAGGGAGCTGTTGCTATTTTTAAAACACTTCAAGATAAATCTAGGTCTTTTTTTCTGTTTCAATCCATCAGTTTGAGGGGGGGGGGAGCCTTAGAGCTGCCTTTCTCTTCCCACTGCCCAATATGCGCTTTTGACAATGGGAAGGATGGAATTTAAGTTGGGAGAAGTATGCTGGAAACTTGGCTTACTGCTATTTTGAAGAAAAGTTTAAAATAGGTTGGAAATACAATGGTGAAAATATTTGAATCAACAAAGGTGGAATTTGGGCCCTCTGTACTAATACACAGTGTAGCTCTTCAAAAAACAAGGGATAAGTAATAAGATGTATTGTTTCCTAATGAAAATAACACAAGTGAAAAACTGTGACAGCACTATATTAAAGAAATTCATACTTTATGACAGGTACATGATAGCAGCTTGCTGCTTTTGAGTGTTAGAAAGCCTAGCAAAGCTACTTTATCCATTGTGAAGGAGTAGAAAATGGAGAAAGTACCATGACTTTGTGCAGGTTGAGAAAGCTGGTAGAATAGTAACTATCATTGAGACATCCTTAAAAGTAGGTATACAGTCTATTTTATTCAAGAAATTTGAAGTAATCCTTTCCCCTGTTGCTGACAATTCACAGCATTTGCAAGTACTCATTAAGGTTACAGATACACATCAGAACCTGACTAGGTGAACTATTTTAGGCAATGGTCCTAAAAAAGCTCTGTAATATGGGAGAATGGGGGTATGGATAATTAACAGGGATCTTGAATCTGATTTAGAGATTTGAACTCCCTTGGAACGAGACCCGAAAGTAATATTAAAACAACTGGCAGAGTTTAAATCTGTGTTGCTTGAAGTCTGAACTTAGCTCTGAAAGCTGAGCCCATTTTTATTAGAACGGTGAGGGTAAATAGTTTAAAGCTGTAGGCGCAGGAGTTGGTGCCTACAAGTTGCACTTTAATTAGATTTTTGTTGTTTAAAAAAATGCAGTAGTTTGGAGTATCAGTCTGGAATAACAGTGGATGTGAAGATCTGCACTAGCCTGGGGAGAGACGTTTAAAGATACTTTTATGATGCCACAGAAACCCTTTGACATCAAAGGGTTTTTTTCACAATGCATGTATTCTTAGTTTTTCTTCCTCCGAGGCACCAGGAACTGTTAAACCCAGGATAGAGATGGATGGCATGGAAATACAGCTAAATAAATTTCTTTTCAGCAAACTTGTGTATGGTTTTTGGTGTTGATATATTTAGAACAAAAAAGAAACATTTTCCTTAAAGCAGACACATTCTTGACAATATTGCTTTTAAAGCCTCCCAGCAGAGCAAAACTCTTACACAAGTGTTGTAGTAGTAGTAGTAATAATAATAATAATTTATTATTATTTATATCCCACCCATCTGGCTGGGTTTCCCCAGCCACTCTGGGTGGCTTCCAACAAAATATTAAAATACAACAGTCCGTCAAACATTAAAGGCTTCCCTAAACAGGGCTGCCTTCAGATGACTCTAAAAGTCTGGTAGATGTTTTTCTCTTTGATATCTGGTGGGTGGGCATTCCACAGGGCGGGTGCCACTACCGAGAAGGCCCTCTGCCTGGTTCCCTGTAAGGGAACCACCAGAAGGCCCTTGGCGCTGGACTTATTGGAACTGTCCATCTCTCTTCACCATGCATTCTGTGTTTACTTGTATTATTTATTTTTATTTTATTACCGTATTTTTCGCTCTATAGGATGCACCCGACCATAGGACACACCTTGTTTTAGAGGGGGAGAACAAGGGAAAAAAATTTCTCCCTCTCTGCTCAGCGCCCCTTCAGCGAAGCGGCAGGAGAAACGGAGCCCCTTCCATTTCTCCTCCCTCTCTGCTGAAGCCAGAATCTTGCTCTCAGCTTCAGCAAAAGGAACCCGAAGCCTTTGGAGTGCAGCATGAGTTCCCGCTGCGCTCCAAAGGCTTCAGGTGGCTATCCCTGAAGCCTGGAGAGCAAGAGGGGTCAGTGCGCACTGACCCCTCTTGCTCTCCAGGCTTCAGCGAAAGCAACGCGTAGCCTCTAGAGCGCAGAGGGATTGCTCCCTCTGCGCTTTGGAGGCTTCGCGTTGCTATCACTGAAGCCATGGAGCCTGTATTCACTCCATATGACGCACACATATTTCCCCTTAATTTTTGGAGGGGGGAAAAGTGCGTCCTATAGAGCAGAAAATACGGTAAATATATATCCCACCTTTCCTCTAAGGCGCTCGAGGCGGCATACATGGCTTTCCCTCCCCATAAACACAAGCACCTTATGAGGTAAATTAGCCTGATGGCAGTGACTACTAGTCCAAGGTCACTCAGTGAACTTCATGGCAAGTGGGGATTTGAACTCTGAACTCCCAGGCCCTAGTCCAACACTACACCACAGTGGTCTAGATTACATAAGATTGGAGAAGGGAAATAGCTGGAGGCTAACTAAGGTTACACTTCTATGGTCCCTGGAAGGGCATCTCAGAGGCGCTATTTCTTTTGAGGTAGGGGGCATCTCTCAAAGGCAGAGAAGCTGACCTTGAGACCCTCCTCTCAGGAGACAAAAGTTCCACAGGTGGTGGTGCTTTTAAAAGTCCAAGGATGTTTAAAAGGGAGAAGCTGTGGACTTACAGGCCCCAACGTTCTCCTGTTGCTCCAGCCCAGGGGAACAAACTATGCCAGCCCTCACACTGAAATAAATGGGACGGACACTGCTGAAGGGAGAAAACAACACCCGCTGCCACCACCTGCCCTGACAAAACAGGGATATTGCAGTTTCTCTACCATGTGTGGATTGATCAGCTTACACATTAAATTTAAAAATCATTTATGTATCAAGTGGAAGAATGTAAAAGTTGGTGAACACTTCACCTTCGCAAGGATAAGTTGTGGTATGTAGGGGTAAATAGTGTGTTGTAATAGACACTACACAACATTACAAGTGTTTTAATTAGTTTAATCTCTCCGCCTTCCCCCCCACCCAAGCTTCACAAACTTCCCTTGCTGCAAGACAAGTCAATAACTTCTTTCTAAATCAGTTGCTTAATATCTGGCACTTGAAGCGGGTATGAGCCACAGGGCTGGTGACAGTGCCAACTGCAGTATTCTCTTCATTGCACGGCTCCTCTAAAATCAGGGTCAAGCTATTGCCCAGGCAAGTGCCTGTTTGTCAGTCTTAGTAGCATCTCTTACTGATGTTCTTCACAAAGGGAGGGGAAGAGCCTCCACTTCTTCCATACACTCATCATAGGCTTCCTGATATTCCTCATGGGGCTTGATCATGATAACACACGTTGGTCGCTTTGAACCTGCAGCTGCTCCCAAGTCCTGAAAGAAAAAAATAGGAAAGCAGCATTCAGTTTCCTAATTCACATACAAGTTTACCTTTTTTACTTTAAGCAGCAAACGGACCATGTACCAATTCACATGGAGAAATTATATAAATGCCAGCTGCGTGAAACTGCTCTTCTAGAATAACCAAGATTTCTGTTCCTTATCAGGATGCAGGTCTATGGTGAAGAATAAAAATTCTACAAGAATTGGAAGCCGCCTTCTACTTCCCCACCCTACATTACCGTTTTGGAAGGGATGTAGACATATGGAAGGCTCCTGTCTTCACACATGATGGGAATGTGGCAATAGACATCAATAGGAAGTGTGTCTCCTGCAAGAACTGTGATCCTAAGAGAGACAGACAATGCAGCATCAGCAACAAAAATAAGACCAGAGCAATGCAAGTAGAGAAGACAACAAACACATTAAAACAAATATATTATGAATCCTTCCAAATATTTGATATTGTAATACAGGTATAATCCTGTGTATACGTATCAAATTGTGCTTCATCTCTGCAGTCATCATTTGCACAAATAAGAGATTTCAAGCATGCATGTACACACATAAAGGAGCAGGTGAAATAGCTCACTGAGGCAAGTAGGTCCATGCAAGGCAAAAAACTTACTATGCAGAGCCAACTGAAAACGAGGTCTGATGAAAAGGATTAAAATCTGTTTTTGCTGGGCAAAGTATACTCATCTGCATGCAAGACACCCTTACTCATTCTCACACACAACCAGATTGTTTCTCTGGTGATGATGCCTTCAAGGATGAAGGCCTTCAAATGTTACAAATCTGATAATCCCTGAAAATTAGCTATGCTAGCTGTGACTAAGAGGAGATGTGTATTAGCACAGCCTTCGCCAATCAGGTGCCTTTCAGGTGTTGTGGACTACAACTCCCATCAGCTGTGCTGGCTGGGGCCCTGAGCTGTAGCCAAAATATCTGGAAGGCACCAGTTTGGCAATGACTGCACTAAAAGCGGGGTCCCTTCAGTCCCTTTGTGTCTTGCACCAACAGAATCACAGGATTATAAACTAGTTGAGGATTATTTGAAAGCCTGCAACCCGGAACATCTCAGAAAATGTCATCTACTGATTCCAAAGCGCGCGCGCGCGCGCTCTCTCTCTCTCTCTCTCTCTCTCTCTCTCTGTGTGTGTGTGTCTAAACAACACATAACTGCGTGTCTATATCTCTCCGATAGATAGACAGACAGACAGACAGAGGATTTCCTAACACGGCGAGAGTAGGGACCAGACCTGGCGAACCAGACTGGCTCCGAATTCAAGACCTGAACTGCTAGCGTCAGGCAGCGGCATGGAGAGGGAAAGAAGGCACATCGCGTCGCAACGGCGCGCAGTTCTTACCCCTTCTCGCCTTTGTTGATGAATTTCTGGACCTCTTTCACCCCACGCCGGATCTGCTTCTGCTTCGATGCTGCAAGTCAAACGGGAGAGTTTCCAGCAAGGGTTGGTGGACGGAGCCCTCACCCACCGCCCCCGAAAGCCGGACTGCCCTCCTTCCCCTCCCCTCCCCCTCCTGCACGCGCACCTTTCTTGATGCACTTGTACAGCTTGCGCGTCAACTTGCGGGAGGCCAGAGGCCGCGCGATGGCGTTCACGTTCTCCACCAGCTCGTGGTACGACTTCTCCGGGGTCGCCTCGGGCTCCGGCTCTTCCCTCGACTCCTGGTGCTTGGCTTTGCCCATCTTTGCCGCCGAAAGAACACAGACCCACGTGCGGCCACTTCCGCTCCTGACGCTCCCAGAGCAAGGAACTCTGGGAAGGCAACCATAGAGCTCAAGGGGAGGGAAAGACCTTGTTTCCGGTCACCCGGCCGGCTCTGCCATCATCCAATAGAAAAGCGACTTTTAGGAAAAAGTGCCTCCCTCTCCTTCCTCTTCGGAGCAGGTTTCCCAGCAAGCATCGCGCTTGTTGGCGTCTTCGGGAAGATGGCGGCGGGGACGGGTAGTGAGTGGGGGTCTTTCTTTGGGGAAGGAGGGGCTGGCGCGGAGAGGGGAGCTAGGGTTGGCCCCGCCATAAAAAAAAAGACTAGAGAAGGATGCCTGTTTCTTGGTTGAGCGAAGCTTCGTTTGTTGTGTCAGGTGTCAGGCAACTTTTAACATGACTTTAAGAAGGGTTGGTTGGGAGGTGGCTTGTCTAAAGGGCCTCCGATGACAGGTCAGTTTTCTCCTTAGCTGAGGTACCCAGGAATAACAGCATAAGGTAAAGGTAAAGGGACCCCTGACCATTAGGTCCAGTCGTGGCCGACTCTGGGTAGTAAAAAGCCTTATGCTTAGCCAGACAAACGGCTTATTTGTTCATACTGACTGGCAGTGACTTTCCAGGGCTTCAGACAGGAATCTTCCCTACCACTAAATGAAGGCACCTCTTCAGGGTTTCAGATGGGAATGTTTCCTGAGGTTAACAGGAAATTAGCCCTGTGACTTTTTGCATGCAACATATATTCTCTGACATTGAGTTGTTACCAGTAGACTTTTCATTGAATTGACTTTTAGTGTGGCTTTTTGGGCGTGGGGCATGGAGGGTGTAGGGGCTTGAAAACCAAACTTTTAAAAGCAGCATGGATTGAGATAGATTTAATTTAGTTTGAGGGTTCTTTTTAACTATGTGGGCATGTTACAACACCGTAATGTTTATCTTTTTCCACATCAGAGCACAAGTTGCTGAGTGCTGGGCCTACAGAGCCATGGTCTATCCGGGAAAAACTTTGCTTGGCTTCTTCGGTCATGCGGAGTGGAGACCAAAACTGGTAAGAAACTGGAACATAGTTTAATAATAATAATAATAATAATAATAATAATAATAATTTATTTGTACCCCGCCCATCTGGCTGGGTTTCCCCAGCTACTCTGGGCGGCTTCCAACAAAGATTAAAAATACATTAAAATGTCACACATTAAAAACTTCCCTGAACAGGGCTGCCTTCAGATGTCTTCTGAATGTCAGGTAGATCTCTTTGACATCTGATGGGAGGGCGTTTCACAGGGCTTTGCTTCTCGCAATGAGGGAACCACCAGAAGGCCCTCGGCACTGGACCTCAGCGTCCGGGCAGAACAATGGGGGTGGAGACACTCCTTCAGGTATACTGGGCCGAGGCCATTTAGTGCTTTAAATGCATATTTGAATGCATATTGTTTAACTTTATTACATATTTCATAAAGAACCCTCAATTGATTTGTGGTGGCTCTTATTCCAAACACAAGAAGTAATTGAATGCCCTTTGTGATCCTAACTTTGCATGTGTTGGAAAAATTATTAAAAACAGAATTGTAGGATCGCAAGACTAGGAAGCATACCAAAAACCTACTGACAAGGGATTTTCTAAACATTAGCCAATGAGCTTGAACTTATAACCCAGCTACATATTACGTAGTCAACTATGCTAAAATAATCTTGTGTCAGATAATTTCAAAATATAATTCTAAATATATAATCAACAATATACGTTGGTGAAAAAAGGGGAGAAATGGTTTAGGAAATGGGCTTTAATAGAAAATTGAGCGGGTATCTACATCTGCACTGTGTCGTTATTCATATGTAGTAGTAGTTCAGATGATTGTTAACACCAAATAGTAATACTGACAACTGGATAATTTGGGCTTCCAATGAAAAACTGATTTAGAAGGATGAAGGTGTGCTTTTATATAGAGGTTCAAGATGGGGGAAGCTGTTCTTGGGGACTATGTGAATATCTCTAAGGGTCTCAGAGCTGAACTGCGGGTAGTTTTCTGGCAAGCTGTTAATAGTTCAGGAGGCTTTCACGTTTCTGCTTGCCAGTGTTCTGTTATCCTCTTGCAAGTGTATTTAGCATCATCCTTCCAGTCATGGAACTGTAAGTACTAAACCTACAAGGCAGGGTGGTGGTGGTATCTTAGCTGCACAGCAGCAAAATCAACCACTCTTTCTAGCTCCAAATATGGGCTACAGGTGGTTAGACTTGTAGAAGTCAGTTGGCCCATAACCTGTTATATTGGGCCCACCAGAGTATGCACAGCTCCAGCAGAGTCATCCGGCAGAACTTCAAAGTCTTCTTCTCTTCCAGTAGTCAGTATTTTCCAGAGTTCCCTGTTAAGAAAACTCCTTTCTCACACAGTTCAGTTCAAAGTATAAAGTGTTTATTGTCTCACAGCACAAGACAAGCATAGGCACATTACTTACGTAAACTTTAAGAGATGCTGCTACATCATGAACTTATTAACTACAAAGCAGTTCTCTGATCTTACAGATAAACCTAGTAATGATCCAAGTTTGCAGACAGATCCACTAGCACTTTACCATGCTATCTCACCATGCTATACTTTACTATACAGCATGTAACATCCACCAAGATGATAAAAGCTCACACTAATGCAAATGCTGCTGAATCCAGCCTTGGCTTTATAACTACCACTGCACATACACACATTCCTAGAGAAAGGGGAGGGGATAAAACGTGCTATAGGCCTTTGACCTTTGACTGTTTCTAACCACCCACTTGCTGCTGGGTTTTTCTTTAAACAAAATCCAAATGTGGGAGATGGGTTTCTCAAAACATGGCCCAAGCACTTGGTGCAATTTCACCCATTTTTTTCTAAGTTACACTAACACAGAAGAGCATAGGAGATTTGGCGGGTGTGTGTGGAATAGACCTGTTTTTTTCTGAAAAGAAGTGGGGAATGAAGGAAAGTTTCCCCCAATTTTTGTGGACCTTCACATAGGCACCCTAACTACCACAATGTGGGGGATGAGGGTTACTTAAAATGAGCTCTAGTTATGGGGCACAATGTAACATAGTCATTTTCAGAAAGTATTGCATTATCTGTGGGTCAAAGTTTCCCCAGTCCAATCAACTGGTGACCAAACCTTCCCCACTATATTTTGCCCAGCAAAGGAGGGAAGATCTTGAAACTTTCTTCTTTTTCTCTAGGGTGTCTGTCAGCAGAGCCATCAAACCCTTTGCAGAGCCAGGCCGCCCACCTGATTGGTTTTCCCAAAAGGTAGGGTGCTTAAATTTCACATCATAATAGGCTTTCATTTGACCTATGGGGAATACCTGTTCAGGGGACTCCCTGTAAGGATCTATTGCATGTTAAATGCGTAAAACATGTTTAAAATCATTTGCCAGGAAAGTATACTTCCTAGCCCACATATCTGGAAACAGCTTTAATATGTGGAATGTGTGTTATATAAACTACCCCAAGTTTTTGTCTCAACTCAGATTCTTAGTGCTGTCTGTTGTGATTTATCTTCTGAAATCTGTATGCACTTTTATTATCTTTTTTTTAGCATTGTGCATCACAATATTCTGAGCTTCTGGAGACCACAGAGACCCCAAAGTGAGTTCAAAGGCCAAACCACCTCTTTGAGTGGGGTGGGACAGGGCAGGACTTCACATTGCAAGAAAGATACTGTGTAATGGCAAACTACTGCGTTATAGACTATTAGAGAACTGAAGAGGAATGACAGTTTGAACACAGCATACGAAAGTACCTGAAACGCTGCTTCCTGACCATCTTTCTTTTTAAGTCTGGCTCCCAGAAATTATAGTAACTTGCATACTTTACCCTAAGCTAAATTATTTGGTTACAAAGAAAGATAATGCTCTGGCAGAACAATCCAAACCCTGGCTGGGCAGTCACAAAACATGAAAGAAGGGCACAGCCACAGTCTCATCTAGTTCCATCCAGACCCATAGCTCATGCTGGCCAGGTGGGGGGTAGACAGAATGCTGCCGGAGCAATCAGGCCCATTGCCATCAAATGACAGCAATGAGGCCAGCTTGGAATCAAATGGATTCTGGATTAGCTCAGGCTCTTCTGACCACCTCCAGAATGCTGCGTTCTGGTTTGGGGAGTACTGTAGATGTGTTTCTAATATTTTTGTAACCTGTGCTTTACTTGGGGGTCAGTTCGACAACATTCCCTGGGAAAGAGCAGTAGGATGTTTAAATCTGCAAAAGTCACTCAGCTTTAGAAGCCAAACACTTTTTCATATATGTTATTGTGTCTTGTGACTGAATCATTTGTTCTGTTTTATTTATGTTTCAGTCCCTATAAATGGTACAATGTACAATGTTTGGGAAGGTAGGCTTCTTGCAATTTCCCATACAAATTTCCAAAGTGGCTGGCTGATACTTAGGCTGTAGTGATCTTTTTAAGATTGCGTTTCCACTGAGTTGCAGAATAGCAAAAATGGGAAAGAGATAATTGGAACAAGGAAGAATAAGGTGGGATATGTGAGGGCAAAAGGTGCTGTGTATGGGAAGATTGAAAGCCATTACTGGTTGCTAGATTGTTTTCTCCTTTTTTGTGTAGAAGAAAGCGTGGTGAGAAGGGAGAAGTGGTAGAAACTGTGGAAGATGTAATTGTGAGAAAACTGACAGCAGAACGGGTTGAGGAGTTAAAGAAGATGATTAAGGAGACGCAGGAAAAGTACAGGTACTTATCAGATTTTTTGGAGTCTGGAGCTCTTGAAAACCCTGGTTGCTTTAGGGCATGTGAATAATGATAACGTGGATCAAACCTATCTGTGTTGTCTCTACAGGCAGCTGAAGAGGGATGCAGAACTGATCCAGGCAGGGCACATGGACCATAGGCTGGAGGAACTGTGCAATGACATTGTGGTGTGGGTTATCTTATTATTTCCCTGCTACAGCTTTTCTTTCTTTCTGGGACTTCATATCTGAGCCCTCAGATTTAGTTCTTAGCATTGCAACGAAATGATTGAACTTGACGCTTCTTGGCTTTATGGCATCATTATCCCATGTGGTGCAATTGCCCAAGCTTTGTAGCATTTGCTCACTTTCTCTCCCTCATCCCATGGCTTGCAAGGCCTTGTGGCTTTTGAAGTAGAGCTTTGAGGGCATTCTTGGGAAATGGTCCTGATATCTGGCCTGATATTTTTAAGGTCTTGGCTGAAAAGCCTGCCTCAGGGCTTAATTGTGAGCAGTTACTTATTATATTAGGGACTGTGGGATATCTGTCTTAACACACCCATGGGAAGCACCTCCGTTTTGCACCCAATAGCCTAGTGTAACATTGAACTTGGTTATTTTTTTCAGGAAGAAAAGAATGGAAGAGGAGGAAGCAGAAGTGAAGAGAAAGGCTACAGATGCTGCTTATCAAGGTTAGTTGGAAGCCAGTTTTTGATCCCATAGAACCAAACTCCTGGAGGTAAACATGTTTAGTGGTGCAACTGAGCTGAGACAAAGAAAGAGGTCTTACAGGTAGATGGATGGGGTCAGCCTGATTTCCTCAGTCTTTCCTTTGTGAAGTGGAAGACAGTGTATGATTTTCAGAAGCCTCTCCCTTCTTCAAAGACTGTCCTCAGTATTAGATGCCAGGTTTTGGTTCAAGAATCCTAAGGGAAGGCAAAATGCCAGAGGGATTCTTCTAAGACAAAAAGATGAAGTAAGAAAGCTTCCTGGATTAGTGATGAATAAGCCACTGAGGAAGAATTTGCTACCAGTTGCGTATTCTGATTCTTTATGCTGGGAGAAACGGCAGGAATTCATTAGCACCAAGAATGTTTGTGATGGTGTTTTGGGGATCATTTCATCTTGTGCTGAGATTTCTTATCTATCAAGGTGATTCTTTGAACTTCTTGACTGAATTTTCGGCATTTTCCAGCTCGTCAGGCAGTTAAGAACACATCACGAAGACCTCCAGGAATTATGGTCCGTTCTCCTGCAGGCTCAACCTCGCCAGGAGCAGACTACAGTCTGGGTGACTTATCTCAACCCACGTTGGAAGAGGCTAGTCCAGGGGTAAGGATATGGCAAGAATGAGAAACCATTGAGACCCTATAGGTCTCTCTGCAGTTTTCCCAAACTTCTTGCCCCCCCTTTTTTCTTTTATAATGTTGATAGCTTGCATGCAACCTTTTCCAGAGAACAAAGCCTGCTTTGTGCTGTGTGGCAAAAGGTTGAAATGCACTTTGGTGGTAACTGCTAGTGTAGGTCTGAAAAGGTGGAGGTGCACAAAGGGCTGAGGGGAGCAAGAGTGATGGAGGAGGTGCTTGGGGTATGCTTGGTCATTGGCCCCGGTGGGAGGGGTGATTGGGACTTGTCAGGATGATGAGGATGTGGCATTGAACAGTGTGGTTTTTCTCTTTCTCAGGTAACTCCAGGGACATTGCCCAGCACCCCAGTTGCCTCCTTCATTGGGATCCCTGACACCCCTATGGGCTCCACCTCCCTGGATGCCCCCATGACCCCAGTCACAGATGATTCAGCCCAGAAAAAGATGCTAGGACAGAAAGCAACTCCGCCTCCTTCTCCTCTGCTTTCAGAGCTGCTGAAGAAGGGCAGCCTCCTGCCCACAAGCCCCAGGCTGGTATGGAGTTCCCTGCTTACATATGCAATAGTCCTGGTGAATCTCTGTGACTGACTTTCACTGGAAAGGGCAAAAGGCCCAAGCATTTTTCAAAGGGGGAAGCTTAGATAGGCCTTAAATGCCACATGTTAATTTTGGCTGCTATATAGCAAATTTTCCAAGCTCCACAAAGCATGCAGCATCTTGGTCATTTATACGATAACCCTATATGGCAGGCCAGTATTATTATCTGCATGTTACAGCTGTGGGGAAGAGTGACTGTCCTAAGTGGGTTCATAACAGTAAGATGACATTTGAACTGGGAATTTTTAGTTCATGAGTAAACAGGGTTGAAGACCATACACAGCGGTATTAAGGAAATGCAGTTGCAGATTGGTTGGGATTTTTATTGCTTTTTTAAAAAAATTGTTCTAAATGGAGATTGGTTGTTTCTTTAAAAAAATATTTATTATACTTAATATGTTGTTCAAACACGGGGCTCCCAGTGATTTCTCATCCAAGGGATTTGATCAGAACCACAATGGTTAGCCTCCAGTGCTTCAACATTAACTGCTTCCTGATCACTCACTGGACTTATTTTTAGTGTGGTTTGTTTAATAATTTAGTCCTAAATATGTTGTAAATCACCTCGAAGTATGGGAGAGGTGGGATAAAAATATTTTAAGTAAACATTGAGCCTACAAAAGAGGAGAAGGAGGCAATCAAGCTGCATACAGTGAAATTAAAACTGTGTGTGTGTATGTACACACACGCAGAGAGAGAGAGAAAAACTATTTTATGTAACAGAAATTATATACCATTTACCAGAACAAAAAAGACTTTTAGATGGTTTACAACATCTTATGACAAACTAGGCATGATTTAGTGCAAGAACTTTAGGAAACCTCACACAATTACACAATAATTTGTATTTTTGCATTGCAATCCCATGCACCCAGGTAAGTGTGTATGGCATGGCAGCCATAATGTATTTTGTTTTGCTCTCTTAATATATTTAGAGCTTGTTCACTGCCTGCATGTGGCGGGATCCCCAAAGAGCAGGGGTGTGTGAAGAAACTGTAGCCCTCCACATGTTGGACTCCAACCCACATCAGCCCCAGACACATGGCCAGTTGTGTTTGGGCTGATGGGAATTCTAGTCCAATAATCCCCAGAGGGCCACAGCATTCCCATCTGTCCCATAAAGTCTATCTTCTTTCACCATTGGTGAGTGTGCATGGGCAGGTGGAATGGACACTGTGTGGAATGGGAGGATTTGCAGCCATATGGGGATCCCTTCATATGAGTAAGGTCATCTGGGCTGTGTGTGACCATCTATGCAATGTAATCTTTGCTTCATATACACCTTGGTTATTTTTTCCTTCTCTCCTGTGACTTTTTAGTACATAGTGTTTCACTTTGTGTTTTTAGCATTGATTATATTGGGGAGGTGGGCTTGGAAAAAAATCTGTCTTGTGTTTCCAAGGAAAGCTCTGCAATTTTCTCCTTTTTGAGCTGATCTTTCCTGTCTGGCATTTCTAACAAATTAAGCCCAGCTAACCTGAATTTCTAGCCATGGATGAGAAGCAGAGTGTTATTTCTTTGGATGAGAATGAGGGAGTTTTTTGTTTGGGATTTTCCTTGCCTCTGTACTTGATTGACTTTATTTACTTGATTGACTTTATCCATGTTGCTGGCTCCTTGCTTAAATGCTACACGGGAGCAGCCGGAGCACCTTGGCGGAGCCAGCTGCAAGAACCTGAATTAGTTTTATTGGTAGTACAGGCAAGACCTTGTTGTATGTGGATAGCAGTGGGAGAGTCTGTGTATTGGTTTTTAGTATGTGAATATCCTTTGGCAGGTGGGTGAGAGCGACATGACAGTAGTTTCTGGTCACACAAGCAGCTCTGGTCTCCTCCTGGAAGTGGGAGGGGTTCTTCCAGGGCTGCACGGTGGAGAAATGCAGTCAGCTTCAACTACTGTTCCTGCATCTCCTGCTGCTTCAGGTAGGCCTATTCTGCTATTGTTGTGTTTTTCTCTCTTCTGCATTCGTATCCTAGAGTTGGAAGGGGCTTCAGAAGATATCCACTGCTACAGTGTGTAATTTCTGGTCTGCCATTTGTGTTGAGAACAGCAGGGGATGTCCTGTTTCAAATAATGTGAATAAATCAAGAACATATTCTATGAAAGCTGAGACCTTGGAAGACCAAATATGTAATTTGCATGGCAAAGCCTTTCGTCAAAGCTTTGCTTGTATGTGTCGGGGCTTTGTGTGATGTTTGATCATGTTACTTTGTGTTATGAATGTTATTGCCTTGATTCTCTTCCTTAAATCACTTTGTTCGCTTACTTCCCCTTAATCTCATGTTTAGCTTAATGTTCCTTTCCACTTCCTCCATTCTTTTGGTATGTTTGTTCTTGGTATGAGCTTTCGTGTGCATGGTATCTGAAGAAGTGTGCATGTACACGAAAGCTCATACCAAGAACAAACTTAGTTGGTCTTTAAGGTGCTACTGGAAGGAATTTTTTAATGCACTTTTGTATGTATTTAACTGATAGCTTGAGACTTTTATCTGAGCCTTAGTGTGTCCTTTTCCCCTGCTCCCCCTTTCCTCCCTCCTTCCCTACCTCTCCGCTGCCCTCATTGTTAAGCACCTAGTGGTAGGCTGGTGGTGGGGAACCTAATTAGGTCCGCTAGACCTCAGCAGTTAGCCCACTAGGTTGAGATCTATAGGTATAGGGTGGTATACAGATTTCATAAATAATATTTTTCCCTTGTTTTGACATCTTATGGCATCAAGTGCAGGAAAGTTCAAGCAGGAAAAGTTTAATAATAATAATAATAAGAGGAGAAAAAGTGTGAATATATTCCTGAATCTTCTGTTGGAGCCGGGGTTTGAAGTTTGTCATGTAATGTCCTACGACATCAGCTAATTAACCCAAGGAGGCTCAGCCACTTTTGGATCCAGCTCTCCAGTGTGATCCAATTTCTCACCCCTTGTAGATGCAAAAGGATAATACAAACATAAAGATTGGTGCCAAGTGCAGCACAAAGTATCCTGAGAATTTCAACTTTTTAAAAAAGTAGTTTTCTGGCCCATTTTAAAACAATGTTAAAAGTGTGATTCCTGAGGAAAATGCAGGTGTTGGGGAAGTGATGTATTCTATATTGGTTGCAGAATTCACCTTCTCTTGGTCCAAATATTTCCAGAGCACTGTTAACATGGTGCATATACAGGCTTGGCTTCAGAGTTCTGCATCAGACTTTGTCTGCTCCAGCCCTGCTACATGACATAAGATCTTGATTGCTGCCGAATTGCCTTCCTAGCTTGGTCCTCCTTTTTTTTAAAAGATCATTCTCACAATGATAAACCTTATAAGGAAAGAAATGTGGGCTCCAAGTCTGCTAAACACTCCGGATTCAGCAGACGACTTGTGTTGAGCTTCCATGAAAGGCCTTTTATACTTTACTAGCTCCCATGGCTCCAGAATCCTGCTCACTCCCTTCTTTCCCCTATCCGATTTCATCTATACCAAAATATTGTGAATTCTGCACACCTTTAAATACTGAAAATTGAATTTAGGTTTTGCAACTAAAGGGAAAGCTATGAAAACCTCCTATGATTTGTTCAGTGTACGAAAACGTGGTTGTTTTGCCCCAGATTAGGATTTCTTCTAGTGGTATAAAATGCTGCCTTTCCTCTTTTAAAAGCACACATTGATCCTTGCTTGTATATGCTCCTGAGCCCTGCTAAGTGACTCCCAGGACAGCTCTCTGTGATCCGTTTTGTGACTTGTGTCGGCGTGTGCAACCCTGGTGGGCATGAGCTGGTCAAGAGCCCAAGGATTGCTTGCTCTGTAGTATTCTGTAGCTTCTTGGCTAATGTGCTTTCCCCCTTCTTCACACTTTTGTTAGGTGCTCCTACACTTTCCCGCCTTTTAGAAGCTGGTCCAGCGCAATTCACCACATCGCTTGCTTCCTTTTCTGCTGTTGCCAGTGAACCTCCAGGCAAACTCCTGCCTCCCCCTGTAGAGTCCGTGTCTCAGGCAACTCTAGTCATGGTGCCCACGCTACAAGCACCAGCTGCTGTGCCACCCGCTGCAACTCCCGAAAGTGTAGCGACAGGTGCGTCCTTGCACTCGTATGCCCGTCCATACCTTGCAGAAGACTTTCCCTCTTAGGTTCGGTAGAAGGTCTATGTGGATGTGGGCTGTGGGTGTCTCTAAAATCTGTAGCCGGGTGGTTGATTTTGGGATTCATTGTGCCAGAGGCCCGAGGTTGTTGAGAAGAGTCCCCCTTGTGTTTCAGGCAGGGTGCAGGAACTGATAAAGGAAAGATGATCGGGGGTGAAGTTAGCGAGCGAGCGGGATAGAGCTAGACTCCGATGCTAAGTGATGGCTCCTGCTCTGACTCTTATCATTTGGGAGGGTGGGGAAAATAGGGGCCATCAGCCTGCATGTGCCTTTATTTGGGGCTGTAGAATGTGTTTTGGTTTTCTTGATCTGACCCATGCTGCTGGTTGCTGCAGCTGCCAGGCTTTCACTTGACTTGTCACTCTTGTCCAGTGAGTCAGCCCAACACCTGTGTTTCCATGGAGGCAGTGCCTGATCCTCACACTGTGACAGTGTCAATGGACAGCAGTGAGATTTCCATGATCATTGATTCCATCAAGAAAGATTGCCTGGGCTCTGGGGCATCTGGTGCTGTAGGGACTTCCAAAGACCACAGCATTGATGGGAAGGAAGACCTAGATCTGGCTGAGAAGATGGACATTGCAGTTTCCTACACGGGGGAAGAACTGGACTTCGAGACTGTTGGGGACATCATAGCTATCATTGAAGACAAGGTAAAATTATCTAGAGGCTTGGTCATGCCTCTCACATGAAATCATATCACATGAAATCATAGTTAAAATAAACTTCATTTGTTTTAAACAAGGGTTAAACCTTGCTGGGTTCAGGTGACACTACAAGGTATACCCTGGCTCAGCACAACTGGAGAGTCATGAGGCATCCACAATTTTAGCAGCATGTAGTAGCATGCTGCTCATTCATATTGTTTAAATTACTGTTTTAATGCGACATGTGAACTAGACCTCTACTCTCCCCTTGTGTTTGGCACCCTAGCCTGTTGAATAGATGGGATAGTGCAAGGACTTTCTTTACATCTCCATTGTTCTTATGGCCTCTGATTGTTGCCTGTATCGCTGTTGGTAAAGGTGGACGACCATTCTGAAGTCCTGGATGTAGCAGCAGTAGAGGCTTTCTGTGATGAGATTGAGGATCCTCAGTCACTGACCGACCCCTGGGAGCACCCACTCCAACGAGAGCACCCAATCCAACAGGAGCACGAGAAGCAGAGTCAGATCCCCCCAATGGCTGTGACTGTAAAGCAGGAGAGACCAGACTGTGAGGAATCAGAGACTAAGGGGATCAGAGATCTGATGAGCATTGGGGATCTGGGAACAGAAATAAAGACGGAACCTTCTGAGCAGGGACAGATTCATCTGAGCCCTGAGGAAGCTTCTGCACTAGCAACCAGAACAAGTGAAGCCCCTGAAGATGAAGAGACACGGGTTGCTGGTCTGGAGTGCTCTGAAATGGAGATGGAATCCTCAAAGGTTGAAATGGATCATGGCACAGTGAAGACAGAGGTAAATCGATGAAGAGGCTTCTTGGATATAACATGAATGGGGAATCGGTTGATAGATGAGGTATGGGAGGAGAGAGGGAGCCCCTAGCTTGAAGCTGTTTTTCAGACTTATGCTTAGTGCGCAGTAACAAGCAAATTTGTTTGTTAGCCAAACTGACTTGACAAACAAACTGTATTCACTCTCTGAAATCTGTGCTTGGGCATTCTTAGATTTACCCCAAATAAAAATCTGGCATGTATAGATTATGCAAATTGCTGAAATTGGGGCAGGGGTTATGGGTATTCTTGTTTTGCTAGCCAGAAGGGAGTGGCAGTGAGTACTGAAGTCCCGTCCCCAGTCCCTCGGGAATGTTCTTCAACTATCCCTGTCACTTGGAAGACATTACCCAGCAAGTATATTGTGCAGTCACCCTTTCTTTATCATTGAAATCTGGATTCACAGTCAGCTGAACACTTCATTCTCCATTTCTTTGTACTTGTGGGGCTATAGTATACACACAGTTTTGGCCATATGTTAGATCCTTGGGGAGCCACTTGCTCAGGTATGCAGAGCTTTGCTGTGGATGCAGCTGTTTTGTTGTTCAGTTGCTGTCTGCCTTTAGAGTCCTGATGGTATAAAATAGGACTTAATGCTGAGTTGTGTAGGAAGCTGGTCCTGTTGCTCATGTTAGGCCATTCTTTTCTTTCTAGCTTCCCCCTGATGATGATACTTCCTCCCCACATGCTCCAAGTGCAAGTGAAGATTCCTCACAAGCAGATCTTCACCACAAATATGAGCTTTCAGGTAACCTGACTGGCTTGCTGGGGAAGGGGGAACTGGTTAGGGCACTGCTAGGGAGGGAGGCTTGTATCTGACTGCCTGAAATTATTGGAGTTAAAAAAATTTCCCCTTTTCCCCCCTTCCAGAATCAATGAAGGAAGAAGCCCAAGCTCTCTTTGAGAACCAACTGAAGGTATTTTATTTACCCTCGGATTTCTTGACTTACATGCAGAATGAAAGTAGTAGTCAGCTATTTGCATCTGAGGCCATAGGTGGAGAATGCCAGAATTAATTTAGAGTGTGATCCCAATATATACCAGGTTCTCAAAAATTACAGATGAAAAGGAAAAGTTGAGTTAATCTTTCTGCAGGCAGAGATCCGGGCCTCCCTTGTAGCTATGCTATTGTGTGTTAATATTTATTCCTATCCTGTTTTTTCTGGCCAAAGACCCTCAAAAGAATGAACAAAGTATTGTGTAACAAAATGCAATATAATTAATATCTGGCAGCAGGCTGCACTGGGTGGGGGGAAGTAGTGGTGCAGGGATTCAGGGCCGCTACCAGCTCTGCTGAGAAGCTAGGCTGCTTCCTTCAGCTCACTTAGCAGCAGCCATTAACATCCAACAGTGGGGGAGGAGGAGTGCAGGGCCATATCATCTGAGCAGCTGAGAGACCAGCAATTCTGGCATCTGTTCGTGAAGATTTCCACTCCAGCTGCCCACTGGAAGAATTTGAAATGAAGAATTTATACTTGAGTTTGTTTTTTCTTCCTCCCACCCAGTCTGTTTCCCTTTTGTGTTGTGTACCTCTAAATTGTAAGCCTGTGGGCAGGGTCTCTTTGGGGAGGTTGGGGTAGGGAGAGTCCTGTTGCAAAAGTGGAAATAATTGTGCTAATAGGATGAGGTACCATTCTTCGTCTTAAGCATGTCAAAACCTGGCAACAATACCATCCATAGATTTTAAGATGCTGGCATAAAATTACAGAAATCAAGGGGAAGGTAGCAGAAGCTGAAAACCTCAATTGTTGAAAAAGTCTTGATGGAGAAGAGTGGGCTTTGCCATCCTTCAAAAGTAGGAGAGGGAGGAAAAAACACCTGCCTTTTGATAGAGGTGCCACTTCTGTGAAGGCCCTGTGACTTGGGGTGGGGGAAGTGGGACAGGGTCCCTTCTGTAAATCTCAGCAAGCAGATAGACTCGTGTGGGGAAGTTAGTTGAAAGGCATTCTCCCTAATCATGCTTCCCTAGTATGCTAGGAGCAGATGTTTGTTCATATAGCTTTTCCTTTTCCTCTGCTGTCTTCTTTGGCAGCTGGTGCAGATGCTGTTATTGGCAGCTGCACCTTAGTTGTGCGACTTGATTTGCTGGAATCTTAATCTTGTATCTAAGGGTGAAGAGGATGAGGAGGATGGTGCCAGTGAGGCTGCCAGTCTGGAAGAGCCCAAAGAGGAAGATCAGGGTGAGGGATACCTCTCTGAAATGGACAATGAGCCCCCTGTGAGTGAGAGTGATGATGGCTTCAGTATCCATAATGCGCCTTTGCAGTCTCACACTTTGGCTGATTCCATTCCCAGCAGCCCCGCCTCCTCACAGTTGTGAGTATTGGTGAACCTACAACTACTCACTAGATAGCCCAGAACATGCAACTAGCCTGCTGAAAGTTGAGACTAACTTTGTCCCTTTGTACAGTGGTATGTAGTGTGAATTAGCTGAGACCCATGCAATGTAATAGTCACCTTCTTCTTCTTCTTCTTCTTGTACTACTTCTTGGCTGTATGGAGAAGCCTCAAGGTTAGACTTTTGCTTGCTAGGAGACCAGCAAACATTTCTTTTTTTCTTTTTTGTTAACTTAGATAAATTTGAAGTAGGAGGGGATGGATGTTGGAGATTGTGGTTAGTTGCTAGGCCATAATCTGTATGCTTTGCTTTAGGAGCCTTTGGGTGTTCTTTTCTAATAGATGCCTTTTCCTCTTCAGCTCTGTTTGCAGTGAGGATCAGGAGGCTATTCAGGCCCAGAAGATCTGGAAAAAGGCTATTATGTTAGTTTGGAGAGCAGCAGCCAATCACAGGTGAATCAACTTGAATCCAGTGTCCAAGTATGTAGAACAGGAATGGGGAAGCTTTTTGGCTCCATGGGCCAGATCTTTTATCAGGATCTGCCTTATGGGGCAAATTTGACAGGTTGGCAGGGCCATCCACCTTTCAAAATCCCTTGTGCTTTGTGAGTCTCCCTGCGCTCCCCCTTTTTCAGCTACTGATTGCAGAGGCTTAAAATGGGAGCAGGAGGAGACTCAGAAACCCTTTTCCAAGTCTCTCTGCAGTTCCCATTCAAGCCTCCAAGATCGGGGACTTAAAAAGGGTGGAGATAGACTTGCAGAAGGCCTTAAAACAGCGCCCACGTTCCTGTTTGAGTCTCTGGAGCCACAAATGGGAGTGCAGGAGCTATACTAAAGTCTTTGAAGTAACTTGGGATTAAACTGCTGCCTTGACTGCATGGACTAGTTCCCTGCTGGGAATGCGTAGCCAATGCAGGATTAGACCCTGTCCTCCCACTCATCAACTGATGTCACCAGTGATGTCAGCTGATGGGTGTGTGGGTGGCCATGGTTTGGGAGAAATGACCTGGCAGTTCCCTACCCCCGATGTAGGAAGAGGAGAGACTGCTGCATGTGTCTGTTGTACTAACATTCATTCTAGAAGAGGCATTTCCTTGTGTGAGAGAGAAAGGGGAATGCCTCTTCTTAATAGGGTGTTTGCCATCTGCAGTCCTTAGAAGTGCTTGCACTTTATTTTTAAAAAATCTGCCTCATTAATTGGGCATCTTTTTAGTTGATTAATTGCTTAGATTAATATATTTTAAAACTTTTAATCAATTAAATGTTGCAACTCTAGGCATTTCCATGTGAGCCTTTAGTACAAAACCTGGCAAACGCCATGAAATTTTGAAAAACTAAGCTGTCAAATTGAAACATAAACCCTCAGAACATGCCAGGTACTGATGGCTATGGGAGCAAACTGAAAAGGTATTGAGTGATCTTACCACATGGGCATCTGCAGCAGAATTCTGGTAGCCTATCTTCTATGTTCAGCGGGTGTCATATCTTTGTGTGGTGCAATTCACAGTTCATCCATCTGCCTGCATATCTGCTACTGCTCTATGTGCATATTTCTCAAGTCCCAACTACACTTTGCCAGTTTGATGGAACTGGTACAAAAATATGCATATATAACACTGGTATGTAGTTTCCTCTTTGTGTATCTCCAGTCATAGAAGGTGGATTTTCAGGTGTAGAATTCTCTTGGCTATAGCATATTGAGCAAATGAGTGGAGAGAATGTTGAGAAACAGTTCTGTACTTCTGTATGTGGAAGTTGTGTTACTTCCACTGACCTTGTATGTACTCAAACTTTTAGTAGCTAGTCCTGTGTTACTCTCTTACACATTTTTTGTTGCACAGGTATGCCAATGTCTTCTTGCAGCCCGTGACCGATGATATAGCTCCAGGTTACCACAGTATTGTACAGAGGTGAGTCACCAGTTTTTGAATTACCGTATTTTTCTCTCTATAACACGCAGATTTTTTCTCCTAAAAAGGAAGGGGAAATGTCTGTGCGTGTTATTGAGCGAATGTGTGGTCCCTGGAGCCGACTAGGGCAAGCGCAGGAACAAAAATCAGTCAAAAATCAAATCGCATGTCGGAGAAGGGAAACCTGAAAAGAGGAAGCGGCTGCTTTCCTGCATTCTGCCTCAGGGTCTTACTGCCCACCCGCTTGTGTTTCGTTGCTGTGTTTGCTCAAACGGAACAAAGAGCAGGCAAATCCCCTCCCCTCCAGGCAAGCAGAGGGAAAGCAGAGCGTCCTTCCTTCTAATTCCTCTCCCTGCTCCTCGCAGGCAGCCAGAAAACATGCAGGTGGGAGAGAGGGAGAGAGAGGGCTGGCTTGGGTGGGGTGGGGGAACTTTTGCCTTTCTTTCTTTCCTTCCTCCCGTTAAATCCCTCTCCTGCATTCTTATGCTCCTTGTCCCTTCTGTGTTTTTCCTTCCCTCCCCATTTAAAATGCAGTTACAAAGCGTGGATCCACATGGATCCTCCGGATCTCTGCATTGGGTCACCCCAAATTTACCATCAGATCACATAGCATGTCCATGGCTACAGCCTGCCCCCCAAAAATCACACACCCACTGTTGCTTGGGGCTGCAATGGTGCAAAAACGTGGTTACAAAGCATGGATCCACATGGATCCTCAGGATCTTTGCATTGGGTCACCCCAAATTCACCATCAGATCACATAGCATGTCCATGGCTACAGCCTGCCCCCCCCAAATCACGCACCCACTGTTGCTTGGGGCTGCAATGGTGCAAAAACGTGGTTACAAAGCATGAATCCACAGGGATTCTCAGGATTTTTGCATTGGGTCACCCCAAATTCACCATCAGATCACATGTCTGTGGCCACAGCATGAAGCACAAAAATGATACATCCACTGTTTCATTCAGAATTCCCCCCCCCTTGTTTCCCTCCTCTAAAAACGATGTGCGTGTTATGGTCAGGTGCATGTTATAGAGGGGAAAATACGGTAGTGTTGATGCCATCTGTCACAGATCTGTCCTGGACATTAGTCAGCCTGCAGATTTCAGACACTGCCAGCATTTACCTGGGACAGTCTCTTCAATCTAGCATTAATAAAGTTGATCAGGTACAATGATCAGATTCTTGGCAGAAGTGGGGAGAACAGCTAGTTTAGTTCTTTTTAAATATATATTTTTAGATTGTATTAATAAATTTAATTTCTTCGGTAACGTTTGTCTGGTGTTTTATTGACAGGCCAATGGATTTATCAACCATTAAGAAGAATATTGAGAATGGGCTAATCCGGACCACAGCAGAGTTCCAACGTGATATCATGCTGATGTTCCAAAATGCTGTCATGTACAACAGCTCTGACCATGATGTATACCACATGGCTGTGGAAATGCAGCGAGATGTCTTGGAGCAGATTCAGGTAAAGCCACAGTCGGAAGTTTTCAGTGGGGCACTGTTCCTATCCTGATGTTGTATGGGAAGCACTGAGTACACTAGGGAAGATCTTTATTGTCTCATTAGCTTTTAAGATCCTCTTGGAGGTTAAACCTGGTGTCTGACCATCCCTGCATGATTTACCATTCCTACGATCAATCAAAAGGAATGCAGGCTTAGAAACAAACCAGTAAACTGAAGTTACCTCCATTGTTTCTGTAGCAAGCCACTAAACTTGCATTCATGTTGAGAACCTTAATAGCTATTATGTGGTTTCTTGCAGCAATTTCTAGCCACACAGTTGATCATGCAGACGTCTGAGTCTGGGATCAGTGCAAAAAGTCTGCGTGGACGAGATTCCACTCGGAAACAAGATGCTTCAGAGAAGGTGGGGGCTAACAAGAACCTTTGATTTGTTTGGGGGAAGTTGTTTCAGCCATTTGATAGATGCATCCATTTGAGGGGAGCAGAGAAGCTTTGGAATCCTTCATTTAGAAGTCTCTTTCGGAATAGAAGTGGGCTTACCCTTTCGGTTTAATTAGTAACAAAGATGGCTGTGGCAGTCCCTCTCCCTTGCCCCCATAGCCTGCATTTTTCAATATCTAGTACACTGAAAAATTAATTTTTCCTTGAAGTTGAGGATTGCTACCAGATGAGGAGGGCTGGCATTTCAGTGTGTGAAGAGCAGCTCTATTCTGTTATCTGAGTGGTGGGTTAGAGACAGAGAAGTCACTTTTCCAAAACTTGAAGTCAGGAGCCCAATCGAGACATGCTTTTTTGGTTTAGACCAGGGGTTCGCAAACTTTCTACCCCCAGCACCAATTTGAGATGACTGAACGTTATTGAGGTGAACCAGTCAGAAGGTAGTGGCAGAGGGAGGAAGAGCTTGCCATAATTGGCTAGCAAATTGCTGTCCTTGATCCATAGCTCACCTTTCCTCAAGCTAAGTACAAACATTAGTCTGCAAGTATTGTGGCTGTTTTCCCATGTTAAGCCAGATTCACTGATTCAGATATTCTAAGTGGAGAAGTCTTTTTCTTTTATATTTTTCCCTTTCCACCTGCACCTGCATTTTAAAGCAGTATTACCCATCTCTTCTTATTCTCCTTTCACACTCAACTTGTACTTATTTCCCCACCAACCAACCAACCAACTAACTCAAACTGCCTGTTTCATTCCTCTTCTCTGGTCCTTTTACATTCACTTTTTCCTATAATAGCTTTCCTTTCTTAGACCCTTCTTTTTTGTTCCCTTAGTATCAATAATAATAACAACAACAAATATTAATATTTTATCTTACTTTCTAACTTTCTTCAACACCTCTTCTGTCCCTTTTCCCTGAGAGGAGGGAGACCTTCTTTACCTCCTCCCCACCTGAACTTTCCTGTGTTCTGATTAGAATTTGCTGGTGCTGTCTTTGGTCCAGCCAAAAGGCTATAGTCCAGTTAGGAGGCAGGGAGGCAAGTGAGGAAGCACAGGGGAGGCTGTGGCACTGAGGATGCTGGAAAGTGGCCCAAGGCCCTCTGGTGGGTCCCAGACCATGGTTTGAGAAACAGTGGTTTAGACTGCCACGTTGTCTTGTCTTCTTGTCTTCCTGTGTGTAGATGTGTATATTTCCATCAAATTCATTTGCTACTTCTGTTTGTCTTTTAACAGGACAGTGTCCCCATGGGCTCCCCTGCCTTCCTCCTTTCTCTCTTTGTAAGTACTTAATGATTACGCTTTCAGCAGCACAATAACAATATGGGGACATTGTCTGCATGATGAGGGGCTTTCTAAAATTACAATCAGACTATGGTATGTCTGGGTTGCTGAAACATAAGAAATGTCTCTACCCCCTTTTGCTTCAGTGTATTGTTTCGTGATTGGATGTCTGGGGGAAAGTGGGGGACTTTTTGTTATTTCTGGCTGCAGGCTGCTCACTTCCTTTCATTTCTTCAGTCTGTCTCCTTCCATTCTGGCTTTGGGTAGATCACAAGACTCTACATTTAAAAAGGCAACTCTTGCTTAGAGAGTAAAGTTACGCACTAAAGTCCACATTGTAGAGTAATATCCTTGGCTTGCGGCTCTTCCCTTGTTTTCTCTGCATCCTTATGTTGGATTTAATTATTCACATCTAAAGCTTGGTTCCTGCCTTCATAGCTCACAGGACTCTCAGAGCAGCTTTCTGTAAGACATAACGCAACAATAAAATTGTGAAATTATTCCGAGAATTGCAGAGGAAAAGATCCCCAGGAGGGGTTGTCTCAATAACATCTTCCCCTGCTGTAAAGAGAAATCTAGTTACATATGAGCTGCTGTTTCATACATCTTGCAACAGTTTGTGTTGAAGCCTCCTCCAAACTATGGGATAGTTCTAGACAGTGTACATTGCAAGAAGACTAAAATACAGTGTTTTGTTTCCATGGATGCAGCCATGGTCCTATAGTAAGAAAGCTGCTGTTCTGCCCAAAGATGTGTTTTGGCAGGTTCATCCTCCACCCAAGGGAATGCGGGTAGGGATTGTTTTCTAATGCCTATTTATTAAAGACAGAGAAGCATGAGGAAAGGCAGCCAGATGGAGTGGGCAGCAGATGGAAGTGATCTCTCTAGCTTCCGTACATTCACAGAGAGCCGCTGTGAGGACATGCTAGGGAGATAGTGGCAGGGTCACCCACCTGGAAGAGAACTTCTGTAAAGAGCAGCAATTGATCAGGTATGTTAGCCGGCATCCTTTCTGCCCACTGAAAGAAATGACTTGCAACTTTTCACATGGGGCAAACACATCATCACCTATGCCAATGCCAAAAGTCCATTTCCCCCTTTCCCCTTTTGAGTTCACATGTAAACTCTGTAGCTGGTTTCATAAGGTAGTCCTCTGTGTTTTAGGAAGGCAAGTGGCACTGCCTGTCTGTGCAGTCAGTCTTTCCTGGCAACACAGATGGCACCCAGCAGTCTTTCCTTTTGTCACAGTCTTGCTAATAACAGTGCCTTCCCTTCTCTTTGCGTTTTGATTAGGATGGGGGAACCAGAGGGCGGCGCTGTGCCATTGAAGCAGATATGAAGATGAAGAAATGATGCTGAAGATAGGAAACAGCCCAGTCTTTGGTGTCTGGACCCAGGAAGCAAAATGAGAACCTTCCTGATCCTGAGGATAAAATGGCTATGGACAGGGAAGGGCTGACCTGTCAATAATAAAGAATATCTATCATCCTGGAATGTGTAACCAGGGTAGTCCCAGAAACAAGAGAGCAGCCCCACTGCCTGTTGTAGGGCAGCAGTATTGGGGTCCTATTAGTGTCCTCATATTAGCTAGCAACTGGTGGCTAGTACGTACTGTAATGTGAAGTGTACAGATTTTTTGTATTTGTGGAGTGTAAATGTGTATAATAAACTGTAGTAGAGAATCCTGCAGAGCAAGGTGTGCTGGCTGCATTGATTTATTTACATTACCACCCTCTCTAAGAAAAACTTGTTTGTAAAGACCTACACATACTGTGAATCAATGTTTTGACTACATAGTCCAGAATGACAAATCCATCAGCTAGATCAGACCTGCCAAGCAATTTCAAACAGGTCTGCTAGCTCCCATCTTCTTCCCCATCATAAAGAGAAGTCTCTCCTCCCAGCCCAGGTGCTGAAAAAATAGTTGCCTCTGCTCTTCAGAGATCAATTGCTGAAGAGCAAAAGGAAACAATTGGATTTTTCTTTCTGGAGGAGTTTGAGCTAGTCTATCAAACCCAGTTCTGTGATAGATGAGTTTCTACCTGTCTCTGGGTGCAGGATAGTCACATCAATGTTGGCCATGGCCCTCTGCTGGCATGTGGTAGTCCATTACTGTCTCTTCATTGGCAGAGGTGTGCTATGTGTGCCCAGAGACACCGTAATGTTTCAAAACATGAGGTCATAGCAAGGAGGAGAGAGCACGGAGCAGCAGCCTGGCTGCCTCAGGTGACACAACCCACAGGGAAGCGGCTATGGGGGGAGAGACTAAGGCAGAAGTGGGGAGGAGGGAAGCAGACAGAGAGACAGAATAAAAAGCCTAGAAAGGAACTGCAGTTTCCTCCTTCCTTACTGTTGCTGCTGGAGCTAAGTATCCCACCATTGCTTACAGATGCAGGCAGAAGCTGCAGCCTTTTTCTTTTGCCTGTGTCTGTTTCATGGCTCTGTCTCCCTCCAGGCACCACTTGCCACCTTCCTAGGACAGGAAGATGATGAAACTATAATCTGTTTTGGTCAATTTGGTTTAACTCATCTGTTTAAAGGTCGTGACATTTTGTTATCACGGCAGCAAAAAATTGGTATTTTTTGTTTAGTTGTTAATTTAAAAAGTTACATTTTAGTTGCTTCAGTTTATCAAACAATGTCCTTTATGATTATGTATTCAATAAATATTCATCCTTGGAAAAAATGCAAAAACCCTGCATACACACCCTCATTAAATGTGCTGCGCACAGCTATGCTCATTGGTAGTGACTTTGCAAGGCAGGGATGGGGAGCCTGTGGCTTTCCAGATGGTGTTGAACTTCAACTCCTGTCAGCTGTCTGCTGACAGCACTTGATAGAAGTTGGAGTCTAACAACAGGATCTCCATGCCTGATCCAATATCATGGATAGGTTTCCCTTCCCAGCCCTGCTACCTAAGAACTCTTTCTCCCTTGCCCACTTTTCAAACTGGAGACGCCAAAGACTTGAAACTATGATTGTTTAGGTCTTATAGGGGCAGCCAGCTGGTGTGCAGAGGTCTTCATTGTGGTTCATACCTTCTGGGAGTGACATGTCATTGTTGGCTGCAGCCAGAGACAAACGTGCTCAGAGAAATGGATGTGATTTTTCACCTTTGTACAGTAGGCTACATTACAACTGTGTGGATGTTTCTATACACCTACAGTACACCTGTCCTCCATACAAGCAAGCAAGACACATTTTAACCCAGCAAAAGCAGTCAAGGAGGGCACAGGAAAATAATATAATAATATTTTATTTATATTAAGACAGTCTGGGCGGCTTCCAACACATAATAAACGTTAATAATAACAATCTGATCCAATATAAAAAAATCACAACTTTAAAATAGACAACTTATATCAAACAAAGCAACAATCAACAATCAGGATCTAATAATACACAATAAAATTAAACAACGGCAAATAATTAAACAGATCACACATACCGCAATAAAGAATTCACCAATCTATAATCAATAAAAATAACAGCAAATCACAATGCATGAAAACCATAAAACATACAAAACCGTGTAAAAGGATCAAATTGAAAAACACAAATTATAAAACTACACCCACACCCACCCACCCACACATATATCCCTGAAATCATCTCTTCCTAGCTGCTGCTGTTCTCAAAGTCACAGTCTGGGAAAGGCTGGGTGGGGCAGATGGAAACAGCAGTGCCTGAGAAGGAACAGAAAACACATGAGGGATGTGGGCTGAGGAGGGGAAGTGGCTGGGGGACAGTCCTGAGAGTTGGATAGAGAGCCCTGGGGACCCACCTAGGGCTCCTCAACCTCAGCTTCTCCACCACCTTTTCGACCATGAGATCTCAGCAAACGCTTCAATGTGTTCCTCCAAAACATATGTCTACTAAAATGTATATTGTCACCAATGAGAGTAAAATAAGAAACCGTCATGTTTTAAGACATCCTCAGGTTTTGTCAGCAAAAACAACTTACTGATTTTCTCCATCCTGAAGACTCTTTCAGGGATAATCAAAAGAATAACTGGATAATCACCAGTTAAGTGATCCCAGCATAAGCAATACAGTTTCCCCAGGGTGGTGTTAACGGAAGGCTTTCATGACTTTCACCTGCATTCACCTGCAGCATCTTTATCTCCTCCTTTAAACCTAGATAAAATTTTGAGATCTTGACTTCTAGACACACTGGGTTGTAATAAGGCAGTGGCTTCCAACTCTTTTGCAAAATTGTGCTATCAATGGATTATAGTTCTTAGAAAGGATCTGCCTTTTCTATTTGCCTTGCATTGAGAGAAATCCACCTCTCCTCCTTTACCTATTATGCAGGAACATTGGAAGCTGCCTTGTACCATTCTAGACAATTCGCCCACCTAGATCAGTACAGTCTGCGTTGATTGGCAGTGGCTCTTGAGGGTTTCAGGCAAAGGACATTCCTACCCGTACTTGGAGATAGCAGGGTTTGATCCTGGTCCCTTCTGCAGGCAAAGCAGGTGCTCTGCCATTGAGCCACTTCTGGGTTGCCCTGTTCCCAATCCCCACTGCTAGCAAAGCTGGTTATATAACCCAAGGCTTCAGCAACCCACTCCTGGCTTACCATTTGGATTGCTGTGGGACTTGGCAGATGTGCAGTGCCACATAGACAATTAGAAGCTAGGGATAACTTTTGGTTAAAGTTCTCTTTCAAGTCACAGCTGAGAGCATTACCACAATAGATTGTGTATTTCAGGGTTTGAACTTGGCTCCTTTACTACCTGCTCGACACCTGATCTGATCTGAAGCTAGCACGTGAGCGAGTGACAAACCCTCTTCCCATCTCATGTACCTCTTGTAGATGGGTCACGTGTGGACCTGGCTGGAGTCCAAAGATGAATTCTTCACGGAGTCTGAGAAGAGCAGCAGCTGCCAGTCTCCCCAGGGCTCCACAGGCTCTAGCTCAGATCTTGACCTGGAAGTAGGCTGCTGGAGAAAGGGGGAAGAAACTGCTGAGGAGGAGGTCGAGGAGAGCAGCAGCCAAGAGGAGGAGAGTCAGCTGGGAACGAGTGGTCCTCTGGCATGGGAAGGTGCCAGCAGAGGGGACCAAGAAGAGGCTGGGAGGTACAAGCAGGATGCTATCTTGAGGTTCCTGTCAGAGGTATGGCTGCTGATGGGTGCAGTTGAGGAAAAGGCGGAGGTGGTGGTGGGTGACCTTGTCAATTAGAGGGGACTGCTGAAAAAATAGTGCTCCCAGCCAACGTGGCAGACTGGCCATTTCTGTATGCAGTTGGGTAGAGATAGAGGTTCAGGATAAATGTGTTGACAAGGGTTGGTGTCTGCCCTCTAATTCAAAAGTGGAAGGGTGTCTTTGCCCAGATGCACTTCTATTCACATGCCCATGGAGTGTTATTCTGTGTTTTGGCTGCGTCTCTATCCTATGCCCGTTAAGACAAAAGATGTGTTGAATGGACAGATCTGCATATAGTTCTGTAATGTCACTAATTCTGTAATGGTCTTTTTTTTTTTTTGCAAGTAAATTTTTATTCAGAATTTGTATAAAGAAAAGAAAAAAGAACTAACAAATACAAAAATAAACATTTTAACATAAATTATTCATCCTATTTTCATACTATACAAAAAGAAAGCATATGTTCATACAAAAAATAATAATATAACCATTAGGCTCTCCTTAGCCTTTGACTTCCCTTCACCCTTTTGGTAAGTATCAAATAAGTCCCGGGTTGCGTAATTAGTTTATTAAAGTTTATAGTTATTAGCTGATAAAGTTTTTCTAATACCGCCAGTTCCTCCTATATATCCGTTCCAATATATTTCCAAAACTTACTCCAATTTTTTTGAAATTTCTGGTCGTCTTGGTCTCGTATTCTGCCTGTTAATCTATCTAGCTCGGCATAGTTGATCATTTTGACCTGCCAGTCACTTATGTTAGGAATAGTTTCTATTTTCCAGTTTTGTGCCAGCATAATTCTTGCGGCTGTGGTGGCATAGAGAAATATTTTTTATCTTCATTTTTATTTCCTTACCCATTATTCCCAGCAAAAAGGCCTCAGGTCTCTTGGGAAAAGTGTATTTAAAAACTTTTTAAGTTCATTATAAATTGCTTCCCAAAAACCTTCACCTTGCTGCATTGCCACCACATATGGTAGAGGTCTCCCTCCCCTTCACCACATTTCCAGCATGTCTTATTTTCTGATCTATAGATTTTAGCCAATTTTGCCGGCGTAAGATACCATCTATAGAGCATTTTCCAAACATTTTCTCTCAAACTCGTACAGGCCGTAAATTTAATGTCTCTATTCCACAATTTCAACCACTTTTCAAACTCGATGTTATAACCGAAGTCAATTGCCCATTTAATCATTGCCTCTTTGACTTCCTCGTCTTTTGTATGCCATTCCAGTAATATGTCATATAATTTAGACAATGTTTTGTTTTTGCCTTCTATTATTTCTATATTGAATTTTGATTTCTTGTCCTCAAAGCCCATTTTTCTTTTATCTTGTTTTAACATATCATTCACCTGATGATATTGTAACCAGCCGGTGAATTGATCCTTTATTTCCTTTATTTCCTTTATTTCCTCATACGGTTTAAGTTTAAGCCCTTGTTCTGATTTTCTTAGCAAATCTTCGTAGGTGGCTGTCTTCCCTTCCATGTTGGTTTTTTTTATTGTTAAGACCTCTACTGGTGAAATCCACCATGGTGTTTTTCTTTCGAGAAGGTTCTTATTTCTTTCCCAGACCTGATATATTGGTCCCCTGAAAATATGGTTTAAGAAAGCCCTGTGGACTTTCACCTTCTCGTACCAGAGATATGCGTGCCACCCATACCGGTTATTGAAACCTTCTAAATCCAGTAGGTCTCTGTTCTCCAATTTTATCCAATCTTTTAACCAAAGTAGGCACGCTGCTTCATAATATAGGCTCAAATCTGGGAGGGCAAAACCTCCTCTTTCCTTTTTATCAATTAGTATTTTCATTTTAATCCTTGGTCTTTTCCCCTGCCAGATGAATTTCATCAGGGTTCTCTGCCATTCTTTACATTGTTTTAGACCTTTAATAACTGGAAGAGTTTGAAATAAAAACAACATCCTCGGCAAAACATTCATTTTAACCACTGCTATCTTCCCTCAAAGGAAAATTTCATCCTCCCCCATATTTCCATATCTTTCTTTATTTTTTTCCATGTAACTTCATAATTATCTTTATATAGGTTTATGTTTTTGCCGTAATCCACACTCCCAAATATTTCACTTTTTCAACACCATGATTTCCACTTTTTGTTCTAGATCTTTCGTTTCTTCCTTAGTTAGATTTTTAACCAGCATTTTAGTTTTATTCTTGTTTACCTTAAAACCTGCCACCTCTCCAAATTCCTCAATTTTTGTAATGCTTCTTTTACACTATCTTGTGGATCTTCCAAAGTCAAAACAATATCGTCGGCAAAGGCTTTAATTTTGAATTCCTTCTTTCCTACTCTAATTCCTTTCACTTCTGTTGCCTCCCTCAGTCTCTTATTAAGTACTTCCAAAATTACAATAAATAATAAGGGGGACAGGGGGCAACCTTGTCTGGTCCCTTTATAAATGTTAAAATATTCTGTTGTATTGTTGTTTAATGGTCTGTAATTCTGTAATGGTCTTAAGCTGTTTAGCCTGTCACCCTCTCTTCCAGGTAACACATTTGATGGAGCCCCTTTGCATTGGCAGCACATACCTGGCCCAGGGTCCACAGGCACTTTGCAGTGCTGGGGAGCTGCCTGGAAGGGGATTGCTGGATCATGAAGGAGACATAAAGGGATCTGTGACCCACCAAGAGGAGGAAGTGGCTAAAGGAAGTCAGCTTCAGGTTCTGAAAAAGAGAGCTACTTCCCAGGGAAGGGGAAAGTTGGCATTTCAGGTCTCAGAAGAGTTGCCAGTTATGAACTGGGAAGCAGAAGGAATGGAAGAGCAACAGCATCTGTGTGAGGAGTCAGGAGACTCTCAGATTCAAGATGACAATCCTGATGGGGATTTGGAAAAGAAGATGCTGCATAGCCTTGTGGAAAGTGCAGGAGAAACAGATGAAGATGACTACTCATTAGAGCTTACAAATGATACTTCCTTCAGTTGGAGAACGCTGAAGGATGGGGTGCCACAAAACGTAGAGGTAAGTGGTGAAACTCTCACAAGTCGAGTTTTAGGTCTCTGTCTCTGTGCCTCATCTCCCCATTTTGGGATAGAGGTCATATTCTTTGGAAAGGAGAAGCACAGTGAAGTGAAAGTTGATAAGCACCAAGGGAAAGAAGAAATCTGTGAGCTAGCCATGATTGTTGGTGGGAAGGGGGAAAGTGAGAACAAGTTGCTTGGGAGGGCTTAGCTGCATTTTCAGGTGGGGTGGAGAAAAGATGGATCCACCCAGTTAGAATCCTTGTATCTTCCATCATGGGCATCTGACCCTGAGTTTGATATTCCATTTGTTACTTTGCCAATTCAGCTCATGCCTATTTTGTGTTCACCAGGAAGTGGCTGCGGAACGCACTGAAGAACAAGCTGAAGACTGGAAAGATTGTGACTTCCACCTGAGTTACAGCAACGATGACTCCAGTCCCTATGGAACACCCTTGATGAGCTCTCCTACCACAAGTACAGCTTCTTTGCCTTTGTGAGTAATGGTGGCACAAAGCTCAGAAATGGCATCATGCCTACTCTTCAGGCTTAGTACTTTAAGTGTAGCCAGTCATCTCTCCGTGCAATCCTGCACAGGTCTACTCAGAAGTAAACCCCACTGAGTTATGTGGGCCTGGCTCCCAGCTAAGCTTATATATAGGGTTGCAGCCTAAAGCTCCCTCTAGAAGAGGCGCGGGGAACTCTTTGTTAGGAAATAACTGGGGAATACTAGTTAATCCAGATATTCCATGTGTGGGGGAAACTACAAAAGAAAACAAAAAACGGCTGACTGCCTGAATTAAAAAAACATGGGGCTGACTCACTCTGTAGTCAAAAGGGCCCCCAGCAGAGTTTAAAACTAAAATATATGCAGTGTTTGCAAAGCGTGGCAAATATAGGTTGTTAGACCTTTAAATGTCCCAGTATTAAGCACTGGGTACTAATTGTGTTCCCCTGTCTCTACCACTCTCAGAGTTAATAGAGCACAAACTTTCATAAGTTTAAATGCTTTACTTATATTAAGTAAAGGTCACACTCATGCATCAATCAATGCTACAGAAAAAACAACACAGGTAAAAACTTATTGAGTACAAAATACGAAAAGGGTACCTTCAAGCATGGAGTTTGGACAGGGAGCGCCAGCCTCATGTGTCTGGTCAGTTGCATGGTTCAAAAAGAAGAGGGAGAGAGGAGCAGGGAACAAACAATACTTCCCTCCTCCTTGAAGGTGAGGGGGTGTATCTTAGCTGTGCCTTCTCTAGAAATTTACAGTTCTGTGTTCCTTAACCCCTTCATTTACTAACTTTCATTGGTAAGTTGTACAAATTTCTTTTTCCATCGGGGGCTAACAAACCTTAGCTGCATCACCGGTCCAATAACACGTTTCATCCCACCAATTTCTTTTTCCTGATGGGAATAAATCTGTTCTGTTTCTTATCTGTATAGGATGCGGCTGAGCCAAGATGACCCTCTCCAGCAGCATTTGCTTTTCAAAAAAACTTTGTTGTCCATCTGGAAGATGGTGGCTGGCCACAGGTGTGTTATTAAGGTTTATGGAGGCGAAGAGGACTAAGGCTGCATCCACAGTAGCACATCTTCATGGCTGCTTGATACTAACCATTCAAGAGCTAGTGCAGGTCACACAGCATCTTGCGATTTGTCTGTGTCTGCATGCCACTTCCTGTGAGGATCCTTTTGCACAGTCTGGTCTAGACTGAAATCTCCTGCTGTCCCACTTCCTGACGCTGCAGTTTTCCTCTTTCAAATTGCTTCCTTTCTTGGAGTGGTGTAGCGTTGCATCTATACATTCAGTAACCTAGGCACCTTGCTTATTGCATTTACTGCATCTGCTAATTTTTTTTAAATAGCAGAAATCGTATCAGACTTGCTTCATGATCCTAAAATCCAATACACTCCTGAGATTATCACCCTGGGGTTTTTTTTTTTGGCAAGCAGCATCAAATTTATTAAGGTGTATTTGGGTAAACAGGAGCGACTGCCCGTATCTGGTGGTTATTAAGAGGGTGAACCATGTGTGTAAGGTGAGGGGTGGGTGGATTGAAATTTAAGAGGAGGAAATATATAAATAGAGGAAATGTGCCAAAATTTAGTACTGATACAGTGAGAGTAAACCTAAGACTTTAAAGCCTGCATGGAAAGACCAGAGTTGGATACTGAGGGAGTCAAAGCTCAAACAGAAGAATGTTGTGGATCAAGCTCAGAGAGAACTGGTGAAAATATGGGGGAAGACACTGGGATCCCAGGACCGAAGCCCGGAGGAAATGGAGTGTCCTATATGTATTAGGGTTAGGAATGTAGGAAGCCACCTTATACCAAATCAGACCATTTGTCCCTCTAGCTTACCATTGTCTACTCTGACTGGCAGCTATCCTCCAGGTTTCAGACTAGGGACATTTTCAGTCTTGTCTGGAGACTGAACTGCAATCATTTGCAACCAAAGCAGATGTTCTTCCATTGAGCTACAGCCCTTCCCCGTAATTAGAATTGGAAGATGGAACAACAGCTGAATGTGTCCCTTTTTCTCAGCCCATCCTGGCCTGATTCTCTTGGTCCGACATTATGCATACACAGCATTCAGAGCTGCCCCCTGTAAAGCACAAACCTGTGCATGGTTCTACCCTGAGCATTTCACCCTTCCTTTCTATTTATTATATTGTGATTTCTTAGCTGATTGACTTCCATCTGCCAATCACTGTCATCCCCACCAGTCATTCTGAGATACAAAAAAGGGTGTGGCATGAAGTCCGGTGGTGAGTCAAGGGGTTGTGTAATGCACATGGGGAAGCCTATTTAGCTCTCTTCATCTCTGTCTCCCCCTTAGATACAGCGGCCCCTTTCTGAAGCCCGTTTCCGAGAAGCAGGCTCCTGGTTACAAAGATGTGGTGAAAAGGTCAGCTGAGAAAGTGGAGGGAGAGCTGGTACGGAGAATAAGGCTGTGGAGTGGCTACAAGTCACAACAACTGCCATGGTTGCAGTTCCAGCCGAATTGTCCAATGCCAGAGTCTATGATAATGTTACGGGATCAGTTTCAGCTTATGCAGTCAAGTTGATATGGATAAGATGCTGGTGGCAATACGTCTGCCCACATGCCCTCTTCACCCCTGTCCCTCCTAGCTTCTTAAATCTACCAGAGGGGGTTTGATTCCTTGGGTCCAAGGCATGGAGAACATTTTATTGTGTGATGGGGTGGTTCCAGTTGCCTTGAAAGAGATGGTGGTGTGAACACTCTTGAAGAAACTGGCCCTGGGCCCTTCAGACTGGAATAACTACCATCCAGTTGCAGCTACCAATTTCTTGGTGGTGGAGAGAGTAGTGGCAGGGCAGCTGCAAGCATTCTTGGACGACACAGAGCATTTAAACCCATTCCAATCTGGATTCAGGCTTGGCTATGGGACCGAGTCATCCTTGGCCACCTTTACAGTGAGCAGGGCAAGGGTAATGCAGCTTTGTTCCTGCTTTTCTGGCTCTCAGCTGCGTTTGATACCATTGTGCATATAGCCTCTTGGACTGGCTCCATGGAATGAGAAACGGGGGGTTCCAGTCCTACCTACATTGAGAGAGTACTTTTTGGCCCCTTTGGTGGTTAAATTATGGGATGCTGCCAGGCACTATTTTATCCCCTATGCCATTGAATACCTATATGAAGCTGTTGGGAAGCAGTCATTAGGCATTTTGGAGCCAGATGCCATCAGTATACTTATGACACTCAGCTCTATTTCTCCATAACATCTGGATCAGGAGAAGCCTGCCTGGATGCAATGGTGGGATTGATGAGGTTCATGAGTCAGTCTCCCATTCCCTCCCCTCACCCACCCAATAATTATTATTGACTGAAAAGCAGTGAGGTAGAGGATGGGATTGGGATTGGGACTTTAGTACTGGGGTAGATTCCCTTAACATGAATCACTCCCCCAGAGGCTATTATTTAGATGAGAAAAGACAGTCGCCTGTATTGTACCCATCTTCCTATCTACCCACTCTGTAGATAATAGCAGCTTGAGTGTGTGATTTATGTATTAAGAAGCAGTATGGGTATGTGAAGGGTTAAACCCACCCCCAGAATCATCATAGACCTGATCCAAATTGAGGGAAGGGGCTGATTTCAACCAAAGAAAAGTATGTTTGAAGATTAAATCCACTGTACAACACAAGCCAGTAACTGCCACCATCCACTGATGGAGGAACAGAAATTCTTACTCTAAGGATTGGATATTTCCTTTGAGAGCTATCTAGGCTACCAAGTTAAAATTCTGCCAGTTTCCAATCTATAACCACCCAAATCCTTCTCCGAGAGACAATGTATTTTTTTTCTTAAGAAGTTGGCCAAAATGACAGACAATTGCAACTCACTTCTCCCTCCTTTCTGAAGGCCAGCTGATCTTTCCTCCATAAAGAGGAGCCTCTCCAAGGGCCGCATTCAGAATATGGTGCAGTTCCAGCGGGATCTCATGCTGATGTTCCAGAATGCCATCATGTACAATAACTCCAACCACCATATACATCGCATTGCTCTGGAGATGCAACGAGAAGTCCTGGAGCAGCTTCAGATGCTGGGCGAGGCACTCCTGTGCTCGGAAGAAATGCAGGGCTTTGTGAGAAGGTGGGAGGATTGTGTTCAAAGGGGAACAACCACATCAGCCTCCCCTTTGCCATGTTCCCATACCTGTAGGGAACAAATGAGTGGAAATCCAACCATTCACAGGATGTATGGCATCTCTGCTTGTGTCTCCCAAACATGAGTGCTATTCATCTCAAGGTGAAAGCCTCGTCCTTAGATTTCCCAATAATGAGTAGAATTTTCTGCCAACCTGCAAGGCATAAAGGTAAAGGTAAAGGAGACCCCTGACTATTAGTTCCAGTCGTGACCGACTCTGGGGTTGCGGCGCTCATCTCGTTTTATTGGCCAAGGGAGCCAGCATACAGCATGTGGCCAGCATGACTAAGCTGCATCTGGCAAACCAGAGCAGCACATGGAAACACCATTTACCTTCCCACTGGAATGGTACCTATTTATCTACTGGCACTTTTGATGTGCTTTCGAACTGCTAGGTTGGCAGAAGTTGGGACTGAGCAACGGGAGCTCACCCTGTCACAGGGATTCGAACCGCCGACCTTCTGATCGGCAAGTCCTAGGCTCTGTGTTTTAAACAACAGCGCCACCCGCGTCCCTTCTATATGCAAGGCATATAGATGATTAAAAATTCACTTGGCTCCCTAAGCAGGAACATAGGAAACTGCCTTATATCAAGTCAGACCATTGGTCTGTCTAGCTTAGCATTGTCTATGGTGATGGACAGTGGCCCTCCAAGATGTCAGACAGGGGTCTCCCAGCCCTGCCTGGAGATGCCAGGGATTGAACCTGGTACTTTCTGTGGCCCTTCATAATGAAGTTTATGTAGGCATAGATACAGGCTATTCTGGAACATGATAAATCCTTAGGGAACTGAGAGATTTGCTGTCTTTCTTTCAATTTATAGATGTTGAGGAGCCAGAAGAATCAGGCTAGTCCAGGGGCGAGAAGCTGGATTTCAACCTTGCTACCTTCAGTCTGGCTCTACGGAAAAGTTGTTGAGATAACCACAGTTCAGCAGTCTGATGCCCCTCCACTTCCCTTAGAGCTTTTGTTATCTATTATATGTCCCAAAGTATTAGTCATAACAGGTTTATATGTATTAGAGAAGTCAGTTTTTAGACTACAGATACCATGTTTTTTCCTGTTGTTTATTCCTGGAACCGTGCTGTCTTGTCCTCACCCAGGAGTCTCAGTTGAAGTTTAATGGATGAAGAAGAAAGTTAAAGAACCTACAAGCCATAGCACAGGCAAGACTTGTTGTCCCCCAAAGCTAAGCCCCGTTTTTGGTAGCAGGCACCAACAAGGGGCTGTAGAACGTACATTTCCAGAAAATAAATGTTATGTTGTGTATTACCGTTCCAGAACAGTTCTGTTCTAGATTCCGAAAGATTTTTTTAAAATCTGTGTTGGCTTCCTTTTTAGAAAATTCTAAAACTGAAAGAGCATGCAGTTATCTTCAAACATTATTTTGGAGGCAAAAAAACCCCCAAACCCTACATGATACCACTGTTAGTACCCAAGCAAGGTAGCTTAGTTGGTTTCAACATTGGCACAAATTAATTCTGTTCATGCCTCCCTAACAGAACACTACTCTCTGAAGTTGCATCCATTGTACTCACCTTTACCAGTTACCAAGTAGTTATCACTAGGCTTGGCCTAATTTGGGAAGGGCATAAAGGATATTGGGAGTTCTCCACCAATAATGATAAATTATTTGTGAATGCCTGATATAAAAGGAGAGGAGTAGATAATGACCACGAGGAAAGAAAAGGGGAAAACAAATACCACAGCACGCTTTGCTTCAATTATACCTGTAAAAACAGGATCACCTTTATGACAAGTCCAGATATAATGACAGCGGCTTTGCAAAGTACCAGGAAACTGTTAGACTCTGCCTCTTCTCTGTCCCACAGAGTTTGAGCATAATGCAGCAGAAGCTAAAGTTGGGCTGGGGAGAAACTGTGTGTGTGCTACTGACGGCAAATGTGGTTAAGAGGAAACATCCCTAGCAGCAGGTGGGGTGTGCAATGCTTGGTGCATATACTATTTTGCAGAGCCCCAGCACCTGGTGGGCTGCTACCAGATAAAATCCATGTATGGCAGGGGTGGGAACCTCAGACCCAGGGCAAAATGTGGCCCTCCAAGCTTCTCTGTGGCGCCAAGGATCCTTCAGATGCCACATCCCCTCCTAATCCACACTTCTCCATCCCTCCCCAAGTGCTTTGGTATGTCCTTAAGCTAGCTTGTCAGGATGGCATCCTACGAGTGTAGAAATGTCTCTTTTGTGTGGCTGGAATGTGGCCTATCATATAAAGGTAAGAGTAACACCTTTTGCCCACCCACTGTCACCTCTAGCCCTATCCACCACTGGCAAATGGCTCCTGGAAGTTTTCCCTTGAGATAATGTGGGTGGTTTTTTTTTACTAAAAAAATGTTCCCCATTCCTGGTGTAAGGGATCTGGGCAAGGTTATCCACACTGCAGTTAGAGCAATTGCAGCAGGGCCCATGCCTGCAGTGGGCCCTAGATTCTGAGCTTCCTTTTTTTTCCCCAAGAAAAAAGCAACGGTCTTTTGGAAGCTGAGTTAGGAATCAAAATGTGACTGGAGAGGACCCTTTTCTTACTTGAAGTCAAGGATGCAGGTTTCATATAGCTCGCCTGAGCAATTCCCGATGTCTGAAGGGTCCCTCACCTTCCATTGTGATTGTCTGTGAAGTAATCCTCTCCTTTTCCTTGGAGTTTGTGTTGTAAGGGGGTTGCAGCCAAAGGTAGCCCCCCCCCCCACTTTTTGTGAGATATTTGGAGGTGGGTGGGGGCAAAAATTGGCACTGGAATGGTGGCAGGGGTAATCTTTTGTGGCCCAGAAGGGTTTTAATAGAGGGAGAAGAACCAGACCGGAGAAGACTGCCCGCTCCTCCTTCCACTCCTCCCAGACTGAGGCTGAACTACATGCGACAAGAGCCAAGATGAGAAACAGCCTCGCGTTAAGCTCCGCGCTGGCCACGCCCCGGGTAGGTGATTAGCCGCTGAGTTTTGCGCGTCCTGATTGGCTGAGCGGGCCGACCGCGCGGTTTGAAAGAGCAGGAGAAGCAGAAGAGGATTTCGAGGGCTCCATTGTGGCTCGTGCGGACACCGGCGATCGAGCGGACAAAGCTTGGCGGGCCGGGCAGAGGAGAGCACGGAGCGGGGGAAAGCCTGGTGAGAGGGGGGAGAATTGCTTTGGACTCAATCCTTGCTACTGGTGTCGGGGAGAACGCGGCTCGGGCGTGAGTTGCTCCTTTACTTCTGCAACGGCCGCGGCGGGTGATTTAAGTCTCCCGCTGCCCCTCCTAATGTGAGCGCTGAGCATGTCTCATTTTGGGTACTCGTGAAAACCTCCCCCTTTCACTAGGTTGGCAGTCGTATTCGTAATTCTGGGCATTTATTTACCCACCTTATTCCAATTCCTCTTTATCTTATGGGACCTGGAAGATACGTTACAGACGCTAGGCTTGAGGCGAGTCTCCTGAATTAAGTTGCTCTCATAGGGAAAGGAAGAGGTGGATCCCAAAGGCAGATTAGGTCGAGTGGCATGTTCTTTTTAAATAACCCTTTGCAGAAGCTGGTTAAAGAAGCTACGCTTGCACGAAGGTCACATTCGTTGCTGCTACAGTAGTGTCTGAGCCAAACAATGCACTTTCTAGTACTCCCATAACGAAACAAAGTGCCCACATGACAGTGTTTTCGCTGTAGTCCTAACCCCACTTCCTTGGAACTAAGTCCCAGTGGATTTATTTCTGAGTATATGTAGTTGGGAGTGTACTTAAGGGCTGTCCCTTGGTTGGTATTCAACATGTGTTGAATACAGAAGGTCCCAGGTTCAGTCCCTGACATCCTCAGGTAGTGCACAGACTGAGAAAGATGCTCTTTGAAACCTTGAGAGCTGCACTCAGCAGGTAGAAGAGGCAATACTGGGCCCATATGGAGCAATGGTCAGGTAAGGTACCTCCGGATTTTTTTCTACTTAGTTTTTCCTAGAATGCAATGCATCTTTAGCCGAGGTATGTTGCTGGTATCCCATCTACTGTTTGGCTAGTGGAGGTTGTGGGGGTTGTTTGTGCTAATGGTAATTATCCTCTAATTTAATTCTTTTCTGTTGAGGTTGTAATAAAAAGTCTTATATAAATAAAAAATGTACCAAGCAAACACGTACATAAACCACATGTCTGAAGCAGCACAGGAAGACAGTCCTGAAACCATTTTGACTCCCAAACTGACCAAATGTTTCTCTGCAAGGGGGGGGGGGGAGGGAACCTTCCCATTGTCTCAGGAATTAAGTAATTACCATCTCAAAGGAATAGCCAGACTACCAGAAAAGGCAATCAGATAAGGCATTATCAGATAACCTGGCAGACAGGAGAAACAACAACATTCAAATGTTTGTTGTAGATGCCTTTTCTGTGATGTATGTATGATGTATGGAAGGCTGGTCTTGAGCTCCAGAGCAGGGAATTTCAAAATGTCTGGGCACACCTTTGTTCTGGGTCCTCCTCCTCTCTTCCTGTGTGTGGGGGAGCACCCTGTTGCAACAGTTAATAAAGGTCTGGCTTACTAGCTGCTTTGCTTCTCAATATTCTCTGGTTGGCCTCTGTTATTTTCTCCTACCGATGGAGAACCTACAAATGACTCTATAAGGGCTCTTGTGTACCCCATAAGGGAATAAGGACAGATTTTGTTTACATCATGGGCTGCTTCTTCATTGTTTTAGTTTGGGAATAGAAATCTTGCTGCAACAATAAAGCGATCAAGGCTTCCTAGCTGCTGTTTTGCTTTGATTTGTCCGGCTATGGTTTCTTGCTTGAACCTGACCGATTCAGAACCCGCAGGGCTAGGCCCTAGTGAAGCTGGGAAACGATTTCAGTATTGTACCCCAAGATTATATCCTTATCATAGGCATCACACATTTTGCAGTTATAGGAAGTGTTGTTATAATTTATTTAGAAGTGGCAAGGGACCTGGAAACCAGTGGCAAAGTCTGGCAGTGGAACTTATGCTTCTTTTTCTATTCCTCATCCTATGATGGGCTTCTCTTGCAGCATCAGTGTGTAGTTGCTATGGCCTCCCCAGTAGGGCTGTTATCTGATGAAGAAGCTGTCACGTCTCCTGTGCTGGAGTCCACTATGGCAGAATGTGGGGCTGGCTTGTGCCGAGACCTCTTGGCGGAGTTCTCTGCCATCTCTTCAAGCAGTGAGCAGGTAAGACCAGTGAGGTGAAGAACTAAAACCCTTGTTTGTGCTCCCTCGGGGGTAGCCAATGTGATGCTCTTTAATATGGTTGGACTGCAGCTGCCCATCAGCCCTGTCCAGCAGGACCCATGGTTGGGAAAGATGGAGCTGTAGACCAACAGCGTCTGAAAAGCACCTGATTGGCTACCTCTGGTCTGGTTTCAAAACAATTAAAAAACAGCAAAATGATTGGGCTAGTATTGCCTACCTCTCCTAGGTATGAACCTAAAAGTCACATGTGGCTTCTCCACAGGCCGCTTCTGATGACAATGGAAAAGTGAAGGTATATGCAAGAGTGCGACCCCTGACACCAGCCGAGATGGAGAAACAGGAAGATAAAGTGAGTTTATAGGCAATGCATGGGCCAGCATCTAAGGTGGGGGGGGCCCTGCTTTTGCCAATCTCCTGGGAGGGGATAGACACTGGTCTCTGCCCTTATCCAGAGGTATAATCACACCAGGAGGTTGCCCCCTTTCGCTCTCTGGCAAGGGGAAGAGTAGTCTGGCCCCAGCCTATCCCCCTCACCAAGCTGCAATTCCCCGAGTTCTTTATAAAGAAGGATTGATTGTTAAGCCATTCTGGTAATTGTAGCTCTGTGAAGGGAATAGGGGCTCTTAACGACTCTCAGCACCTTTTAAAAAAACAACAACACAGCTCCCATAATTCTTTGGGGGAAGCCACAAATGTTTAAACTAGTATCAGGGGGTGCTCCTGCTGTGGCAAATAATGTTGAATGCAGAATGTTAACTGTCCTCTCTAGGGCTGCGCCTGTATTGACGATTCCGAGACCCTTCTTCTCAAAGCACCAAAGGATTCCTTCACCATGAGAAACATTGAACGGGGGCTTGGTCAGGCGGTGCACAAATTCACCTTCACTCAGGTACATACTTGGATCTTGGGTTTATGTAGGATTCAACATGGACACCAGTTTTTTTTTAAGGATTTTGCAGGGCTCCACTGAGGAAAAAGTGGAGAAGCAGGGGCAACCCTTCCCCTCTTCGTTTTACTTCCTAACTCTAACCCCCTGAGGGGGAATGTGTGGCCTACCTCATATTTTGACCTGCAACTCCCATCAGCCCTAGCCAGCACTGCCAATGGTCAGGGATAATGGAAGTTGTAGTTCAACAATGTCTGGAAGGCCCCAGGTTCCCTTTCTCTGCTCTCTAAAGGGACTAACCTGTAACATTTGGGGTTGCAGATCTTTGGGCCAGAGGTGGGCCAGGCGGATTTCTTTGATGCAACGATGAAGGATGTGGTGAAGGGTGTGCTCCATGGGCAGAACTGGCTTGTTTACACCTATGGCGTCACTAATTCAGGGAAGACTTACACCATCCAGGGTAAGAAGCACTCAGTCTGTGCTGGCTCAGGCAAGCACCTCTGCCTAGTGGCGGGGGGGGGGCACTTGTCTCAGCGTCTGCTCACTTCTTCTTTGACTTGCAGGTAGTGGTGCTGATGCGGGGATCCTGCCTCGCTCCCTGGCCATCATTTTCAATAGTATTGGGACACGGTTGTACCGCGCCATGGATCTGAAGCCCTTCCTCTCGAGTGAGGTGATCTGGCTGGACAGCAAGCAGGTTCGACAGGAGGAAATGAAAAAGCAGGCCCTGCTTTGCGGCAAGATGAAGGAGGTGAGTGTCCCTCCTGCTCGTCGAGTCTCTTGTTATAAGAAGAAAAATGCCCTGATCTGCAACTCAGTGGTCTTCCTTCCTTCCTTTGGAATTACAGGAGGAGCTGTATACTTCTCTGAATAGAAGTCACAGCACAGCATCCCAGCTGCAAGCAGGCACAAGCGGAAGCATTGACAGTGGCTTAGGTGGCCTCTCTTACAGCTGCCAGTCTGTCAACCTGACAAGCACCAGCCACCTAGAAGGTACCTACCGCCCTGAGCCACCTGTTTGGGGACAGGTGGTTTTCTAATTGTCACGATCAAAGCTGAGAAGTACCTCAAGAGGTGTGGAATCTCAAAATAGATAGGGCCACCCAACCCACAAGAGAGCAAGGGGGGATATCTAGTGATAGCATCCATATATCAATTTTATAACAATGTTGAGGTGGTTTATGGGGACTCATTGATGGGCTTTACAGGAGAGGGTCTTTGGGCTTCTTTTGGAGGGGCTTGTAAAATACTCCCTCAAATCGCTTTTGGCTTGGCCATTGCTTGATGGCCAAAGCCAGTCTTCTGTCACTAACTATAAAGCAGAAAGCTGGACTGTTGCTAAAATCTTATTTACCATTCAGTAGAAGATTTGTATTTTACCACTCTCTGATTTCACACGTGAGGGCATGCAAAGGCCTTCAGAAGAGTGAGTGGGCTAGCAATGAAGGGACTTACAGGAGACTTAAAATCAAGGCAGATTCAGAGGCATGTGAGAAATTTTGCAAGGGGAGATGCCTATGGCCTTCTTTAACAGGGCAACTGCTGTGTGTTAAAAGGGGGGGGGAATTATAAAGTTAATGGGGAGCCAGGCGAGGGCATTGGGAAGGGACATTGTGTCTTTTGGATGAATTTCAGCTGTGGCAATCACTGGCAATATACACGTTTGGTTTTCATTGACAGAGACAGGGCCTCGCTGGGCTGACCCAGATAATGTCTCAGTGCTGGCACAAGACGATGTGCAGTTTTCCATCTGGGTCTCCTTTTTTGAGATCTACAATGAACAGATTTATGACTTGCTGGAGACGACCACACTTGGCCCAAACTGCAAGAGGCCCACCTTGCGGCTGTGCGAAGATCAGACCGGCAATCCCTACGTCAAAGGTAGAGACTGGCCAGCTTACCCAGCCAGCGGTTTTCCCGTAGCTTGATCCACTGGCAGTCTGTGGGTGGCAGCATTGGTAACGTGGGCTGTGTAACGGAAGAGGGTCTTGTCTGCTTGCTGAGGGTGATCCCTCGTAGAGATGTGAAGCCTGAAGCCACATATTCCTGTTCCCAGATCTGAACTGGATCAATGTTCAAGATGCTGCTGAGGCCTGGAAACTGCTGAAACTGGGCAGGAGAAATCAGAGCGTTGCCAGCACCCACATGAACCAGCATTCTAGCCGCAGGTCTGTAACAGCACCATAATTTTATTTATTAGCAGAGGGGTGGGGTGAAAGTGTGTGTCTCAGGATTGGCAAAACATGTCTTTCGCACAAGAAAACAAAACCCACGGAGGTAGGAGGGCAGGTCTGTGTGTATGAGATAGGGAATGGGGGTGACAATCTGAGCCCAAGCTACTGGTTTTCATTACTCTTTTGCTCTTTGCAGTCACAGCATTTTCTCCATTCGCATTCTGCACCTCCAGGAAAGCAGCAGTGGGATGGAGCCAAAAATCAGCGAGTAAGTCAAAGTTTTTGCATGCAGCGAAGGGCAGAATTATGAGTTTCCCTGTCAGTTGGCCGAAGGGCAATCTCATTTAAGGGTAGGGGAGTTCAGAAGGGCAAATGGGGTGTGTGGGAGAGAGTCCTCCCCCCCAGTCACAATGGGCACTTCTCAGACAGACGCCCACTGTATGTGTTGGTGTAAAGCTTTCAGGGGCTTTTCCAGTATCCCTGCAATGTGCCAGACCTGGAATGAAAATTTGTAATTAGTCCCCCGTTTTGCTTACCTGAAGCAGAGCAACCTAAATCTTCCATAGCACTGAATTAACAGGTTTTAGTTGGGTGTATTTGGCAGTGGTTGACATGTCTGGTGTGCAGGATTTCTAACCTGAAGAATGCAACACTTGGGTCTGGTAGGATTAGACTTCCTGTATCCTGATACTGACACCACCCTCCCTCCTCCCCAGGATGTCCCTCTGTGACCTGGCCGGCTCAGAGCGCTGCAAAGAACAGAGAGTCGGGGACCGCCTGAAAGAGGCAAATAACATCAACACCTCCTTGCACACGTTGGGGCGTTGCCTCACTTTGCTGCGCCAGAACCAGCAGACCAGGTAAAGCTCTTCCTAGCTCTCAGTCTGACAGCTCCTCATAGCTCTGACTTGAACCCAGCAAGGAGTGCTTCCTGTAGGATGTCCTCTCCAACTTGAGATGTTGCTGGTTGTGTGTAGGGTTTGTCGAATTTGATTGCCGGCAGGTGGGGTGCCGGCTATGGTTGCTGCTTTTCTGCTCCATTTCTGGGGCTTAAATCCTCTTCCTGTATCCTTAACAGGCTGAAGCAGAGTGTCGTTCCTTTCCGGGACAGCAAGCTCACCCGTGTGTTCCAAGGCTTCTTCACAGGACGTGGGCAGTCCTGTATGATTGTTAATATCAACCCATGTGCTTCATCGTACTATGAGACTCTTCACGTGGCTAAGTTTTCAGCTATTGCTAGTCAGGTGAGACACAAAGTTGTTGAAGGTAAAACTAGGTGCCTGCAAGGTTCCATAAATGTTGGCTGGCCTTTGAAGTTTCACTGCTAATCCTTCCTCTCTCTCTCTTGTCCCCTCCCCTCCCCCCGGTGTACCCCAAAGTGTGCTTGTTACACTTGTACTCTCTCTCCTACACCTCTTACGTGTTTCCCCATTTTCTTTCCTTTAATAATGATAATAATTAATAATAATTTATTATTAATTTATTATTTATACCCCGCCCATCTGGCTGGGTTTCCCCAACTCCCAACAGAATATTAAAAACACGATAAAACATCAAATATTAAAAACTTCCCTAAACAGGGCTGCCTTCAGATTTCTTCTAAAAGTCAGATAATTGTTTATTTCCTTGACATCTGAAGGGAGGGCATTCCACAGGGCGGGCGCCACTACCGAGAAGGCCCTCTGCCTGGTTCCCTGTAACCTCACTTCTCGCTGGGAGGGAACCGCCAGAAGGCCCTCAGTGCTAGACCTTGGTGTATGAGCTGAACAATGGGGGTGGAGATGCTCCTTCAGGTATACTGAGTTGAGGCCGTTTAGGGTTTAAAGGTCAACACCAATTCTTTGAATTGTGCACAGAAACGTACCTATTTATTTGTATTTATTGCATTTGTTTACTGCACTTTGCCTGTAGATCTCAAGGCAGTCCACGACATAAAAATGCAAAATGCATAATAAAAACAAGAATGAAACAAACTAATAAGCCCCCAGACCCCAGCCTCTCTTCTCCAGTATCTTCTCCACACCTTACCTTGGCAACCTTTGGCTAAGTTCAGCAGCACCTGCAATTCCCTCTCTGAAGGACCCTTGGGTGCTGGTGTGCTATGTAGCACAGCTGGTTGGCTGCAAGAGAGCAGAGAAACGGGCAAGATTAGGGAATATGGTATATCTCAATCCTTGCCAGGGAAGAAACAGACTTTCCATAGTATGAGGAAGGACAGATAGCTGATTGTACTTCTAGGGAGGGCTAGATGTGGCTTATTAACCTCCAGGCATGGATGTCAACTGGGGCAGGAGAATTTCCGACAATGTGTTAAACTGGCTAGGTTAAACATAAGGCTGTAGCACATGGGTGGGAAAGCGAGGGCCAGATGCAGGCCTCTGCCTTGGCCCTGGGATTCTCCCTAGGCCACATCCCCCTGTGCTATCCTCAGGTGCTTTTGCCTGGCTGGGATGTGCCCATTGCTCTTTGGAATATGCCAACAGCAACACTTTGTATACCTTCCAGATCCTACAAGCTCCTACAAAGCTCCTGTCGATTCAGTCTCTCATCAAGGAGCACAGCCTCCGGGGGAAGAAGATCGCTGAAGAAGTACCGTATCAAGAAGCTGAATCGGATGAAGAGAGCGAGGATGAAATGGATGTGACCACATATGACAAAGAGGCAAGTGCTTGTTTGTCTGTCACTCACTGAGAAAGTCTCCCATTGGCAGGGTCCTTTGGTAGACTGGAGCAGTCAGAAAACCTCTTATGGACCCAGCCAAGAATAGACCGTGAAGTGTCAACTGAGGTTCAAAAATTCTGTGCCCTCACGCAGGAAAAAATGTAAAGCTGTCTGATGCAATGATAGCCAGTTACCGCTAGGCTCCAAAACCTCCTTTGGATACTTACTTGCCCATTAAAAATTGAGTAGCTGTAGTAATGCTTGGATGTCTGGGGCAATTCCTCAACTTGGCTGTTCTGGAAAACCTGGGACTCAGCTACATTAGTCAAAAACCTGCATTTTAAATGCGTTATAAACATGCAACACCAGATGGCGCTGGAGTGCACAAAACTTTTCTATGCGATTTTACATACAGGGTTTTTAAAAAAATTGTTAAATGATTGAATTTATGACTTACAGCGTTTTATTCCTGTGTGTAGATCCACCCCAGTTGTCATGTTCCTTTCCTCTCTTCCTTCAGGACCTGTTGCGTGTGGTTGAAGCTGTGCGAGACCTTCTGCTGAAAGAGCGGCAGGAGAAGTTTCAGCTGGAAATGCGTCTCCGCGATGAGATCTGCAATGAAATGATGGATCTCCTACAGAAGAAGGAACAGTGGACCAGGTACTGCTGGTGGCAGAGGGCTTTGGAGGCACGTCTCCTCCTTTCCAGGATTGGGCCTTGGCGGTCCATCCCACATCTTGTCTGTTCTTGATATGACTCTTTCCCTGCCCACCCACTTTCACCTTCCTCTCTGCAGTGAGCATGTGGACATCCAAAAGGAGATGCTGGAGGACGTTTATGAGGAGAAACTGAACAGTCTGAAGGAGTCACTTACGGACTACTATCAGGAGAAGATTGAGGTGCGTGGGGTGAAAGAGCTGTGGGAAGGAGGTGCTGGAGGGTTTCCTGAGGGCAGGACATTGCAGTTCCAAACCTTAGCACTGACCTGAAGCAAGGCACCCAGTTTTATTGGCATCTGCAAAACTGCAGGGCCTCATGACATCTTTTAAAAGATTTAACAAATTTATAACGGCATACGTGTCGTCAAATGTGTGCTCTAAGTCCATGATGAAAGCTTATGCCAGGGACACCCCAACGTTTTTGGAACCAGGGGCACATTTGGAAATCTCAGAAACTGTCATGGGCACTAATCAAAAGCCATTTTACATAAAGAAAAAAGCACACCTGCCAGTTCTCAGAACCCCCAAAACACCCACACCGTGCTCCCCAAAACGAAGACAGGCAAAAGCATGCCATGCACCCCAAAATAAGGCAACCCCCACAAAAAAAGGACAATTGAAGCAATTCAGGAAGAGCAGAGGGTGTTTGGGGGGTTCAGTGAGGGTGTCTGAGGGTTCCATGGTCGGAAACCCTAGCTTATGACATGGTGATTTCAGTCCACACAGAAGAAAGTTTGGGCAAGCAGGAGTGACCTGTGCACAGTTCAGGAACGTTTTCATATAACTGGAGAATGCGGGGGGGGGGGGGAGAAAAATGCCTTTCCATATGTGTGTGGAACAGATCTGAGCTGCGAAGAGACTAGCTATCTCACAAACAGCCTACTGAAGGCTTATAAATAAATATGCAAGAGTTTTGTGTGTGTTGCCCTTGGAGGAGTGAACTACAAATGTGATTTGATAGGTTCTGTATGCAGGCGCATTCGTGGAATCCTTTGCACACTTGGCACTGAAACTTGGCTCTGCCATGGATTTCTGGGTGCATGAGAGTCTGCCCAAATGAGAATCTCACAACCCTGCAGGACAGGGATGGCAACCCATGGCCCTTCCAGATGTTGTTGAGCTCCAGTTCTCCGGGGTGATGGAAGCTGTGGTCCAGTAACAACCGGAGAGTAGTTGCCGGTTCCCCATTCCTACTATAGGAGATTCTGGGGAAGTTTGATCAGCTTATCTTCTGCTGCTGCTGTTCATTCTCATCTCAAATTGGCAGGCTGCATCTTCCCAAACAGAGCCTTTCCTGTAAATTGTCTTGTTTGTCTCCCTCAGAGTCAGGATGAAAAGATAAAAGAGCTGCAGGATGCCTTGCAAGAAGCAAAACGGCAACAGCAGCTCCAAGAGAGAAAGGAGGCAGATCCGGAGCAGACTCCTCGCAAATCCAAACGACTGGCAGCAGCAACGCCTGCCCAGAATCAGGAATTGCTGCAGGCGAAAGCCAAGTTAGAGCAGTGTCAAGCAGAGCTGCAAAGAACTACAGAAGGTGAGGCGTTCTCCCCCTTGTAGTCGCATGGGCTCCAAGCAGGTGGTTGTCAAGAGATCAGACTGCGCAGCATCAGTCTAGTGAACTGCAAGCTGACCTAGCATTTGGGAACCTTGGCTTCTGTGAGTGAGCGGCCAGGAAGTGTTAAAGCACACCTAGGATATCTGCCTATTATTAGTGTGGGACCCCTGCTCCTCCTTGAGAGCAGGTCTCCTTTTAAGAAGCTGTATTATAACAGGTCAGGCCGTGGGACCAGTTTTGTCTTTCCCATCCACCGATACATGACTTTTAAAGTGGGGGTACCTGGGAGGGAACCCGAAAAGCTTTGCATGCAAATCCCATTCCCCATCTTTATCTCTGTAAATGGTTGCGCATTGCAAGAAGTACAAGGAGTGGAGACTTAATATTAAATACTTTTTTAATGTGGCAGGTTCCCACCTGACAGAGGTCAAAATTAGAGGGGGGGGGAGAGAATCCAAATAATTGATTTAAGGCCATTTTTGTTTAATATTTTAAATGCCCTACCAAAATTATGCACTTTGATCAAATTATAAATTTCTTTGAGCATGTTTCTTTGCAAGACAATTGAAATACTCGTAGCCCTGAAATAGCAAGGTCTGGGGTGGTGAAAGCCAAAGAAGGCGGATAAAGTCCCCTTGACTATTAGGATCCCACCCGGTCGTCATCCTTCAAATGCTCCCCCTGCCCCACAAGCATGAGGTCTAGAGACATACCGTATTTTTCGCTCTATAACACGCACCCGACCATAACACACACGTAGTTTTTAGAGGAGGAAAACAAGAAAAAAATATTCTAAACGAAACAGTGGATGTATGATTTTTGTGGTTCATGCTGTGGCCACAGACATGTGATCTGACGGTGAGTTTGGGGTAGCCCAATGCAAAAATCCTGAGGATCCATGTGGATCCATGCTTTGTAACCACGTTTTTGCGCCATTGCGGCCCCATGAAACAGTGGGTGCGTGTGTTTTTTGGTGCAGGCTGTAGCCATGGACATGCTATCTGATCTGATGGTGAATTTGGGGTGACCCACTTCAAAAATCCTGAGGATCCATGTGGATCCGTGCTTTGTAACCACGTTTTAAGTGGGGAGGGAAGGAAAAGCACTCGAGGGACAAGGAGCACGCATGGGGTGGGTGGAGAAGGATGCTGCTAATAATGAAGAAGAGGGGTTTAAGGGGAGAAGGAACACGTGGGGTGTGTGGAGAAGGATGCTGCTAATAATGCAGGAGAGGCTCCTCTCCTCTCCCGCTTTGCTCCTTTAAAACAAGCAGGCTCTGCTTCTCTCCCTCCTCCCCGGCTCGGCAGCTGCCGAAAGGCTCACACTCCCACTTAAAGATAGTTAAAAGCAACACGCTAAGACAAACAAAGGAAACCACGATAGTAACCACTCTGACAAATCAAGAAAAATTGCGACCAACACTCTCCCCCAACAAGCGCAGTGAGGTGAAAACACACACGCACACACACAGAACCGGCCCTAAAGTCACAGGGGCGCTGGAAGTTGCAGGGGCGCTGGGGGAGTGAACGGGAAGCAAGAGAAGGAGAACGATCCCTCACACACAGAGAGACACACAGAGTATCAATCCTAAAGTCGCAGGGGCGCTGGGAGAGTGAACAGGAAGCAGGAGGAGAAGAACAATAGCTCAAGCACACACACACACACACACACACACACACACACACACACACACACACAGCCCCTACAGTGGCTAATCCAAAATCGGACAGCAAAAAACTGCAGGCAGGGACAGAGAGCACGGGGTTGTTTTAAAGCAGCCAACCGGACAGGAGCCGCTTACACTCGTGTAAGCGGCTCCTCTCCTCTCCCACTCTGCTTCTCTCCCTCCTCCCTGGCTGGGCTCGCTGACAGGAGCCACTTACACCCGCTTTGCTGTTTCAAAGCAAGCCACGGACTGCTCACGACTGCAGCAGATTCCCCCGCCATCCGTAGGCATTCGCTCCGTAACACGCACAGACATTTCCCCTTACTTTCTAGGAGGAAAAAACTGCGTGTTATGGAGCGAAAATTACGGTAATGCAGAGACGAACCTGGAAAATATACAGTAGTACCTCAGATTACATACGCTTCAGGTTACAGACTCCGCTAACCCAGAAATAGTGCTTCAGGTTAAGAACTTTGCTTCAGGATGAGAATAGAAATTGTGCTCTGGTCGCACAGCGGCAGCGGGAGGCCCCATTAGCTAAAGTGGTGCTTCAGGTTAAGAATAGTTTCAAGTTAAGTACGGACCTCCGGAACGAATTAAATACTTAACCTGAGGTACCACTGTAGTTCATTCCTATGTTTAGTGCCCCTGGTCTAGCAGTATATTTTCTAAATCTTCACCATTTCCTATTGTAGGGTAAACTATTTTGCTCTCCTCTGGCCTGGTCAGACTTCCAAACTGCATTCTTGCTATAGGACATGGCTCTGTAGCAGAAGGGATTAAAGCGATGCACAACTTCTCTAAAAATAGCATTGTCGGGGTTCAAATCTGGCTTGAAACATTGCTCCTTAAACTGAAGAGTGTGGGAAAAGGCCTGGGTAGCCTGGCAGTTCTTGGGGAGTATGTTCAGCATTGCACATTTAAGAATTCAGCTCTTGTATTGAGGACTGGCAAAAATAATTTTAACGGTTGGGCTAAATTGGAATGATCTGTGGTTTGTCCTTAGAGTTGCGTAAACACCAGAAGATGCTGGAGCCTCCACTTTCCTCAAAGCCCATTACAACAAATGTGGACCGGAAGCTGGAAGAAGGCCAAAAGGTAACTGCCAGACCTTCCTTTCCTGGCATCTGCCAACTTCCTTCCTTTACCCTGGCCTGAATGGCACTGTCTCTGAAACCTTCATCTGCTGCCAATGGGTGCATAACTTCTTGTTCTCCCCAACCCCAACTTGCCACTGTATGTAGTCCAGTCTTCCTTAAGGGGCTGGACGCTACCTTGTGCTTAAATGTCCTTCCCTCTCTCAGAATGTAAGGATGCTGAGATCTGAACTGCAGAAACTTGGGGAGTCCCTCCAGTCAGCCGAAAGAGCATGTTGCCACAGCACAGGAGCCGGGAAACTCCGTGAAGCTCTCTCAAAGTGTGACAACATCCTGGCGAAGCAGGTAGGTGAAGGAGTCTCCCAAATTTCAGCAGCTTACAGGGGGCATGCATGCTCTGCTACACAAGATTTAGTTTTGTCCATTTTAGTCAGTTTACATTGGTGCCTGTAGACTGAACCATAAAAATTTCAGATCCAGCAGCACAACACACACACGTATATCCAAGGTGACCTTTGATTTGATGGTGGAAAGCCTATGAAATAGATAGATAAATCCTTAGTGTCCTTAAGGTTCTGTGCCTTGATCCATTTTTATCTTGTAAACTGCTCTGAGATCTTCAGATGGAGTGTGGTGTATAAATTAAATACATTGTTGTTGTTGTTGTTACTACTACTATTATTTATTTGTACCAAGATTGTGCTTGAAAGTGCCAGATCTGATGTTTATGTTTTGGTCCATGGAGACAGATGCCACTGGCTGGGGAGAAGTGGGGGAAATACCATATAAAAACATGGTGCCAGTTTTTTAAAAACATTAAACCATTTTCTGGAGTAGTTTGTTTGTGCTCACAACCACACTGCATTACACAACAGTAGTGACCATAGAATCAACTCCTCCTCCCTCAGTTGTCATAGACCAGTCCACAGGATTTGGTGGCTGGCTGAAGCAGTCCCAGAGGGCCCTTGTTAAGGTCCAGGCACCTGTCATCTTCATCTCTCTGTAATGTTTCTGAGTCCGTAAGCATTTTCAGAAGTCTTCACATTCAGGGTAATTGGCTGAAATGATTGGCACCTGTCTGACAAGAGGGGAGGCTCCATCTTCATAAAACTGAATTTCTCCACTGGCTCTTCCAGGACCAGACTTTGGCCGAGCTGCAGAACAACATGATGCTGGTGAAGATGGATTTGAGGAAGAAAGCAGCCTGTATTGCAGAGCAATTTCACACTGTGCAGAAGCTCCAAGCAGCACCGACCTCTTGCAGCAAAAAACGGTTTTGTGCCAACAATGAAAATGTGCAGCCCAGAAGTCAACCTCCCTTCAAGAAGCCTTTCTTGCACAATTTCCTGACTTGCACAACAGCCATGCCTGCTGTAGCAATAGAGACCCCCTATAGTAGTATCCTACGTGCCCGTGGCTCTCCAACATCTAAATCCATGGCTTTTGGCAAAAAACACTGACTTTTTGGGGGTTGTAGTGTACCTGGGCACAAGCAACCGGTTGATAACTTTAATATTTTTCTTCACGTTAATGTGTTGAGGCCTGAGCTAACTAAATCTTTGGCTTCCCAAAGATGGTTACTTACTATGCATGCCCTCCGTTTCAGGCCAGCTGCTACTCCAGTGTATATGGAACCTGGATTCATATTCCTTATGTTTATCACCTCCAATAGCTTATGTTATGCATGTGAAATGTTTATTATCTATGTTAATTGTATAATAAATGTACCTTGTGTCTTCTAAAACCTCATGTTTATGTGAACAAGCTCTAATGAGGGAAACCTTTCTGGCATTTGTTTTTAAGTTTCTTCTATTTGCTTGGTGGACTAGGCTCCACAACCACGAGGCCATAGCTGTTAACTTTTCCCTTTTCTTGCAAGGAATCCTATTCGGAATAAGGGAAACGTTGACAGCTATGCACGAGGCTGATTTTTGTGTCCCTCTGGTAGCCCAGGCATGAGACTTCAATGGTAAATCTACACATGATCCCTAATACAGAAAGTATTCAAAATTCAAAGATTTTAATGGAACAGGCAATGTATCTGTCAGGGGTTCAGAGAGAGAGGCCCAGGGTAGGCAGGAGATGGAGAGCGAGGGGGAGGAATTCCAAGCCAGCGAGGAAGAGGATGACAATGACTCAAGGGATTCCATGAGTCTTTCCAGCGAATCAGAGGATTCCCAGAAGGGGGCGCCGGTGGTCAGGGCCAGGGGAGCCCCAGGGGGGAAGTGTCAGGAGCAGGGTGCCAGCGGAGGATCCCAAAGTGGCAGCTGGGCGTCAGGACCAGCCTCCCCACCAAAGTGCAGCGAAGGGGGTGGAGTTTCCAGTGTGTCAGAGGAAGCAGCTCCAGCAGCAGAGAGAGGAGGGGGGTCAGAGCAAGCCGCCCTCCCGGAAGGGGAGGGGAGCAGTGAAGGGAGTAGTGTAACTGTCAAAAGGAAAGTTAGAGGTTTGGCGCGCGCGCCTAGTTCAAATGTAGAGGCGCGCGGAAGTGCAGGGAGCCCGGAGGAGGGGCCAGGTCCCAAAGCCCGCAGGAGGGGGGAAGAGCAGTCTGGGGATTCAGCGTCAGAGGAATCCAGAAGGGGCGCAACCCCAGGGGGCAGAAGGACCCTGCGGAAAAGGAAGGAGAGAAAGAGGTGGAGCAGCGCAAGTCTCTTAAATTGGTGCAGAGGAGGGAGTGACTCAGAGGGGACTTCGGCGGTCTAGCATAAGAGACGTAAGGCTGCGCGCCTAGGATGTCAAGCAAACCATGAACTGCAATAAACACCTTTGTATACAAGAAGACGTAGGCGTTGGTCTTTTGTGAGCTAAGACTTGAGGCAGCCTTGACAGTATCCTACTCAGTTTTGCATTTCTGGACAAAGGGAATGTAGCTCCTTGGGAGTGGGTAGAAGAACAGACTATATTTTCCATTAGTGCTACTCTTAGTATAAATAAAAGTACTTAACTGATGCTAAATTGGATTCCCAGCCTTAAGACAATTATGAGCAGTGCAAACTATTCCAAACCAACAAGACAGATAATAACTACATCTATGGGCATAAATCCTGACAAAGTTCCAAGTCTGGCCTGCTAATTCCGGTTCTTGACTGAGGGCACAAATAGAAAGGACTCCCATCTCTTAAGGTTGTGGTTTTAAATCATGGCTATAATTCTACAGCAGTGGTGAGAAACTTGTTGCAGGCATCACATACTGACACCAGGTCAAGGTGTCTACTCTAAAAATACCCAGTTTTCCTTAGAGGTGGTACAGTATTGTAATTGTCCTATATTTAGTCTTCTACAAAGCTGAAACCAAGGCATATACTATTAGATACTGATAACATACGCAGTAGAGCAAATTATGTGTACTACATTTTCTAAAAGCCACTCACCAGGAAATTACCCTAGAGACTTAACTGTTACTTAGGCAGTGGCACAGCGGGTGTGGTGCTGGAGGGTCAATAATTAAAATTATATATGATTTACACCAAACCTCTATACAATTTTGACAACCTATAATACCCTAAATAGGCAGAATCCTTATTTACATGGTGTCTGGGTTTTGTTTTGCATATATTGCAAGTATGGTGCAGATTGGAATGCAGTGGATTAATAACTGCATTAACGTGAAAAATGTTAGCCTCCAATATCATTGGTTTTCAGTGCTAAGCAAGGCTATCTAGGATATAAGCTAAGTTAGTACAGTGCTGGCAGAGCTGAACCAAGATATTTTGCTGCCTAAGGCCAAGGTAATTTGGCACACAAGATAGAAAATCCCACAACTGCTTTTCCCCAGGAGTAAAAATACATTAAAAATATTTTTTTTATTTACAGTCCTTTCATGGCATCTAAAATCAGCTGTGACACTGCCCAATGGCAGGGGTGGCATTGAATGTTTGAATTTGACGGGACAGATCTGGGCCCAAGTTTGTAGCTCACTGACTATGAATCAGTCTCTCTTAGCCTACCCACCACCACCACCAATTGTGATGATTAAATGAGGGCTCTGTATGAAACCCTGCCTGCAAGGATCTCTAGATAAGATAAAAATTAACAAAATGTGAGTGCTCTAGCCCCAACATCTGTGCTGTACAACAGAAGTCAAAGTTTTGTGTTTTACTAACATAAATGACAAGAATGTGTAGTAAAAACAATTTAATAGTGGAAGCAGAATTCAAGCTTGCTTGATACCATTACCTGCTCAACTGTAGACAAGTCAAGTTTGCATACCTGAATTCCCATGTCAGCTGAAGAAAATCATACCATTGTTATTCTTTACCACTTAGTTTTTTCTGCTAAGTCACATTGAGGATAGATCACAACCATTATTTTATGTCATAGGATCATATTCAACAAAACTGCATCCCTGCTAGGATACTAGTTTACAACACCCCAGCTTCTAGTTCAAAGAACTAAGCAGTAGGTTTTTTTCCTACTGAACAGTTATGTTGTGTTCCTGGGCAACAAAAATGTGTGGATGAGTTTTGCCACTCAAATAGTGGTGGATACTTCTAGAGCCCGTATATATGGATAAGCTATGTCAACACTGCACTCTTGTCTTAATGAACACATAGAAGTCCCACCACTTCATTGTTACCAGGCTACACAACAGCATCGGCTGCTGCATTAGTAAGGGAAATGATGGGATATGAATTACTACATTTTTCACCCATGTCTCTACATTTGTGCTAGACAAACGGCAGTCCCTTTGCTCTCTCCACTTGCTCCTTTTACCAGCTAGTGAATCTAACACAGCAATTTTGCTTGAAAAGTAACTAAAACCAAAAGGAAAAGGGACCAACTGCTGCAAGGACATTCTTTCCATCATGAAATAAGAGCGAGGCAGCACCATTTCTCCTCCAAAAGACGACACACTGGTAGCCAGCAAGACATTACAAAGGAATGCCATGAACATGACAGGCAGAGAAGCAACTCCAATTGATGTCAGTGGAGGAAAGTGACTTTGGAACCCCTTCTTACACCAAGATGTCATGCTAGAAAGGAGAGGCATAACAGGAGTAGAATGGATTCAGTCACTCACTATGAAATATGGTGCCGCCAGCCTTTGATGCCCGCAATGTAACTATCTTCAACAATGAGTTATCAGCCCTTCTAGGAAGGCATCACTGGATACAGAACTCTCCTTAGAGAGGCAGTATTAGAAGGAAAACCCAGGCTCCAGCTGGATTACATTTGCAGTTCACATCAGCCCAGAGGGGCAGGCACACTTTAAGGTGTAATATTGGACAAGTTCAGGGGTGACACACGGCGTGTTGGAGTGTTATTGGCAGATAGTGAAGAAGGAAGCAAGAAAGGTGTGGCAATCTCTGTGGACGAGGTCTCCCCTTGATTTCGTAACTGTAAGATTTGCCGCAAGAGGGCCTTCCCTTCTTCTCTTGTCTGCAAGAGAAATGAAGTTGCATGAGCAAAGAGCAAACACAGTGCAATAACTAGAAAGGGGGCACATGGGTGTTCCTGTGCAAAGATCAGCCATTCTGAATTGCAATCAGACTTGTGGTTCAATGTCAGATCTAGCAAGCCTTTAGATACTCCAAATCCCATGATATATTTCTCCCTGAAGTGGCTACTCCAGCAAACTATTCACTAACTCTGGGGTGGGGAACATCTGGCCCATGTGCCAAATTTGGCCTGCAAATCTGTTTTCTCTAAACCATGCCCACCTGTCCCATACCCAGTGTCCTATGTGACATCAGGTGTGGAGAAGGTAGAGACATGGCTTTGTCAGCTGCACAACCAAGTTTCCCTTTAAGAAAGCTGGCTGTCAAACATTTGGGAAGTGCTGAACAATGAAACTTTGACAGGTGAGGTAGGGCAACCCACCTGTCAATCATCTGATATCACAATGCCACCCACCTGTCAAGGTTGGCCCAACGGGGTAGGAAACATCTGGCCTGCTGTGCCAAAAGGATTCCCCATGCCAAACCAACTCATCAACAGGATTCTAAATACTTTACTTCCTGTTCATGCTTTCTCTTTATCTATTTCATGGGCAAGCTAACCTGCAGGTCATATAAAGCCCACTAAGATGTTTTTGGGTGACCTGCAAGCACATATATGCACATTTTCATGTTTTATCCATGTAACTAGCAACACATTTCTTACCAGGCAAAAACTAGCTACCTCCATTTCCACAAGGAATGAAAACTTGTTAGCAGATTTCTTTACTTGCTTTTCACACAGCTCTTGTCATGATCTGGTGTATTATTGATTGGTTCTATTATTAGAGGTAGATGGGTGAGCTCTCTGACAATCCTGAAGGATTTAGATTGTTGTTCTAGAAAAGAGTTGGGCTTTCAGTCTCTCTTTTAGGTTCTTTCAAAATCCTGTGTAAGTATGACTTAACACATGTGTGGCCTCAAACCATTATAGCCATACCCAAGAGGGGTCTCAGTGGTGGCACTGTGGGTAGAAGCAGGAATTGGACCCAGTGAAGAAGTCCACAGATGATGTGTTGGGTACTCACGTCATTGAATGCACAGCATTTCTGGGCACAGGCTGAGGCTTCATCCCAGAGTTTACACTTGAAATAATATTGAGCCAGGTAGCGGAAGGCAGTGCTTACTTCCAGGTGCTCCACTATCTCCTAGAATAGAATAAAGGTATTTATGGTTTGGTTCAGGGTAAATTCATTTCTTATATCAAGATTTAGTATTAACTTGGGAGAAACTGAGTATTTACAACTTTTTATTTAAAAAATCCAATTTAAATACAATGTTTTTCTTTTTTAAAAAACAACAACAGCTGTTTTTATCCACTCTGTATATCCTTCACTCTTTCATTCCCAAAATCATTTGGAACTGACTCACCCCACAAGAATAGATATCTTGTATGTATTTGATATAGCACTGAGCCGCTTGCTCCGATTCATTCAACTGTTCATGAAGCCTGGGAAAGAAGAAAAAAAGGCAAAAGTGTGTTCTTGCTTAAAGGATAAGACCACCACTATAATAGAAGAAGCTACCTCTTGTCCACTATAAGTATTCAATATGTAGTTGATGGGATTATCCTAATAACAAATGACATGCTTTGGAGTAAGCCTAGGTAGCCTATCAAATGTGAGCTGCATTTATGGGGGGAAAGACATTAAGCAATGTCTTAATCTCTGCGCCTGTCACTCACAGGTATTTCCTAGGGGTCATTTTCATCAAGGTAGGCAAACATTCCATTTCCTACTGTAGCAATTTTAGTTTTATATTTATCTTGATATACATTATAAAATACTTTTTATACTTAGTTTATGTGTAGCCATTTAGTTATTGCCAGTACCTGTATGAATGCACACTGTGTGACGCACCAAGAGCACATGCCGATACCAAGAACTATGGAAAAACCACTAGTAGTTATCCAGAATATTGCTGCCATAAAGGTCAAAGATAATCTGGAGTACTTCCCCTAAATAATTTCCTGGGATCACAAGGACTAAGAGCTATGCAGAAAGACAGGAAACATCCACATCATAAAGTCTGCAGACTAAGATTTCAGTCCAAAAGGCAGTGGTCAGATAAGGAGGTTTTGCCAATCTATCCAAGAAAAGCAATATAAAACTACTACTTACTTTGCTAGTTTCACCAGTGCCATTTTTTCCACATCTCCAACAGCATAGGCTCTCCAATAACACTGTCAAGAAAAAAACAACAAATGCAAAACTGTCTAGTCCAGAGTCAGAGGTGATATTGCCTACACTCCTGCCTAGCAGAGATGAATGAATAGTATGAAGCATATCAGAAGTAACATAATACAAGACTATAGGAGTGATAACTCCAATAACCCTAGCTCCAAGTTTTGGACAATATTTCCCTCTTTTTTTCGAACAGAGGATGAAGAAATAATGCCATCTGAAGATCTGATTGCTATTATTACATGGAAGAAAAGTGCAAACAGAATAAAAGCTCAGTTCTGGAAACTGCTCAATTTTTAGCACTTTCCCCCAGTACCTATGTTCCAGCTACATAACCTACATTCACCAGTCCGTTCTCAAGAGGCAATGAATGGACAGAGGCAATTCAATTGTTATGACAAAACAGCACAGCAGAAATACACTAGCATTTCCTTTATCTGGTTCAGGATAATCCCCACTGCTGCTGCTCAAATGCAAATCCATGTCCCGCCCTACCTTTTTGGCTTCCACTAGCTGATTCAATTTCTCGTAACATTCTCCAAGAGCTACCAGCATACGGGAATCATTGGGCCTGTGAAAAACATGAAACTATCAGCTGGCTCACAAAAAGACCGAACAAGCTCAGACTTCTAAAGCTACCTAAAACCCAATGAGCACTAACCCCCACTTTTAAATCTAGTAGCACAACAGTCTTTTTTTGTCAACGTCCCAAAAGAAGAGACTAAAATCAAACACTTAAAACCCAGCTGTTGGGACTTGTTATGATTTCAAAATTGAGTTTTAAAATTTGGATTGTCCCATGCACCCTTCCTTTAACTGTAGAGTAGGAAGAGTCTGGGAGCAATTGAGAGATAGGGGGAGCTATATTAAGTGCCAAATTCTCATTATTTTTTTGCAAAAGTAAAGATCAGATTATATTTTAAATGACATGTAAGATCCCCTGCCTCTGGTCAATCTGCACTGAAACATTAGATTTTGTAATTTTCAGGGCAGCCATGGCAATGCGCATCCCTATTTCATTTACAGCAAGCTGACTCCATACACTGATAATGGCAGCTACTAAAAAGAGTTAGACACAAGGACAGTATCTATACTGGGCAGTTTTACCTGAGCTGATGGGCCCGCCGATAGTAATAGAGACAGTAAAAGGGCATCTTGAGGATCTCATATGTTTGCCCCAATCCGTACCACGCTCTGTAGTCTCTTTTATTCACTTCTATGGCATGTCTAGAAGAGAGAAAGCCACAGGAATTCTTTGAAAGAGAATATAGGTATATGGCACAAATGGAGGTAAGATCATAACAGTCTGCATTTGTTAAAAAAGAAAGGCACAAGCAGAATCAATTGGGAGAGTAACAACAATAGAAAAAGATCTTGTTAAAAGTACTCCCCACCCTAGGTGGTAACCAGAAGTAAGCCTTCGTTTTTGGAAGGCATCTGCACACGCACCTATATGCCTGAATAGCTGCTGATGTGTTTTTCATTTCCATATATTCGTGTCCCATGAGGGTCCACGCTCCAAGGTATCGAGGATTCAGCTTCAACGCTCTCTGGAAGTAGAGAGCTGCTTTTTCATGCTGTGAGCGCAAACTATAGTAGTTCCCTATGGCAAAAGCACAATGAAAAGTGAGCAGAGAGCAGCCAGGGACTGGGAAACAACAACTCTGCTAACACCCTTTCATGTGAAAGAGGATCATGTCCTGCAGCTTCCTCCCATCCCTCTTCAAGCAAGCAAGGCCTCTCACCAATCACACAGCAGGTCTCAACACGGTACTTGTCAATCTCACATAGGTTGTGGGCCAAATAGCTCAGTTCAGGCTTCATACTCTAGTGGGATAAAGGAAAGTGGTAAGCTTAAGGACAGAAACCGGTGGGTGGGGGTGGAACTGCAGGGATGGAAACACACTCTTGTAACACCAGTGCATGAAAAGAAAGAAGGAACAGCATTTCAAGCCACAAAATCAGTCACTAGATTGTCTGAACTAGGAGAGTCCAACGAGAACAACAAATCTTGGGATGTTTGGAAGTCATCAGCAACAGGGACTACCAAAGACTTGGCAATTTCATACAATATCCAGAATAACTTCACAAACCGGTTCCAGGCAACTGGAACATCTCCCTGTAGCAAATGTTACCTGATTCTGTTTGCCGTTATATACTTTCACTTGATAGTGCAATGCTGTTATTTCCTTACAGACCAAATTTCCCTACTGGGGTTTACCGCTAAGAAAACATGAGTAAGTTTAAGGGATATAGACAGAAAAGTTCTCTACACAAACTGAAGGATTGCGAGCAATTTAAGGTTGAGGTAGGGTCATATGCAGCAGCGGCCAGCATGGTAGTACAGGAAGTGACTGCCTACCTGGCTCCCCAATGCAATGCATTGCTGCCAGTTACCAAGACGTCAGGCAGCAGGGAACTCAGCACAATACAGACAGAGCAGCTCAGCCAATCCAGTGCTCCTCCCACTGTGCCAAGCTCCCTGCTCCCTCCCACTCTCCCCTTCAGTACCATGGCTTTGGGAAGACTGCTAAGCAACTCCATCCTGCCCACACCACCCACTACTCAACCTATAACGTATTTCAGATTGAGAAAAAAAGTACTCACCCTGACATAGAGCAGATTAGAGAAGGTGTCCATATTTTCTATCCTGTAAGGGTCTTGTTTTCTTAGTTCATTGAAGATGGACAAAGCTTTATCAATATCTGAGGAAAGAGAAAGGCAGGCACTGAGGAAAAAAGCAGGAAACAAAACACCAGAAGGCCCAAATCTGGAAGGATTCACTGACCTCTGATATTGTGATAGGCCACTGCAATCTGAGAGATAATGTAGGTGCTCTTCGAAAATCCTGCATCAATAAGACTCTGGTACTTCTGCAAGGCCTCATCTATCAGCTGCAGCTCTGTGTAGATGTGTGCCAGGAAGAACTCCTTTATCCAGGTATCTGGCAAGGACAGGAACTTCAGCTGGCAGCAACCACAAACAAAGAGGGACACGTTTAGAGAAGCAGTCTACAGCAGCCCCCAAGAACTGCAGGAAAGGTTACAACATGGGCTCAGCTCTCTCTACCCACTCAATGGAAAGAATGCTAACACCTCCAAGTGCTACTGAATTACTTAAGATTTGCTGGCAAATTCAAGTATTCCAAATCAGAAAAACCACCAAATACTGTATTGACCTCATGATAGTTCATGGATCAAATAGTACCAGAAAATAGTGGCCGGATCTGAATTTTTATCCTGCCTTTCCTCCCAAAGAAATCCAGGGCAGCAATCATCACACACCTGCACCCAAGAATCCCGCAAATTACCATTTCTTTGTCTGTGATCAAGTTACAAAGCTCCAGCCAGGCCCCCCAGTGCAATGGTAAAACATGGGTAGCTTCAACAAATACATCAATGGCCTCTTTCACCAGGTCCAGCTTTCGCAACACAACTCCATACCTAGGGGGGTACAGAGAAAGAGTAAGAGAAACACTACTAGGGCAAGAGCCTATGCCATCCCCATGCCCTAGTCTGACATTTTGTGTGGTGAATTGCATGCACACAAACATATAAGAATCTCTATTCATTTCACAATCCCAACTTCATCATACCTGGATGTAAACATATGGCTATTCCCTACAATATGTCATTAGTGCATCACTTCAGTGCTTACAGATAAAGGCCAAATCCATCCAGCTCTCTGGCTTTGCGTTTCTTGCTAAGCTCTACCCGTAGCTCTCTTAGAACTTCATTCTTCACCTGCCCCTTTTCCAATGGACCTGTAAACAGAGTAATCTGTTATTTGGTACTATTAGCAGTACGTGTTTATAAAACCATTTTTACATATTGTACTGCAAAGATTCTGCCAAATTTTTGTTTAAAGAAAATGGTGGTACTATTGCAAAACTTTTTGAGGACTACTGCTTTAGACAGATGCTAAACTAGCTTAAATATAGAACAATGTATGATGGGGAAAGGGAAATTTATTTAACAGTTAAATTTTGCTCATGTTTTGCATTTTCTTCTTTAAAAAAATTAATCAATAGTTGAAGAAAAAATAATTTGTAGTCTTGGAAACCGTGAATCAATCGTTAAAATCCAAACTGGAGAAAGTTGTGTGTTGGTTTCTTACCCAGACTATCCACTGTTTCATCGTCCTTCTTTTTTTCACCTGACTGCAAACAAACAAATTTTTAAAAGAATTTTAAGAACCAGCAATTTTCTATCATGAGATGTTCACTTAGACATGACATGGGTCCAGCTACTAGAAGCAAAAAGAAAAAAACTTCACTTTCTAGATATATCACATAATCTTTATGAAGAGGAGGAGGAAATCAAGGAATGGGAACTGATTTATCTTATTAACTCACCAGGTACCTGGAGTACATATATAGGAAATAGGCCTTCTGGCTCTTGCAGCCCCGGAGGAAGTAAGCAGCCCTGTCATACTCTTTCAGATCAAAGTAAGATTTAGCAAGGGTGTAGGCATCCAAGTCACGAGCATCCTCCTAAGGACAAGAAATTAAAAAGTTAAATTCCAATGTAATGAATTCCTTAGACACCTTCATTTGTCAAGTAACAAAAGCAAATGCTTTTCTTGCTTCTGGTTTCCACTGAAAGACAAAATACAGGGTTGAAAACAGCAGTTCTCAAATGACGTCTGGCTGACCAAATTCCTATTCTCTACTACAATATGAGCTTCTCTGAGAATAATAGAAAATCAGTTTAATTTTATGATATTTTAAGCCTTGATGACAAGAGAGCAAAGGGGGAGAGATTAAGCCCACACAAGCTAAAAAGAAGGGACCCTAAGAAAGCAAACTGGTTGCATTAAAAATTGTTTGCCTGGCAAGTGACCCTAGCACTGCTAGAAGCAATATTGGGAACCAAGGGTCCTCTAATCTTTGGATTGCAGCCAGAACCCTTCCCTCCAACTCAGCTACAAAGAACTGAGCATTAAATAAACGTACACTTCTCTCATCCCTTCCTTAAACGAGTAAAGCCTTCAAGTGGATTAGAAATGCAAACTGACTTGCAAATGGAGCCTGCTTGTCTTTTTTCTAAGCATTACTGTTTTCAATTGCCACAACATTTAAAGTTATGATTTTATAGGATAATACATCAGAGCAGCCTCATGTTTTATGTGTTGCAAAAACGAGCCCTCCTCCCGTACGTACCTCTGTGAGTTCAGGTGCAGGAGGCAGCTCATTAAAGGGCAGAGGGTCCAGGGCAAAAGCCAGCTCTGAGGCCCTACAACAAGAAAGCCCACTGCAGCTTAAAAAACACCACTTTCTGCCAGTCTGGCTCACTATACAGTGGTACCTCGGGTTACAAACGCTTCAGGTTACAAACACTTCAGGTTACAGACTCTGCTAACCCGGAAGTAATACCTCGGGTTAAGAACTTTACCTCAGGATGAGAACAGAAATTGCGCACCATCAGCAGGAGGCCCCATTAGCTAAAGTGGTACCTCAGGTTAAGAACAGTTTCAGGTTAAGAACGGACCTCCGGAACGAATTACGTATGTAACCAGAGGTACCACTGTACTCATTACATACAACAGGGGAAGGGAACCTTTTTCTGTACAAGGGCCATTTTCCCTCATATGCAACTTTCCGGGGGCAGCATGATGCTGGGGTGTGTGTGCGTGGGTGTGTGTGTGTAGAGGCAAAGAGTGGGAGGCACAACTAATGTGACTCTCACCTTTGTACAACAGGCAGCCTCCTATGTTTCCAGGCTCACTGCATCCAGGCAAAAACCCTTGAGGACATAGAGGAGGGCCATAGCAGTGTGTAGCCTGGGAAAGAGCCATAGCCAGCAGGCAGTTTCAAGAGCAGGACACAGCAGCTTGATGAGCTGCATTTGGCCCCCAGGACTAAGGTTCCCCAACATGGACAATAGCATGCACAGACTTCCCATACACAGGGCTGGATTTAGGTTTGATGCGGACCTAAGCTACTGAAGGTAATGGGGCCCTTTATATGTCCAGCTGTCCTTTGTCAACAACAAATTGTTGCTGTTTTTTGTGTTGAATATATGCTATATGGTAATTTATGGATCTAACAGGTCCATACACAACACAAAACACTGATGCTGTATGTAGGTTTTATTTTATTTGTTTTTTAGCTTGTATTTTGGAAATGTACGTCCAGTTTTTTTAATTTAATTTTTTTGGGGGGCCTCAAGCGAGTGGGGCCCTAAGCTATAGCTTGTTTAGCCTATATGTAAATCCAGCACTGCTCATACATCCTCACATGGCAGGCGGCCTGCAGCCCGATATAGCTGGCACTTCAGTGTGCACATTGTGCACAGACCCATCATAAGCCATAATACTTAAGCAACCTTAGTAACTAGCAGAACGGCGCTCCCCAAAAACAGACAGTCAGCCCCCTACTATAATTCAGCTGTGCAATAGCCGAATGACACCTGGCCATGCCAAAGAGCACGCTGCCGAGGTCTTTTATTCCTCGCCCTTCCCTACGGCGACAGCATCCCGTCGCCCCAGAGCGCCCCTTGCAGCCTGCGGAGCCCCCGTTCTGCCGGAGACCCTGCACGCAGCCCTCCCGCGACTCAGTAGAGAGCACGCGCAGCCCTTTCTCCGCCACCGCCGCGGCCTCCTCACCACTTCCCGCTGTGCTGCAGGCCGCGCTCCCGGCTCCGCTCCGCCACGTCCAGCAGCTGCTTCTTGATCCCGCGCAGGTCGGAGAAATCCGCGCTGGTGGACCCGGCCACAACCGCTGGCGCCGTGGTAGTCGCCGCCATCTTCCCGCAGACGCAAGCGCCGACCAACCAAAGCCAAGCCTCGCTCCTCGGCTCGCGCGCGACGCAGCCCCGCAACCCTATTGGAGGACGCCGCTCGGCTCCTTCACGCGACCTCCGACTAATGAAAACTGGAGGCCTGGAACTCCTGGACCCTGATTGGCCGAGAAGTGACAGCCTGGAGGAGGCGCGAGTGAGATAAATTCCGAGCCCGCCGGTGGTTCTTCCTCGGCGTCCCTCTCCTGCAGGATGAGTGTTGTTGCTCTAGCAGGGGGAGGCAAACTAAGGCCCGGGGGCCGGATCCAGCCCATTCACGTTCTAGATCCGGCCCGCGGACGGTCCGGGAATCAGCGTATTTTTACATGAGTAGAATATGTGCTTTTATTTAAAATGCATCTCTTGGTTATTGTGGGGCCTGCCTGGTGTTTTTACATGAGTAGAATGTGTGCTTTTATTTAAAATGCATCTCTCTCTGGGTTAGGGTTAGGGTTAGGAATTCATTCATTATTGTGTCTGGCCCCCCACAAGGTCTGAGGGACAGAGGACCGGCCCCCTGCTGAAAAAGTTTGCTGACCCCTGCATGGCATGCAGGAGTTTGAACTAGGCACCTGCTCTGCGATTTAGGGAGCAGATTACAGTACGTTTATCCTACCTACGTCAAGGTAAAAAATGGTGCAATACCTCAATATTTATTTCCTTGCATTTCCTAGATATAAGGAAAATAGGTATTTGTAAAACATGAATGTGCAATCAGAATGGGCCTAAAGTTCTGGCTCCTATTCCTTTGCAATCCTAGAAACCTAAAAAAAATACCAAAACCCCGCTGGTTTTTGCTTACTGACAAGTGATTGATGGATGATCAACACGGTGTTTTCCCGTCTAGCAGATGCACACCCATAAGCTGTTCTTTAGCATTATTGATTGTATTGCACATAATCGTTGAATAAATCTGGTATACCATGAAACACTTGGTGTTTTGAAGTTGTAATCCTATGATACTTTCCTAGGAGTAAATCCCATTGGATTTAGTAGGATTTATTTTTGAGTAGACATACATGGGAAGCGGGTGGTGCTGTGGGTTAAACCACAGAGCCTAGGGCTTGCCGGTCAGAAGATCAGCTGCAACGGGGTGAGCTCCCGTTGCTCGGTCCCTGCTGCTTGCCAACCTAGCAGTTCGAAAGCATGAAGTGCAAGTAGATAAATAGGTACTGCTCCAGCGGAAAGGTAAGTGGCGTTTCCGTGCGCTGCTCTGGTTCACCAGAAGTGACTTAGTCATGCTGGCCACATGACCTAGAAGCTGTACGCCGGATCCTCGGCCAAGAAAGCAAGATGAGCATCGCAACCCCAGATTCGTCCGTGACGACCTAATGGTCAGGGGTCCCTTTAGACATACATGGGATTGCATTATAAACCTGGATGATCCTAGTCTTAGGCTGGGGAGGGCGGGATATAAATAAAATTTATTATTATTATTATTATTATTATTATTATTATTATTACTACACATACAGCCCAAATCTAACCATGCTACTCAAAAGATTCATTAATTTTAGTGGAATGTACAGCCAAACAGGGTTTTAGTTGTACCATGAATTATTATTTTTTGGTATGGTATGATTTTATTGATTTTACAAATAATCCAGGCTGAGGCAGATAAATTCCAAAACCATATAGATTGGTATGGGTAGAAGCTCTGAAGGAAATGTTCTGATATCATCTAATAAAATAGAAATGACAATTTGTGAAGAATTTAGAGATAAAAGAAGGATTCAGTAACTATATCTCATGTATGGTTTTTGTGGGTATGTAGATGTAGTTTATTCTGCATTTGTGGGTTTTTTGTTGGGGGTGTTTACATGGCCTCCCATGGAAATGACTTGATGGTAGTGAAAATATCTGTTTTCGTGCTTGCCGATCAGAAGGTTGGCGGTTCAAATCCCCACAATGGGGTGAGCTCCCATTGTTCAGTCCCTGCTCTTGCCAACCTAGCAGTTTGAAAGCACATCAAAGTGCAAGTAGATAAATAGGTATCGCTCTGGCAGGAAGATAAACGGTGTTTCCATGCACTGCTCTGGTTCGCCAGAAGCAGCTTAGTCATGCTGGCCACGACCCGGAAGCTGTCTGTGGACAAACCCTGGCTCCCTCTGCCTATAGAGCGAGATGAGCACCGCCACCCCAGAGTCGTCTGCGACTGGACCTAACAGTCAGGGGTACCTTTACCTTTACCTGCGCTGCTGGGATTTCCCTGCACTATGCCTAGTCTATCACTTGAAGTTGCTGTTTACTTCTGTGTGAGTTAAGAGTCCTTAGTCTCTGGCTGGACTACGCTCCTCATCCAGTTGGGCAGTAAGTCCTGCAGCAAGGGATGCTGGGAGTTGTGGTCCACCAGTGTCTGCTGGAGGCTACTCCAAGAGTGCTGCAGGAGACCCCTAGCGGTGCAAAAGTGTATTCCGTTTCTAACCTCACAAAAGAAATAAACAAGGCAGAGGGTGCTTCTATGCAGACGCTCTTTTCAGGAGGGATTCACATACTAGTAAATTCAGGATGTGCAATTAAAGTTGATTTGCAGGTCTTCCAAAAAAGTATTATCTTTCCCTATTGCAGGTTTGTTGTGCAATAAGGAAATTGAGGGCAAAATGCCGTGGAACGTGTGAGAAAACACTTGCTTTGATGTCACATCTAGCCTCTCCACAAACAAATCTGAGCAAATGCTCATTAAACTGCTGACATTGTCTAATTGCTCAGCAATCATATCAGGATGAATGCTCAATAAAGAGGGTGTCTGGCAGTGCCCAGAGCAGAAAAAGAGCCTTTTTTAAAAATTGGACATTGTATGCAGCCTGAATTAGTAACAATGGATAGATGCCAGTTGCAAATAAATATTATGCAAGCTTGGTCATTCCAAAGTATTTAGCCTTATTTACTAAATATAAGTAATTAGATCACTCTGTAGGCCCGAGAGTCTAATGCATCAGGAAATTTTCTAGTCCAAACTGAAAATTCCCTTAAATTGTATAGAATAATTCAGAAGTTTCCAGAAAACCCATATTACTGGAAAGAACTTGTTTTGTTTCTTTGCAAAGCTCTTTCTTCCTGCTACTCTTTAAAAAGCTTCCTGCATATAACCCTCTCTCCAAAAACACAGAGCACTGACTTCTTTTGCAACCTCTCGCCACTCTGAATGTCTCCACAGAGATGGGAGAATTAATATTACAGTTTTCCACGCACACACCATCCCTTCTCACACTCTAGTCTCTGTCATAAGGGTTCTAAGTTAACGCCATAATGATCTCACAGAGGTGTGCATTAGGGTCAGAAGTCAGCACCATAAAATAAGAGCATTGATTAGCGTGATGCAATCAGACTCGCACTTTGATTATCATGCTAGGGAAATGTTCTGATTTCTTTTAAATCAGCAATTGTCAAATCTCCTACATTAACTTGGATCTCTATGGGTACATAAATGGTCTATGGCTACTAGGAGCTATATACAGATAACTATGTAGTTACAGAAGTGTACAGTTATTTAGAACCCTGTCTGAGGTGTTTTCTGAAATGGATATTGCTTTGTGTGGTTTGCAACATGTTCTTATGCAAAATTAGGCTGACCAAAGCCTGCTGATTTCAGTTGGATGAGGTACACCTGAAGTACACATCATACCTTTAAAGGCTTTCCACAGAGAGCAGCAGCATAGGCAAGTGAGGATTCTGCTTACAGAAGCAGACCCAGAAGGGAGGTACCAGGTGGCCTTGAGAAAGGATGTGCTAGGTGGCCTCTCTCCACTGCCCTGCCCAAGGAGATTTTGAAATGTATTAAATTGGGGAAGGGAGAAAGGTCACTTTGTCAAGGACAATTCAATTTGCATCCATTCTGATCTCTGCAGGTAGTAGGGATGGGCGATATCTGGTTTTTAAGATTGTGATATATCACCAACTAAACATCACATTATACCAATATATCACGATATCTGAAATCAGGATGGAGCTTTGTAGAGGCATTGGCTGGCTTCACGGTTTTTCCCACAGTGTGAGTTTTGCATAATACACACCCACACCCACACACCCACACACCATGATTTGTGATATATGGCCAGGTCAAAAATTATGAAACTGATATCACAGTGTGGACTTCAAACTAGTTTGGGGCGATATATCAATATATCAGACCCTCCAAGTGTCCCTATTTTCCAGGGACATCCCTGATTTAGAGTAGCCACCCGTTTCTTATTTGATCCTGGAATGTCCCACTTTTCCTTAGGATGTCCCTATTTTCATTGGATAAATGTTGGAGCTGTCTGCAGGGAAGGTTTTTTTAATGTTTAGTGTTTTATTATGTTTTTATATATGGTAGAAGCTGCCCAGAGTGGCTGAGGCAGCCCAGTAAAATGTGCGGTGTATAAATAGTAAAATTATCATTATGGAATGGGACGTCCCTATTTTCATCAGAGAAATGATGGAAGGTATGATATATTGCCCATCCCTTGCAGGTACCATACTTATCAGTGTCAGTTGCAGGAGGCAGTGGAAGACAGGAGTGCCTGGTATGGTCTGGTCCATGGGGTCACGAAGAGACGGACACAACTAAACGACTAAACAACAACGAAAACACCAGTTTTATCATCCCATTGTTCTGACTGGCTATTAGGCGACTTGTTGAAAGCTTGGGCACTTCTGGTTGGCATGTGCCATGTGCACACAAGCAGACTGGGTAAGTGATTTAACTGATGGACAGGCAGCTAGATCTAAATTTATAAGGCCTCTCTCTTAGCAATTCCCCTCGGACAGAGCTGAGTGCTCACATTATTTTTGGTTCCAGTTAGTGAGCAGAAGATGGCGCTTTGGGCTTTTCCTTGAAAGCTGGAGTGAAAAGGGCGAAAGGGTACTGATTGCTAAGAGTTCAGTAATCCAATTTCTCCAGACTGGCTTCATAATGAGAGCTCATAATTCATTCTGTCACTCTACTATGTAATAGATGCACCTTTTAAGTGACACCCAGGGCTGGC